GTTAGGTCGCACACCATCAGAAGCTATAGTACATCTATGTTGGTTTTCAATAGATCGTTTCACAGTTATTATAACATGCTCTACTTCAACAAAACACCAAATTAAAACCTGGATTTATACTCAACTACTATATATGTTCCAAGTCAACATTGAGTTTTAAGAATATTTGTTGTTATTTTTAAATTTAGGCTACTTGCATTATGAACCTCATCAATTTCTACATCGACTGAGTTCAGCTTCAGATCGTAGCGTCATTTCGAGGAAGAATCACTTAATTTTAAAGAACACTCAAGACTGGAGCCAGAATATTTTTTGTAGTAACTTCTAATAAACCCTCGTTACTAACAAAGTCTCAAAAGGATACAGTCAGGGTCTTAAAGCCAACATGTCTCGAGACTCTTCCTTGATCATCTCCCTCCAGTTTGATCAAATACTATCTGAAATTGACAGTGAGCTTCTGAATAGGAAGCAGTGGTTTGAGATCTCTTCCTGTAGCATTGTGAATTCACAGTTTTACATTCAAGCGGTTTTAAAAATTGAGTGAAGATGGACAGAAGGAAATAATCTAGAAAATGGTGAGCTGATTCTGAGAGAGGGATGTAGGAAACTGCATCGAACACAAATTAAAAGCAACAGAAATAATAACTTCACATCCAGAACTTTGAACATTTGCAACATTACAACATCGGAGACAAAATTACACAAACAAAAAGTATGTGTTGAAGTTTGTTTTTTTACCCAGAACACCGAGTAGAGAGAGCAGCAGTAGCGTCTTCAGTCCCATCATGCACTCTGGTTGTGTTCTCTGTGAGCACTCTTCTGTTTCCTGTGAGGTGGCGACACTTTGACCACAGATCAGATCTGTTCACAGCAGCAGGAACAAACTCTCATGTTTGTTTGTTCACACTCAGCAGATGCAGGACATGTCTGTTCACTTCCTGTCGTTTTAATAGCTTCCTGTATCTACTCAGAGGCTGAATTCACCGTAGGTCCAGTGAGCTCCAGTCAGGTCAGCTCCTGCAGCCTGATGGTGAAATGTTTCAGTTTGTCTGCATGCAGAGCAGCTCAGCTTCTTCACAGCTGATGGTGATCAATGAGTTTAGGCCCCCGCCTCCTCGTTTCAACACTCAAACCAGTTCAACATGGCAGCTTCTCTCTCCCAAACACACATAATACTCACAGATAAAGAGAACATTTACACAAATCCTGTGAGGAGTTTTAGTATCAAACAGTCTAACGTTAATAGTGATGAAGATCATAAAGAGGTAAAATGACACATTTTCACTAAACTAAATTACGGCTATCCCTTAAATTCATTTAAATATTTTTATTTTTTGCTATGTCATGCTGACTGTTCTTCTGTAAACCACAATGAGATCTTTTAAGGACTGGTGCGACAGCCACTATCAATCAATCAATCAATCAATTTTTATTTGTAAAAAAAGCAGGTAAAAGACCTTACTCTTTGTTATGTTAGACCTGGCCTATCCATCATGAGCACTTTAGCAAAGTTACAGTGGTAAGAAAAAACGGCAGAAATCTTCAGGCAGGATCCCCGGCTCATGACGAAACAGCCTTCACAGGCCTAGACTGCGCCGGGGTTGGAAAGGGATAAAGGGAGAGATGGGATATGATGCAGGAAGAGGGATAGGCCATGTTTTTAATGTTAACAAAACCAAAGAACTCATATTTGACCCCATGACCCTGTAATAATTAACAGCTGTGCGATTGAGCAGATGTGCTCATACAAATATCTGGGCATACATAAACTGAACTGGTCTGCCCATGTTGATTACTTTTGTGCCATACTGGCTCAGAGACTACACTTTCTCTGCAGACTGAATGTTTGGTGTTTGCAGAAATATTATGTTTACATTTTACACTTCAGCACTTTGAAGTATAATCATGTATAGGATATTAATTTATAACTCCTTCAAAAGAACGTGAGTGGAGTGGTGTTTTTTTTTTTTTTTTGCATTTTGTTTTTCTGATAGTACTGTAAGTGTGCGGCCTTGGTTCAAGTCCAGGCTGTATATCCTTTTCTGGCATGTCATTCCCCACTCTCTGTCCCTGGTTTCCTGCTCTGTCCACTGTTCCATCCAATAAAGGCAAAAAGCCCCAAAATGAAATTGATTAGTAGGTTTATTATTATTTAACAAGTTGACTTATGTCAGAAAACAGCTTTGTGGGAAGCATTTATAAAGAAAAGGTCTATTTTTTATTTAGTCATGTATTCACTGTATTAGTAGTCCTTAAAAACCTCATGTGTTCCCAAAAAAGGTCAAGTTGTCAGTTGTTAGAAGGCAGAAAGCTATGAACTGCTCCAGATGCTGGTCCATCAAAAACTGGAATTTAATTAACACAAATGTTTCACTTTTCTGAGAAATTGAATAAAAACGCTGTTTGGCCTAACGATATTGTTTTGGATTGCAGAAGCCGATCTCCTCAGGTCTAAAAGAGGAAAAAAATAAGACTAGCATTGCCAACCTGGAAATGTATAAAAGAATGAAGTCTTGTTTGAGCCGCTGAAAAAATACAAACAAATTAAGAAAGAGCGGACAGTGAGACATCTGGTTTTTGATTGGGTGTGTGTGTGTGTGTGTGTGTGTGTGTGTGTGTGTGTGTGTGTGTGTGTGTGTGTGTGCGCGTGTGTGTGTGCGTGTGCGTGTGTGTGTGTGAGTGGGGTGAGGATCCCAGGTTATCCCATCTCCTTGTTACATAAAAATTAGTGAGGTCTTTAATCTGCTTTTTGTAGAGCATCTCTAGATAGCATTTGTTATGAATTGGTGCTATAATGATTGATTGCTTGCTTGCTTGATTGATTAATTGATTGATTGATTGATTGATTGATTGATTGATTGATTGATTGATTGATTGATTGATTGATTGATTGATTGATTGATTGATTGATTGATTGATGACGTTTATATCATGTGACCTATGAAAGAAAGGGGGGATCTTAATGTATGTACTGAGGCTACTTCATAAAATTACATGTAGCCTAAGCCTCTGTTGCTTCATCCACCAACTTGGATATGAATGTATAGATTACAAAAGGACTCCTGCTGGGTCCTTTTTACATCAGTTCTTGCCTTTTTATATTTTCGATCTCTAAATAACTGAAACCGGAAACACTCAGTTGTGCAGCCAGTGGAGGTTGAGGATTGGCTGAGTGCTTTGTTCCACTTGCCCTGAATGGCCAGTCCCCTATAGTGATAATGGACCATTCCTGCAGCGTGAACACCCACATGCACACTCATGTATTCACATTAACAGTGAGGAGGAATGATTCATCATTTCATCATCAGGATCTGTTTTAGCATCCCATCCAGTGCTGCAGTCTGTGAAGGTAGGACAGAGCTTTGAAGTTTAAACAGGAGGGATAACTCTGGTAGAGCTGAACAATACATCTGTCAGAATCTATTTAACTTTAACTTTAACTAATACATTTAGCTCACATCAGGAGAATTAATACAGTGAGAGAAAGAAGAGGGGATACATTGAGAATAGTTATGCTATTGTTAACTTGGTTATTATCAAAACAAGAAAATGAAGAGCTGTCAGAGTATAGATCAGAGTTTATCAAAGAATAAAGAGAAAGATTGTAATTATTCAACTATAATCCAATTAAGACTAGATAGCTTTTTTCTTCTTTCAATACCTTTTCCCCTATCCTTTAACTTATTTATTTTCTGTATGTATTCTTATATGTTTCAAAATGCAAAAATGCAATTTGACAACATGTGTGGTTGTTTTTGTTTGTTTCTTTATATCACCTATCTGTAAGAGGGACCGAGCAGATACAGCTACTGTAATTTTACCATGATCGCGATCGACAGGTAGATCGCTGACTGATTCTCAGTCGATCACGAGATGTTTTGTCAATATAAAATACAATTGTAAAATAGAAAAGTGATTTCAATTTCATCTCATTGCACTGTTTCCCACACACGATACCTGTGTTGGGAGCCCAAGTATACTTCCGACCTGTGTGTATTTAATTTTTCATTTATTCATGAAATTGCTGCGTGCATGAGAGAGCGAGCGAGAGAGCGAGCGGGGGAGCGAGAGAGAGAGAGCGCGCCCAAGAGAGAGTGCAGGCATGCGCAATGACGTGCAGGTAAAACCGGGGGGGTACATGTTTTACCAAAAAGTCATATATAGAAACTATGCTACGAGTATTAAGCGCATTTGATGAAGCTGCAGCTACTTTTCTCTGCTCCTCTCTGCTGTCATGACTGTGAGCATCGCGGGGCACGAGACACACCAACATACAGCACACACACACACACACACACACACACACACACACACACACACACACACACACACACACACACACACACACACACACACACACACACACACACACACACACACACACACACACACACACACACTGCTGTCAATGATCCTCCGTCTTCTCAGGCGGGTGTGAGTGGTGCAGAGCTGCAGATGTTCTGGTGCTAATCGTTCAAATTAGGGTTAAAGCTTCAGTAAAGAGAGAATCAGACAGACTTACAATCGGATCAACAGTCAGAACCACAAACAAGCTAACACACAAGAAAAGAGACGGACAGAAAACCACATCACAGATCTTTTTCAGGATTTGTTCATTGGTCCAAGCAGAAGTTATGCTGGTTCCAACAGTATCGATCACCTGTCATTTCGTTCAGTTTCTCAGTGATGCAAACCGGTCTCTGCTGCATGTGCCAGAATAAGCTTCAGTACATCGCTTGAAAGCTTCTTGAAAGTAATCAATCACACACGTGCAGATGAAACAACTGTTGGATAAATTGTGATGACATGTTCTATATACCATTACGATGACTTTGTTAATGTTTTGTAAGGACACACTCTCTGGCTTCTCACTGGGGTTGGTGAATGAATCACCTAAGTGCAGAGTCAGGTGTGTTTGTAGCTGATTGGCCTTGATTAAATCCAGGTGTGGGGAGTTTATATAAACTCTGTGCTGACTCATTATCTCACCTTCAGAGGTAGTGAGAGGGTCTTGTTGTGTTGTCTGTGTGTTCATAAACACAAACAAATAACTTTCTGTATATTTATATCTATTGCTAAAATAACTTGGGGTATATTCAAGATTGTTTTCTGGGATTTTTAGCCTTTGTCAGAACACTTGGTGTCTACAGTTGCCCCCGAGTGTTATGTTTGAGCCATGTGCAATTTAAAAGTAGTACCTATTCATTATTTAGACAACACAATGTGTAAAAGAAATTGGTCTCAGATTTTTACCAGAAATTGTTCTTAACATTAAACATTTAAATAATGTATTCAATTAAGGACTACGATTAATAAGGGATATGAGTCTCTAAACAGCATTATTTTCTCTTTGGATTCATTTTCTTTTTACTTTTCAGCTCTGTGACTCTGAAACACCAACACCTGAGAAACATGGCGAACAACAGATCAAATGGTAATATATCAGTTTTCATACAAGCCTATCTCCTTCTTAGTTTTTTTATTTATCTGAACAAATTGGAAAGATGTGTGCCAATTTTTGATGTATGACAAAGCCAAGTCTTCTGGGGAACATTTATTCCGGGGTGCTGGAAGTCTGCTCTAACAGAAGAGACATTGCAGATAAAGGAAACAATGCTACAGTCGGCATAATACTTAACAGGATTACTGAGGCACCATGGGAGTTTGTCCATCAAGTCATCGTGTGTGTCTCAGGTTGCAGGGAAGGGGGTAATGGGTTTTCCGATTAGAAATGAAATCAGAGATAGTCTGCAGCCCATTATGAAGCAGTCAGGATGAGAGTCAGCACCTTTAAGTTTGAGGCCATGATTCGCTGCCTGATGTTAAAGGATTCCTCCCACTTGGTCGGCAGCGAGTGGCAACCTCCGGTGTTACAAAATGAAGCCAATGCTGAAGTCCTGTAGTTTGTCGAGGGTCTGCTTGAGGCTGGCTCCAAGAGCCCTAGAAGTCACATACAGCACCCAATTCAAAAATTCACGTTTTTACAGTAATAATTAACAAGTTTACAGCCTGGTTAAAATTAAATAAAATTAGTCTGATTCGTTTTTGTGCTCATGGGCACACACTTTTTTTGTCTTTTTTGGGGGCATTTATTACCGTTACTGGACAGGACAGCTGAAGAGAGACAGGAAATGTTAGGAGGAGAGAGTGGGGGACGACATGCAGCAAAGGGCCGAGGTCAGACTTGAGCCCAGCAGGGGTGTGGCCAGAGGGAGCCACCCCAAAATCCAAATCTATGATTGACTATTTGGCTAACCAGAGGTGGGAAGATAAAATAAACTATTCTGGATATTTTAAACAGGCATACTTTGCTCTTTCCATAAACATTTGCAATTGCATGAAATTTTCTAAGTAGTTTAAATTGTGAATTTGCACATACATCTTTGTTTTTGAGATCCTAAAGAATCTTGTTAAGAAGACTTGTATTTTCCAAGATAACATATCATTAGTTGAGATAGAAAGGGTAAAAAAAAAAAAGTAATTAATCTGCATGTGTGTCCTCAAACTCCATGCCCCTTTTTTGAAAGATCCCAGCGGTCATATGGTCGTCTGAAATAAAGTTCTGTTTTGTTGTTGTTGTTTTGTCTGCAGGTTCAGATGAGTGGAGGATTGTTTTGATTGGGAAGACTGGGGCAGGGAAGAGTTCAGCAGGAAACGTCATCTTGGGCAGAAATGCTTTTGATTCGGAATTTTCTGCAACTTCTGTGACATCGATATGCAAGAAAGAAAGAGCAGTGGTTGAAGGCCGACAGGTTGCTGTCATTGACACGCCAGGTCTGTTTGACACCACTTTATCCCAAGAAGAAGTGATGAAGAAAGTCACAAAATGCATCAATATGTCTGCCCCTGGCCCTCATGCCTTCCTAGTGATTGTTCAGCTTGGCAGGTTCACAAAGGAGGAGAGAGAAACGGTAAAAATGATTCAATCCACCTTTGGCAAAGATGCAGCTGATTACACGATGATATTGTTCACTTACGGAGACAAGCTAAAGAAAAAAACCATTGAAGAGTTTATTGAAGAAAGCAAAGACCTGCAAGACATCATTAAGAAATGTAATGACCGTTATCATGTCTTCAACAACGAGAAGGACGACCCGTCACAAGTCAGTCAGCTGCTGGATAAGATACATGAGATGATCTTGGCTAACGGAGGGTCAAACTACACCACAGAGATGTACCGGAAAGCGGAGGAAGAGTTAGAGAAGGAGAAACAACGACTCCTGAAAGAGTCGGAGCCTCAAATGAACAAAGAGCTGGAGGAGCTGAGGGCCAAGTATTCTGGGGAGATGCTGGAGCTGCAAAAAGAAATTATGATGTTGAAATTTCAGGCTGAAGCTAGACATCAGGCTGAACAAAGGGCTCCTTTTAATATGTCTTTACCGGTTATGCCCTGTGTAATCAGTTAATGAGGATAGGATTACTGGTCAGAGCAGACCAAAAGCAACAGCTAGGTAAAAATCAACTAAATATATTATCCAAAAATTTATGAAACATGTGATTTATTTCATAAACCTACACTAATATGCAGGATTATAATAAAACTGGCACAAGTAACTATAACGCTTACGTATATTATGTATGCTTGAATCCATGAATTAATGGTTGCTAAATGTTTAAACATGCACACAGTTAAGAATTAAGAACATTCATGAACACATTAACTATCAGCTCATTGTTGAATATTTTGATGTATTGTATGTCGTATGTATTGTATGTGTTGCTAGGTTAATAACATGAAAGGAAATCAAATAGCACAAAACTAAGTTTGAAAAACATGTTTTGTGCATTATATGCTTAAATATATATTCTTGAAAAAGAATATAATACATGTAAACCGCTTTAAACAGACAATTAAAATGTCAGTAATTCAACAAATCTGCACATTTTAGTACAATCTGTAATCAGGTTTGTGACATATAAATTTGATTGAAAGAATTAGGCTCAAAAAGAGGCTCTAAAAGATTTGCATTGATAATTAGTAGATCTATTGAATTAACCTAATGCAAGGTTGAAGGATGAATTTGCGTGATTAAAAAAAAGATAAATTATTAGTGTTTATTGGCATGGCAAAATGTACACAGAATACACAAATACCCACACATAATAATACAAATGAATGTTTTAAATGTAGATTTATAAACTGCCCATTGTTTATAAAAAAAGGTGTATTAATAATGCATGTGCACAAGTTATATTGGAGAGAAACCTTCCATAAAATTGATGTTCAACATTCATTATGGAAAAAATGCACATTTATAAATTATGTGTAGGTTTATGTACCCGGCTTTCAGAATAAGAGTATGTTTAAGTGATTAATTAAGGGAAAAGTGTTATTACTACTCAGGCTAATTGAATCTGTTGCTGTTGCAATCTTGTTGCCATGGTGATGGAAGGCTGTGAAGGTCAGCAGTCCCGAGGCTGATGGAGATCATCACAAACATAATGCTAATACTATGGAAACAGTTTGAATATTCCAATGCTTTTTTATATTATCAGATCCTCATAAGTACAGCCTGTGACTGAGCAGCTCCTGAGGGTTTTCCATGTTAAAAAGAACACCCGTAATCCCTTGCTGGAGGTGCAGAGTGAAGCCTAAAGGGAGGACATAGAGTTAAAAGGAAATAATATTCTTCAGCATGTATCGTTATCAGGTAATTTTATACGAGTTTTCAGTCATCTGCCGAGAATTCTCATCCTCCTCTCTTTTCTTTCAACACTGATCAGCTCTGTGTTAATCCTCTCTGTCCATCTTGAGGATCAAGTTTCCCCTAAGAGCTCATTAAAGTTCATCAAATGGGAGACATTGACGTCAACTATTGGGAAGCAGCTGCAGTTTGAAACAGGTATCAGCCTCAGATGTCTTAAAAGCCCCTGTGAGGAATTTTCAAATGGTTATGAAACAAACTGAAATTGAGATTTAATTGTCAATATAACCTATAAAAGCACAGAAAACTGATCACTTCTAAAGAAGTTATGTTTAATGCCTGTAACAGCTGCTGCGGGTAATGTGTCAGACACACAGACAATGTGTTGGGCAGCAGTAGCTCAGTCTGTAGGGACTTGGGTTGGGTCACCGGTTCAAGTCCGGAAATTGGTCTGGTAGCTGGAGAGGTGCCAGACCACTTCCTGAGCACTACCGAGGTGCCCTTGAGCAAGGCATCGAACCCCAAAACTGCTCTGGAGCGCTCGCTGTGGGCAGCCCCCTCACTCTGACACCTCTCCATTAATGCATGTCCATAGGATCCTGTTTGTGTGCATGTGTGTATAGCATGTTCATTAGACAGAGTGGAAAACCGAATCTCCCCACACAGGATTAATAAATTATTAATTATTATTATTATTTACAAGGGAGACCCGGCAAGACAGGCAGCAGTAAAAACACAAAGTTATAGACAGAGACACAAATACAGACACAGTACAATTTACAAAACACTACATTTTGCATTAAAATAGAACCATATGAGTCAAAAACTGAGAGTCAGCAATTCAAGCAGTTCAGCTAAAAACATCGGCATCCAATAGAATCTGCTTCCATGTCTTTCATTTTAGATTTCAAAACATTTAAGGACACCAGCGCCTTGAGTTTTAAGTCATTCTGAAACAGATTCCAGCCCCAAAAGCCCCTTTCCCAATTTTTGTTCGAGCCTTTGGGACAGAGAGTGTAAAGAGATCCTGAGAACGCAAGGAATACTCCAGTACTTTTCTGCATGATAAAAACACATAGATAGTGAGGAAGCAGACCAAGAATTGCCTTATATATAAAGGTGTACCAGTGTAAGAGCCAACGGGTCACCAGAGCAGGCCTTCCAAACTGAGAGCCTATAACTGAAGCCTAACGTGAAACCATACTGAGTTCAATTAAAGCGCTGTCAATGTTATACCACAGTTTCTTTAGTAACTGTCTGCAAAAAGAAACAGAGCAATGTGTCATAGTTTGAAAAACCTTACAAACTGCAGGAGAAAACAATCAGTACCATCAGACAGAGCCATGCGCTGACACAAAGAAATGTTACGAAAAACATTAGAAATCAGAATGTCTTGTGTGCATGCCTTGTGTTGTCTTCAGATATTAAATGTGTACTTACAAGCTCTATATTGTCACTGTGCCTCAGTATCCTTTCTTCTCCTTTAACTACTTGATATTTTCAACTTGTTGATGGAATCAGGTCAGAACATCTTTAAACAAACAAAAAGGCCGTATAGAGCTTAGTTTAGATTAATCTGAGTGTTTGCATTCTGTCTTCTTTTGCTCTCCACACAAACTGCTTCCCTGCTTACAGCCAAAGCCCTTTGATACACCAGTACAAAATGAATCACACAATAATGTAAGAGGTTTCTATGTAAAGTGTCCATCAGAAGTAATTAATCCCATTCACATACATTCATATGCTGCAGATAAAGCAGAGGGAGCAACTTGATGTTATGTGTCTTGCCCAATGAGCTGGGGATTGAACCCCTGACCTTCTGGTTGAGAGACGACAGCCTCTATGAACTGAGCCACAGCCAGCCCTTCCTGAAATGGGTTATTTAAGAACAAGGAATGGAGTAACTGACAAATAACATGAAAGATATAATAATATTACACCCAAAATAAGAAAACCGTATAAGTCCATACTGTTTGGAGTCCTGATTCAGATTTTGTTTTAAAGTTTAATAATATAAACCTGTGTTTTATCATTTGAAGATCAATTGTACAATACTGTGAATTGATTGTTTTCAGCTTATTTAAGATACAAAAAGGAAAATTATTTTCTCACTAACTCAATAGAATTTTTCTTAAAATACCATTATTAAATACCACTTTATTTTAAACTAAAGTTTGAGAGGTTGAATTACCAGATTCCACGATGACTTTTGTAGATAAACCAACATTTTTATAAATACTTTGGTTATGGATTTTATTCTGGCAGCCAGATACATTTTCTAAAAGCAACCTTAAAAATATACCACAAAACAAGTTTTTTTAATGTATGTCACTGTGACCCCCCTTCTCAGAGAAAATCAACTCAAACCCCCCCATTAGTTTGGTAATCACTCACTGTTTGTCTAAAATCAACTGGGGGATAACCGAGTTGTTTTGTTATTTTGTCAGTGTGTCCATAAATAGTTTACTGACTCCTCTGTTAGTAGTCGATAGTGTACCCACATGCCCACACAGATATCATTAGATAACTTTGTCACTGAAGAAAAAAAAGATGATCAGGCAAGCTGTAGCTTCTTTTTTCTTCCTGGGAGTTATCAACATTTTTTGGATGGACATTGGAGATAATGATATCCTCCAAAAGTGAAAGTCATATTATAATAGTCTATGTTTGAGGCAAGTTTGTTCACATGGGAGTGTCTATTGACTCCTGTGACTGTTTTAAAAACACCCTAATCCTATTCAGGACCGGTGTGTCAGCGCTACAGCCTTGACAGCTGACACACTACAGTAGATAACTTCCTGTCAATCTTTTGATACCTGAACATCACCCAAATCAATCAATGCACAGAGATGTCAATGGAAATATATAAATGTTTATTCATATTTTGTTTTCAACCATATGACCTGTCCAGGGTGGTCCTTTCAGATTGATATAGCTCCAGACATAAACATCATGGATCACATTCCCCTTCATCAGAGGTCTTTAAGACAAAACATTCAGTAGATGTGCAGGTGTGTGTGACGTCACAGCCAAGCAGGTGTGTCTACAAAGAGAATCTATAGAACATGAGAGATGATGCATGGTTGCAGCCCTTTAGCCCAGTATTTATACGTAAAGAGTGAGAATAAGAAATATTGTTTTTTATTTCCAAACAGATAGTTTAGTTCAGATTTGTTCAAAGTTTTAGTTTTCCTGTTCTCACTCAGACCGTGTCATCCCAAACACCTGAGAGGACTCAAGTTCTCCAGATCAACCAATCACAATCAAGAACACAGTGCAAGTTTTGGCACCTGAAAGACTTTTAAGATGTTGTAGATTAATTTCTTAAATCTTGCATTTCATTGTTTTTGTCCTCTACGATATGACATTTTATGATTGGGTCTTATTACATGTTCCTGTCGTCCTTTCTGAGGAATTTCCTTCTAAATGTATCTAAGGGAAAAAGGTTGTTCTGGAGGGCCTGCTCAGACAGTCACAAAGCTTCTAGTCATCCTTGTCTACCATCTGTTGGCTAACAGCAGACTGTCTTTTAGCTTAGCATCAGGCTTATTTTGGGAAAAATGACTGTGGTAAGTGATCAAATATTCCCGATCAAATATTCCCCGACCTCATGTGGTGTCTTTTTCTTTTTTTTATAATAACCCAATTGTCCCAACTGGGGTAGTAGAGGTTGTGGGGTCCCAGACCTGCAGCTCCCAGTTAAATCTGCAAACACATTCTGTTTTTAAAAAAAAAAGCTTTTTAAAGCCCTGATTGAGCCAAAAAACTGATGGAGAGTTTCTGTGATCACTGAAAGATGATCTCTCCTCTCTGCAGGTTGAGTCACACAGAAACTATCAAACAGAAACAGAAATTGTGTCTTTGCATGAAAGAAATGATGACAAGCAGGCATTTTCTGACATGAGTCTTACTGTTTTGCAAATTATTTGATCGGCTGTTCCTTTTTAAGAAAACCTTCACAGAGTCACAGAAAGTGAAACAGAAAGTGAATAAACACATTCAATTAAGAATTATTTTTTTCATAGAATAATAATTTCTCTTTAGCAAGAGACAGAAAAGCCTTGACAGGCTGTCAAAAAACAAGCAAGTCAGTCTTTGTTTCCTGTAAAAATGAACGTGTACACGTTAGCCCCAAAAAAAGTGACCAGCATCGGTGATCCAGAGTCAGAGAGCCAATGATTCAGAATCAGCTGTCCAGTCTCATTGGTTAACAGATCCTGAATCAGTGATCCAGTCCAAGAGATCCAGTTGAAACGATCAAGACACACTGTCATTGAGTCAGTATCAGTGATCCATTTGCCCAGAATTGGCAATCCAGTCCCTGCAATTTTGCATCAGCGATTCATTAAAGGTGATCCAGTAGATCCAGCGTCAATGATCAGTCTCGGTGATATCATGATCCAATATCAGCAATCCAGTGATCCAGTTATGAGCTATCAAACTGCTTTTTGTGTAAAATGTCCCTTCTAGTGTGATGTCATTATGTCATTTTCACTGTGAATTTTTTAATCACTGTAAATTAATTCTTACAGCTCTGGTTCTGCAACATTAACTTTCTTGATTCATTTATGTAAGAGGGTTTGATGTTTGGATGAAACATGAGGACTTTTGTGAGTGCATTAGATAAGCAAATGTTAAATTTCTGCTTGAATTGTCTGATTAATCGATGACAAAATTGCTAAATTATCTTTGAATACACGTATCAATCGTTTTGGCCAATCTGTAAAGCTCTTAAGAAAATAATCATCAATGTAATCAGTGATTAATGGTAATTTCTTTATATTTTAAGCTAAAATCAATGAAGTGAATAAAACTGTTTGAAATATCTTTCAAACAGAGACAAAACAACAATCTTTTAAAGCATCTTTGCTTCCTGTGTCTCATCTTCTCAAAAACTCCCTGCAATCTGATTGGTTCAAAGGTTTCAGGCTGTACAAAAACTCAAGAGTCTCCTGACATGCCCCTTAAGTCTGACCCAGATAAAGTATCTCACTGTGCCATCACACAAACCAACTCAGCGGGCATTTGTTGAACCTCCTCTTCCCGATAGAGGAAGACTTCCTCCAGCTCATTGCTGTGGGTCAGCCTGTCGAACAAGCTCACCTGAGACTCCGGGTTAAGATTAAAAACCTAATCTTTCCCAGTGCCTGATGGGTATTTTTCCCTCTGAAAGGGTTACCAGTGGTGGTTCTTGGAGAGGTAGGCAATCAGGGCCACAGCCACTCCCACATAGATACCTGTCCCGATGGTGATTGCCAGCACAGCCAGGAAGAGAGCCCGCCTCGAACTGGAGCTGGCGTGATGAAAATCTCCTTTAGACACTGCCTTGTTGGTCTAAGAGGGGAAGAAATGGAGAAAACGGGAAAGGAAAGGGGAGGACAAGGGAAAAAAGAGAAGAAAATGAGCAGCCTGGAAAATGAAAGAAGAATCAGTTAGCAGTACTGTGAGGTACTGATTCTGCTTTAAAGCTCCAAAGGCAAATCAGAAGAATCAAGAAATGCCATTTTATCTCAAGAACTCCAATAAATGAGTTCCTATTGAATCACTCAACCAAATGATCAGTGTTTACGTACATAGGACCAAATCATAGCAAAAGTTATCTCAGGACAATTTACTTAAAAGCAGGTCTATACCAACGACCTAGAAACATTTTTATTAACAGAGACCCAACATCCAACAATGAGCAGTAACTGTAAGGAGAACCTTAAAGGGATACTTCACCCATTTGCATTAAACTTTGTATCATTAGAAACCTGGTAGTATTTTTGAATGGTTGCGCATCCCGCCCTCATTTTACCCTGAGACGGGAAATCTTTGTATGTTTTAGTCTGACAAGCAGCCTCCGATGACGCAAAAATCGTCATTTTGCGTCATCGGAGGCTGTTGTGGTTAGCGGGGACGATATTGCTAATTCCTCATATTTTCGACCACTGAAGCTACAGACCAATCACAGATCAGTGGGTGGGACCTCACTCCCAGAAACAAATCTTAACGTCCGCCATATTGCTTGGTAGCTGTGCTAACAGGCTCTATGGAGAAAGCTGATAAGAACCAACAGTGGCGAAAAAAATTATGTTTCAACTTCAAACTGATATGGATGAAGGGGATTTTGAAGGTCCTGTGCTTGAATCGGATGTTCGTGGCTATCTCTACGAGCCGCAATATAGCGGCGAGGTGGCAGCTGCCTCCTGCCTGTCGGCGGCGGTGAGGACGAGGAGCCGGAGCCGGCTCGAGCTGGGGCGGACTGGTGGTGTTGGTGCTCTCACTGTTTGCCTATGGACACAGACATAGAGTCTGTTTTCTGCCAGGAATTTCCAAGATGCCAATTCCTTCAGGAAGAAATCTCGGAATCAGTTGAGGAAACGGCCGTATGTGTAATGTCTGTAAATAGAGGACCTTAGTGGGAGTGGCCTGCTGTGCTGTGCATTCTGGGATTTGGTGTCTTTCATCCACATGAGCCAAAAAGACACTTTCTGCCTTTTCTCGGTCAAGAAGGCACCAACTTCAAAATGTATTTCACATTTCTACTACATATATGACCCAATGTCAATACAGATTCATGTTTCAAAGGGTGAAGTATCCCTTTAACAGTCAGACTGTCGCACAGAACCAGACTGGTTGGTGCAAGATGCATGCTGGGACACTTTCCTGCACTGTTCCACTGTTTCATGTACCTCCATTATCAGCACTCAGCTAATCATTTTAATTTTAATACCAAACAATACCAAACAGACTCAATTCATAATCAGTTTATGGAGGCTTTACAAAGTTCACAGACAGATAAACAACATTAGAATACACAAGATTATAAGGGATGGAAGAACATCAGTCCCCCTGCTCTGGGATCAGATTTAGATCACGCTAATATGATCAAGAGGCAAAGCATCCAGTTTAGTTTTAGTTTTTGAATTACCAGATGCTTAGATTACTTTTGTAGATAAACCTAAGATTCTACACATCAAGACTCCTGATAGAGCCATTTTTGTATAACTTAAGTGTAGGCCTATGTAAAGATGACCAGATGCTTTATTGTTAATGGACGATGTGAAAATAAACCCGTTGATTGCGCAGATGTTTGTGGACTGAGTCATTGCCCCTCAGTGGGTTTCTTCTTGCTACTGCAGAGCTTCTTATTGTGCAGTGATGGATTCCAGTGTGGGAAGTGTCGCCACTGGCAACCAGCCCTGTATCTTTCTGAACTGTAGGTGTGAGGTGCCATGGAAACAGCAATACATGCAGTACTACCACACAACAATAAAACAATGTTACTAAAATTTCGCTCAGCCTCATGTTTGATGCTCATTACTACATTTAAAGATAAACAAAAAATATTCTCCAGACTTCATACTTCAAACAACAACACCCTTTTTTTTTTTTTAGCAGTTGCGATAATAAAAACACTAATGTTAGCTTATTTTGATTGGCAAAATCAAGTCACTACAACTCCCATTAGTATTTGTCTCAGTAGGGAGCCAATATGCTGTGACCGACTTGTGATGTTCCAACTCATTGTAATGTAAGAAGAAGCTGTTAAAAAAGGTTTAACTGAGATTTCTTTTATAACTTGGTTTTGCTCTGTTGAAGAGGGATCTCTGAGGGATGTGCAAAAAGTCCACCAAACAATTCAACGTCGTCATCCTCACTACTAATCGGAATTTCTAGGCAGTTAGAATAATTGATATTATAAATGTAGTTCCACAATGCCAGCTTAAAGTTGTAAATGGTTAATGTGGCACAACCAGTAAAGTTACCTAAGGTCATGTTTTGTTTCTGTCCAGTTATTTCTGTATTATTGTCATTTCCTGTTTTATTTTGTTCCTTGTCTCTGTCTTTCAGATCCTGCTCCTCATGTTTTCCTGATTTGTGCCTCCCTGCCCTGATTGTGCGCACCTGTGTCTCCTTATCCCCCGATTGTCTGTGTATAACGTCCCTGTGTTTCCTCCTTCATGTTGCCAGTGAATAGTGTGTTCCTTTGCCTAGTTCCAGCCTTTTTCTTCCAGTGAGCCTACCAGTGTTTTTTGACAATAGTCTGCTTTCTCGTGTTTGTGTTTTGCCTGCCGATTTTGGATCTGTTTGCTCCTCTTTATGCTTACCTGTGTTCCGACATGGACTGGTTATTAAAATCTGCTTACCTACTGAACTCTGCTTTGTGTGAGCCTGCATTTTGGGTCCTTTTATCTGTCTGGTTCTGTGCAAATTGACTTGGATGGTGTTTTTTTTTTATGTAGTGCTTTTACACTGTATGTCTCATTTAGGAACTGGCACCATATTCCCACACTGATGCCAGAGGCTACATAAACACACTGCCCAACAATATTATTCCATTCACACGCATTCACACATTGTTGGTGACAGTAGCAGCAGGGTTTGGGGTTCTTGCCCATGGACACTCTGATGTGTGGTTACTGGAGCTGGGGATCAAACCCCAAATCTTCAAGTTGAGAAATGGCAGTCTCTAACGCTGAGCCGTAGCTCAAGTGTCAGAGCTGTGATGCAACCACCTGCAATTAGCTGGGGCTAGTAGCGCCGGTGAATTGGCCTGCTTTCTCTCCATTACTGCCTGGATGTAAACGAGGACAGTGGATGGATGGCGTCTGATGAAAGTGCAGGTAAACTTGTAGATAACCACTCAACAAGAGATAAGCGTAACTACATTCAGCGTAGGCATGTGGATGTCAACATGCATGGAGGACTGAAGGCTGGTGGTGCTAGAACTGCTTATGTTAACTACACTCAGCAAACCTTTTTACATCATTAACGGGATCCACATCGCAAAGTTCTACACAGTTCAGCAGCATTTAACAAAGCTGTCAGTTTTGTTCCTGAAGAACATGATGAAAATAACAATTTAGTTGGCTACATGAAATAAGGGTTTGGACAGTGATTAGCTGTGTTAAATAAATTGTGTTAAATTCTGACTAGGTGACTAGTCTGTATTTAAATTTCTGTTTAATTAATGTCACCAGGATCATCCCTTGGACTCTCAGAGAATTTCTAAATGAGTGCGAGTGTTTACAAGCTGAATTGATTTTTGAACATGATTAATAAGCTAGCTGGCAGGAAACAGCTCTCTGGAAACACTGCTTCACTTCCAGTAAGATTTAATTACACTTTCAGAACAATCAGACGTCCAATCACTGACGTCAGTCAACCAGAGCAGCAGTGCGGGGCCACTTCTGATTGGTCCAGATGAAGACAATGAGGCGCTCCCACAGTATCTGCTGCATTATGAAAAACGTCCTTGTAGGTCTGAGCAGAATGTGTGGAGCCAGAGAGTTATGTAAAGAGGTGTGTGTGTGTGTGTGTGTGTGTGTGTGTGTGTGTGTGTGTGTGTGTGTGTGTGTGTGTGTGTGTGTGTGTGTGTGTGTGTGTGTGTGTGTGTGTGTGTGTGTGTGTGTGTGTGTGTGTGTGTGTGTGTGTGTTTTGGGGCTACACTCTAAAGCATCCATTCAGATTATCCACACCAGCTTAACAACAAACAGATTGTTTGTTTCAGTCTGCCACCAGAACAGTTTGCTGTCAGGACACATGAGTTCAGAGAGTAAATCGGCCTGACAGACAAAAAAAAATACAGAAATGTACCCTGACAGTAAAAAATTCTGCGAGTGTCAGAAATGCATAAATAACAGACACACTGCTGTCCACTTCACTTTCCCCTTTACACCCTGAGCAACAGCTCATTACAGACCTCCACAAAAATGTTCTACGTTAACTTACCTTAAATTAAAGTGTTCTGAAAGTCATTTACCAAACCAGTGAATTATTTTCAGTGTAAAGGATCCTGCCAGTATAGTATCATGACAAGTCAATGCTTGACAGTATTGTGCCAAAACAGTGAAGTTTCTTGTGTGTACAGTCATAGTAAATTGCCCTTACATTAAAGTCTTTTTAGTGTAAAGGGTCCTGAAAGTAAAAGTTCTGGACGGTTAAGAATCCATTCAACAGACTACTACCTCTATAAGACCTAATCAGTGAAAAAGACCATCACCAATAAGATAGATTTTTTTAAATAACCTGAAATCGACACTACAGGGTTAGTGGTGGGGCAGCAGCAGCAGTCAGTCTGTAGGGACTTGGGGAAAAGTCTGTTAAAGTCCCTGCATGGACCAAAATATGGAAATGGATTGTGGAGAGGTGCTTGGTCGCTTGCCAAGTACTGCCAATGTTCCTTTGAGCAAGGCACCGAATATATTTATCTTATATATATATAGAGATTTTTTTAATGAACTGAGTGCAGATATCAGAGTAATAGTGAATCATCCTGAGGTATTTTGAGCATAAAGTATCTTCTCAGTGTATTGAAAAATATCTTGATAGTTATGTTTCCGGACAGTTAAGTGTCCAACAGTTATGTGTCGCTACAGAAACGTTTTGGGATTTTTTCATACAGATTTTTAAAAACTTTTTTGTGCCTTTTATATCAAAGGACAGAAGCTAGAGTAAGACATTGGAGAGATAGAGAATGATATGCAGGACATAACCTCTAGGTCACCAGAGCCCCAAAAGGTTCCCTCCCCTGCAAGTTAAAAGTCTCAATAGTAATTGATTTTGAAGAAGCCTATCTTGACAGGTATGTGTCGAGTAGTTGACAGATATTTAAGTGAAGTTAATCCTGAAGAACATTTCAGGGTTAAACTAGTAGTTTCCCTGAGAAGTTCCCAATGAAAAATTCTGACACGCAAGCATCTGTCAAGTAAAGTGCCTTGACAGAAATGGATCTTGCCAGTAAATTGCCCAGACAGTAATTCATCCTGACAGTAAATCCTACTTACAGTAAAACAAAGATAGAATATTACCCTGAAAGTCAAGTGTTATGAGTGTTATGTGTCCTTAAAGTAAGATACAATAACAGTAGAGTTAATTACTACACACTGAGGTGTCCTGATAGTAAACATTACAAGTGACTGAGAGAATATCTTGTTTCTGCAATACTGCCGGGCTTTTATTGTAACATAAACATCAATTAGTCTTTTTAATTTTTGAATGATACTGTACTTTATTCTTTTCCCTCTTTAAAGACCGGACGGGGGGAACGATTTCCTGTTTGGGCTCAACTGTTCATCTCACATGACTCAACGCTTCTATTTTTTTTTTTTTTTTTTTTTTTAACACCCCCCTCCCCCTCCTCCCTTTTCTTGCTGCTGCAGAGCTTCGTATTGTGCAGTGATGGATTCCAGTGTGGGATGTGTTGCCACTGACAACCAGCCCTGTCTCTTTTTGAACTGTAGGTGTGAGGTGCCATGGAAACCGCAACACATGCAGTAGATCAGCCAACACTCTTTTTTTAGCATTTCAATTTTCCATACTATAAAGACCATACAAAGACAGACTCAAACACAGAGACGGCAGACAGACGGAGTGTCCTCATCGGGCTGACTGCAGATCAGTGGCCTGTGGCACCAGGTATGTGTAAGTTTGTGTTCAAGGTCCACATTAAACCCTATGTTGAATCTTGTTACGTCGTTGTTTGGTTTCACCTCAGGGCCGTAAGGTTCATCTTACTGTAACTAGTAGAGCGTAATGTCCAAACTAAACAAAGTTTTGACACAGACATGATGACTAACTTCATGTGAACAATCAGGCATTGGTTCTTGATGTACTGTTTTGCCTCTTGAGCATACTTTTCTCTAAAGAGACTTAATGCTGAAAATAACTTCAGTTAATCCAGAACACAGATATCAAGTGGTGAGATAGTCAACTAAACATGAGGTCTTTTACAGTTTTTCCCCCATTTCATACACACAAAAATGTAACTATGCACACAATTCTTGAAGCTCATGTATCACCAACGTGACTCCAAACTGCTAAACTTTAAGCAGAGTGGTCTCACTAAAATAGCATTCTAAATCACAACTGTGCAAGTGTCTGAACACAAATTGCATTATTTAGCACACTCGGTTCACTTAGAAAAACTGGCCTTCAAAATGCATTGTTTTTTGTCAGTTCAGCTAAACACTTTTTATCACAGAAATTAGTAAATATTTATTTTGTTAACTTTTCTGTATTCATGATCTTTTATTTTTTTAAACTGTTTCTAATTGTGCCTTCTAGTGTTGCAGTCAGAAGCATATGATAGCTGCGTGTATCATTTTGTTTCAGTTAACTAGTTTCACTTTGTTTGAGAAATTGAGCCACAGTTTCTGGAAATGTGTTTCAACATGTACATGTATATGGAGTACTTCTCTTATTACTGCAGAGAATGCACTGCTGACGCCAAACAGTCGGTAAAACCACTGACTCTTCTTCATCCTCCAAGTTTTCCATCCTTTTAAAATGAAGGACTTTACATCTAGTAGGGGCTAGGTGTAATATGCACTTATGCATGAACTATCTCAGCCATTGCAACACCTTGAATGTAAATAGTGCATTAACTCCATCCTGAATTAGAAATTACATCCAAACTATGGCTACCTTTTAACTTAAGCCTGCAACCCAGTGCAGTTATATAAGGAGTGTTGTGTCAGTGTGTGTAGGAGCAGCTTCGTAATAATGTTCCACAAACTGAAAGAAAGGAAGAAGAAACTGCAGCAAGAGAGCAGATCATCTGCAGTCTGAACACAAACCACACATTTACATCTGCATACACACTACATCAGAAACACACAATAAATCATCTGTTTCACAAAACTTCATCAGCTGACACACACACACGCTATGAGCTTTTAAAGAAGTGCCACAAACACTTCTTCACTTTATAAACATTGCATCAGCTGACAGGCACACATCATCTGTTAAACAAACTACACCAGCTAATACCTGCACTATGTCATCTGTTAAACACACTACAACATCACATCAGTGGCAACACACTATAACAGCTGTACCGTAAACTACTTCTGTATTATAGTATTTCACTATGCAAAAACACAGTTCCTGAAACGAGGGCCCTGATTCTCAAAACTCCACAGAAAAACCAACAACATATGCACAAAATGTAAAACATCTTACATCTCTTGCAAAAGCAAGCACTACACACAGAATTACATTAACCTCTAAAAGTGATGCTTTTTCGCAAAACTTTCAACACAAACATAAGAAATGCACCTGACTGTGTATGTGACTGCTAAATGCAAAGGGGAAACAAAATCTCTGTATTCTCAATGCTGAACTGAAGGTGACATATCTGTTCTCTTAATCATCTTCCTCTTTTCTTATCTTCCTCTTTCTCTTCTCTTGCTCCTTTTCCTCATCCTCCTCATTCTTGAACACATCAATCTGAGTCCTAATGACGGTGGTCAAGCTTGAATTACTGTGTGATCTAATTGGTTAAGATAAGATAACATAGTCCTTTATTGATCCCCAGTGGGGGAATTCAAGTGCTACAGCAGTAAAAGATAACAAGAAGAACATGCATATGAGTATGAATACATTTGGAATATATAGGAATAAAAATAAAAATAAAGATACTATGTATTCACAACTATTATAAGCAGGATGTCTGTCTATGATTAAGAAGACAGACTAGGACCCACTGCTGTTGTACAGTCTGATGGCAGTAGGCACAAAGGAGCGCCTGAAGTGCTCAGTTTTGCACCTGGGGGGATGAGACGATGGCTGAAGGAACTTCCCATCTGCCACAGCTCATCATGGAGAGGGTGAGAGGAGTTGTCCAGTATGGCTGTGATTTTGTCCCTCATCCCCCTCTCAGCCACCATCTCCAAACTGTCCAATACCAGGCCAACAAGGTGTTACAGGTGTCCTCACATGTACATTCTGTGTTCAGGTGGTAGATAATTGAGCGTGACAGTGTTTCAGTTGCAGTGTTTAACAAGGTCCAATATGTAAAATAACTACTGAATTGAATCATAAAATGACCTTACTATATCATCAGACATTTAGGAAGCCTGTATGTTCTCCTTCTAATCTTTAATTCTGATGTGGAATGGTTTGTTTTTGTTTTGACCAGAGAAGGTAGGAGAAGGAGAAGGCGATTTGAAACCACCCCCACACACGGCAGTTTTGAACGGCAGGCAAATGTCAAACCAACAGGTGTTGCAGTGATGGAAACGTGCAAGCAACCGGGTTCAAATATAACTGATTCTACTCGACCTAAAAAGTTCTACAGTTACTACAGTTTGATCAGTAGTACCATCTTAATGATAATACTGTTATAGTAATAATACAATTATATCACTATTGCCAGTAGTTTTGTCACTGCTGCTTCAACATTCTCATGATTTCTGGTGCTGATACTTTTGCTGCAACTGGGCATCTACAAAGCTTTTACTGGTTGTAGTTTTGCTCCAGGAAGTCGGGAAATTTAATTGCTGATTGGCTTTTGCAACACCGAGTCCATCAGATGCAGCCATGCAGACAATTGTCTTTAAATTACCATTGTTGAGAGCCAGGATGTCATTACAGCAGATACAGCAGATTCTACATGTTTTACGTAGAATCTGTAAATAGAGATTGTACTGGGACTGTTGCTAATGCTTCGACTATCACTACTACAATTAGACGCTACAATGTCAAAGTAGTTACTCAGCTGTTTCTTCCAGTGAAATTCTTGCAATTGACTCCAAAATCCAAGTATTTCTGAACACACCAGCTTTACCACACTTTTTTTCATGCAGGTATCAAAACTCTTCACCTCTGTTAATTAAGAGAGATTAGTACCAGTTGTAATACCAATACCACTGAGCCAAGATAAACTCAGTACAAGTCAGTCAAACTATTTCTAATGAACTCTTTGGAGCTCTGCCCGGCCAGCATGGTTTTACAGCTCAGGTGAGTGGGAGTGTCCTTACCTCATGCGACAGGTAGAAGGCAGCAATGCCGAGCGGCCAGAAGCAGCAAAGCATGGAGAAGACACTGAGGCCCAGGTGATCTCTAGGAGGCATCAACAGGAAGGCATCCTCACTCTCTGATTCACTGGAGTAATCACTCTGATAAAACACACAGACAGGTTAGTTAACAAACTCATCGTCTGTCCAGTGAAAGAACTGTGACTTCCTCTGCAGATGGATGTATGGTGTGAATTTATGGGGCTACAGCTAACCAGGCTTTTATTTCACAATAAGAAAAGATTCCAATCTCATATGACACAGATAAGCTTGTATGAGGCTTTCTTGCACAGTGTACCATTAAGTGAACTTGTTGTCATGACACAGTCTGCCTGCACCTTTAAATACTCCTCAGACTCCTCCTTCAAGACAAACATTATGTGCAGACAGATGTGCTTCTTTTAATCAACACGTAACCATTTTTACTCTAAACGGCGCTCTCTAAGCCAGCTGGTAAGCTTTTGTTTTAAAACTGACAATGAATATTTTAATGTTACAAAAAGATTTGACATGTGCTGTGATAAACTATAACTAGTATGGAAGTGCAAGCAGGTCTGGACACTCTTGCAGTAATCTCCCTCTCTCTCTCTCTGGTATTAGAGGGACAGAGTAGATTAAAGATGGACTTTACCGAGACAAATTCACAGCATTTCTAGCTAATCTTCTCTAAAGCGATTGGCTGTTAGACGGCCAAATGTGTCGTTCAGAGAGCCGCAGCTCGCTAATCTCATTCTGCTGGAAACTCAATAACTCACAACCGGACGGATGGAGGGATGTCAGGGAGCTCAATTAGATGGATTATTAAATATGCTTCCTATGAAACAGGGTCAAATTCCTAACAGACAAAACACGGTAACAGACAATACACATAAGATCTTCACAAAACTAAATATAATGAAAACTAGTCAACATAATAAAGACCAATAGCCTGGGGTGTTTTTAAGGTTGATTGAGCTAAACTAGCAGTGCTTCCCGTCTTTAAGCTAAGCTCAGATAAAAGGAAGGACCTTCCCAACGTGTTAAAAATGTTCCCTAAAATAGCTTAAGCCATTGGTTTAAGAAGTCTGTTTTTCATAACAAGGTAAAATATGATATCCAGTTAGCTCACATGCCAAGCTAGCAGACAGTTAGCTTCTCATTCCTGAACCAAGATGCCAGTCAAGTTATGCCAACATGAGGAATGACGTAGCTAGAATGAGCAAAACCTGAAACCTCAGGGTTTGATCACAACAGGACTAGTGGTCTCTAAAGGACTAGCAGCCTATCACATGCATCTTCGCACCTGCAGACGGCGCTCTATTAGCCAGCTGGTATACATTTTATTGAGTATTTAAAAATCACTGAGTCCCCCAGGCTTTTTTATTTTCAGATGATAAAACACTGATGATTTGAACCTGCTGACCTCAAGCTCCTGAAACTCGTCGTCGTCATCAATGTCATACGAGAGCGTATGAATCTTTGCGTCCTCTCCAGAATAGTCCATAAACCTCCCGTCAGCAAACAGCAGCGCCTCCTTTGTGGAGGAGGCAGCAGCAGCATCTGAGAAGGAAGCATCAGGGCTCAGACCTTCAATGAAGGTAGTCTCACAGCAGTCGCCTCCCCCTGCCTCTCCCCACGCCCGCAGAACGCTCTCTGGGCACAGGAGGAGGCTTGGGGCCGGCCTGTAGTGAGGGTCGGAAAACACCTGTTGGGGGAGGAGAGCACTGGGGTTCAGGAGCTGAGGCGGACCTCCTCCCATCCTGTTCCTCTCCTGCTGAGGAGGTGTATTCACCACATGACGCTGATATTGAGGAGCTGAGTACACCAATAGCAACGCCTCCCGAGGCTCCCCCCCAAGCCTATGGGTGTCTATGAGGCCATTTTGTGTGCAGGGGTCTCCACTGTCCCCTACTCCAGCTCCTCCTTCCCTGCCTCCTCCTCCTCCTCCTTCTACTCTTGGGGCTGCCCTCCCAAGTCTGGAAGAGGACTCAGCTATCTGTCTTTGGCTATCCTCCTCTCCACCCTCCATCCTTCTTTGGAGCTCTGCTGGGTGCTCCTTGTCCTCCTCCTCCACAGAGGCTCTATCAGGGGGGGTCAGAGGTCAGGGGTCAGGCATTGCATGCTGAACCCTCCTGAAAAAAAAATAAACAAAAAACAGTGAAATTGAAAAACTGAGAGAAGATGCAACAGCTCCTCACATGTGTGCCCAGATGTAAAACACAGGACGTGCTCCCATTGGCTGCATATATAATGGACAGCAAAAGAGCGGCATAAGGTGAAGCCAAAAAATTGTGTGCCCACCCCTTTATGTAACGTCTTGATTGACAGCTCTGTTGACACATGCAGCTTCTGCAGCGTTCTTTACCAAATTAGCAGAGGAAAGGAGGAACAGTAAGTATAGGTATAGTGCAATATTCCTTCTGTCATGCCATAGCTTCAAATCACGTCACCAGTGCAAGATGTCAGAGCCTGTCACTGGTATTTAGGCCTCATTTTTAATACAACAGAACGAGATGGAGAAATGTTGTTCATATTGATAGTGACCCCTGCCAATCCAGACAGCTCCTCTCTTATTCATGTACTATGTAGACGTAAAGTGTCAGCTTTAATGTGACTGACAGTTACAGACATGTATCAATACACCAATGTTTCTTGGACATCTGACAGCAGTTTGAAGTCAGCGCTCTTACACACTAACCTGAGGACCTGGCACCAAGAGAGACAATCCAAGAAGAACACTGAACAGACCTTCTAAATCAACATGTTTGTTTATAAAAACATTGTGAGAGTTAGGTTATTTTATTCACCAGATGGTTTCTTTTCAGCAGTGATTCTCAGATACAGAGCATCATTAATTGACATAAAACGCACACACACACTTACAAACATTTACATGAAATGTGGTGGAAAACATAACAGGTGTGTATATGTGTCATATGTGTAATATGTATAATTCACATGCTGAGCAGCATCCTGGATTCAATTAAGCGCTTCAATGAACATTGCGTGTGTGTGTGTGTGTGTGTGTGTGTGTGTGTGTGTGTGTGTGTGTGTGTGTGTGTGTGTGTGTGTGTATCATAAAATAATAGAAATAGAGTTAACAGGGAGAAGCTTAAACTAAAGGCAAAGTTTTTGATTACAAAGGTAGCTTGATGTCGATGTTTTCTTGCGGACTTTTCATGAAAAAAACAACGTTTTTTCTATGGAGGGTTCATAAAAACGCTGAAATAACTAGTGATGTTTTTTATTACTGCATGGTATAGACCTCTGTGGAGAACTGTCCTAAAACTGATGAGGTCACTTCATAAAATAGTCCCTTAAAGTCCTGGACAGGAAATACCATCACTATGATAAACTTGTTTAATATACAACCTTAAGCTTTGTCAAATCAGTAGAGTATTCAGATGATAGTTTAGTGCACACAGTAATCCATAATGCTGCTCCTCCACTGTCCAGACATGTGTTCAGCTCTGTTCACAGTAAATCAGCGTAACTCTAAACCCTCTATATGTTGTTCAATCTTAGCATGATCTGCTAATATGATATAATTGTTCTCGTCAATCAGACAACCTGCTGATTAAACACATTTTCTGTTGTAAGGATGAAAAATGATTTATTGCGATCATTGATGAAAAACATTATGTGACACATTAGTGACCCCTTTTGGAGAATTAAAAGTAGTACTTTGATGTTTGAATTATTTTTTTGTCATTTAGTTTTTCAATTAGGGTTCATTTATTATAGTTAGTTTGTAAGCTCCGCGTGTGTCCCAGTTTGTTAGTCTATTTTTAATTACATGTAGGTTCTATTATTCTGCATTTGATTCAGTCACCTGCTCAAACACGTTGGATGGCAATTCACAGAGAAATCTGGTTCAGAACATGTTTTTCATTTGTGGGAATAAATGTTTTTCTGGATTGTCCTTTATAAAAAAAACATGCATTACATGTTCAAATGTTATAAACTCAGTACACATGTGACATCATCATCAGCCTCACTGATCAATCTGTTTTCACAGCACTGATTATTGATTATCTGTTATCTGCCTATAGCTGGAGCTGAGGCATTGGTGTTTTTAAATAAAAAAAACAAAGTGCATTCTCTGACAGCTACGCAGCAACCACACAATTACTCCTTGTACAGGAGTATTTTCACATAGAGGTGTTAGTACTGGTACCAAAGAAAAGGAGTACTGAGTACTTCTTCCATAAATGCTGCAGTGACTCCATGTTTACGATCTCGTAGTACTATTTAAAGAAGCAGTAACACGGAGTAACCTTGAGCGCTTCCAAACCTTGTCACTCATTATGATATATTCATGACTACATGGGTTACAGTATCACACTGTGTGGTGTTTCCAAAGATTGTTCTCTATAATCTTCTGATAGCCTATAATCAGTTAGACCTGTGATTAAGGTCGTGTGCAGCTGTAACTGATCAACACCTTAGTTTGCTGTTTATTCATAGAAATGTAAATGATGCAACAACGTTTCCTCTGTTTGTATGTTAAAGGTCTTTATCGACCTTCAGTTCAATCAGAAAAATCCATGCACATCAATAATGATGGCTAAGACCCCAGGAAATACCCCCAACACACACGCGACTGCATACAAATGCATGCACACAAACACAAGTGCGCACGCGCATTTACGGACGACACACACACACACACACACACACACACACACACACACACGCACACGGTTACAGACATGTAAGTATGTGGTAAAATCTCACTAAGCAATAAACCTGAATACCGACAGTGTCAGCGGCTGGGACGTCATCGCCATGATGCCAAACATGTCGTTACGGGAAGACGAAAACATAGATAGGCAAAAAAAAAAAAAGGCACACATAGCCTACTCACCTCCCAAGGTGAGACACGAGACCCTGCTCCAATCTATCCATCCGACCATGCAATCAATCCATCCAGGTTTCACAACGACCCCTCCTCTGTCCGCCAGCCTCCCCCCCCCGCTGTGTGCACTCTGAGAGCCCAAAGAGTGCCGGTGTGCTCTGTGAGAGAGGGAGCAGGGAGTGCAGTGTGGCAGGTGTCCGTCTGGAAGGGGAGTAAGAGTCCTGCAGAGAAGAGGTGAAGCGGAGGAAGGAGGAGGAGGAGAGAGAGAGAGAGAGAGAGGGAGTAGGAGGAGAGAGAGAGAGAATAAAAAGAGAGAGAGCTTCAGCTGCTCTAAGTTAGCCTACTGACTGACTGAGTGTTTATATACGGAGGAAGAGACGTGCGCGGAATACATGAGTACAGAGGAAGGGAGAAGTGTGTGTGTGTGTGTGTGTGTGTGTGTGTGTGTGTGTGTGTGTGTGTGTGTTGTAGCGCACGTTTTCATGTTGGATAGCAGAAGAATTTTTCCTTCCATGGTCCTAAAGCCCCTCAGAACTCATCTTCACTTAGCGGCAACATTAAAATAATGTAATCAATGCATTTGTGCAAAATTTGTAAAATAAAAAATGAAACGTAATAAAATAAAAATAAAAACTGCAGTTCCTCGAGTGTCCACTTGAGGCTTAGTCCGACAGCTAAAAATCCCCATTAGACCCCATGGTGACCATAAACTTACAATTAAAATGTTTCGAGCCTGGTACAACAATGGTTTTGGTCTGTGTTGTTCATTTGTCTATTCACGACATCTGCACAGGGTAGGAATTTTACACAGCCTCTACTTGGTGTTTAATTTTATTGAGCTACAAAGAGACGGGTCCTGCTTGTTGTCTTTACCATTTAAGACACTCAGGAGCTGAACTTTACCTCTCAGCTGCGTTTTAGCTTGCTGAGAGACGTTTTCATTCAAACATTTGAAAGATTAAATTACTGTGTGGTTTATGACACTATGTTGCTGTTAAAGAAACTTAAAACTCTCTCTACCCCCCTCACTAGTGCAAAAAGCTGCAAAAGTTAATAGATGCATACAATTAACAAGTTGCTGTTTTATGTGTATGAAGAGGCAATGGTCAGCCAAGTGTCTTGACCCTAATAGTGAACATTTGGTGATTTGAAAAAGGTTAACTGAATTGAAATAGAAGTCTTTAGCTCCAACATACTTGGGCCTAGATCAGGGACTAAAATATGTCTAGATCAAAAAAGAATCATCACTGCCCTCTGCTGGTAAGAAGTGATTACTGCAGGTCTACATACATAAACATTATGAGGAGGACACAGAGGAGTCTAAAATGTTGGAGGAATTATTTAAAGTCTTTACTTAAAGCAATATGGCAGCACGTAATAAAGATTAAACAAATTAATCATAAAAAACATAATTAAAGCATCGCATGAGGGATGCCAATTTCAATAGTGCAGCGTTCCAAGTTGATGCTGTAATATGAGAGCTTGATAAGCAGCTGAATACTGCAGGAGAAGAAGGATGCGGTTCATCTTTTAGTCCTCTTTCTGGGCACGCTGTACCTGCAACATAAAGTTAAACGTTAAAGTTAAATTCATATAGATTTCAAAGGTAATTTTAAACAATCTCTGAAAAGTTTGTTGCAGTCTTAGTTGCTTTTAGCCCATCATGCATTGTGTCTGCCACCAGGTCACACCAAAGAAAAATTATATATGCACTTATGAGTGTATGACTTTTTCTAACGTTTAAATTATTAAGACACTTAATGAAGAAGTCTCTGAAAATGCTTTGCAACTATTTTTCTAAAAAAATGTTTGAAGACATTTAATATTTGCTCCTTTCAGATATTTCATTTTTTTCACAACACGCACATGTTCTGTGATATATGGTTAGAACACCTGAAACACCAGCAGATATAAATGTGAACATTGTTCAGTTCAGTTGATGAATTAAATGCAGGTGTGCAGGTAGCAGCACATCTTCAGTAAAGTGACTGTCGACTTTTTGTAGATTTGAGACTTGAATTTTTAGAGGACAAAATAGTCACTTGTCTTCACAATAGCACAACAACTGTTTTTTTTTTTAAATGAATAAAACAATAAATTGTGTGAACTACATCCTTATGTTCATGAGCAAGATGATTCCTTAGGGTGAACAGTAGAAAACAATACAACAACTTGAACTAAACCAATGCACACAACAAAAACGATGCAAGAATTGAATTTGTGTGAAGAACAATAATAATCAAGGGCAAAAAAAAAAAGATTAGTCTCAGCATCCAGTTTGCATTCAAATAAACCATTTATTCAGTCGCTGGTTGGTGTTTCTGGTTCATCTCATATTAACTCCACTCAGCCTACATTGTAGATGTCAGAGTTGAGTTTAAAAACAGAATAATGGTGCTCGTTTTATGTCATTATTTTCAGATCATTTTATTCCAGGACCTCCAGCCCATCCTGAATGTTACCTCCAACACAGCAGGTGGCTCTGTGTGCTCACTTTGCGACAGTTTGAGATCCTCCAATAAACAGTAAAGAAGAAAGAAGAAGAAGAAGAAAATGAAGTAGACGTAGAAGAAGAAGAAGAAACCCTCCGATGCTGCCCCTGTTACAGTGCGCAAATGCGCATCCAACAGTACAGACCTCCGGTGGAAAACGATAAAACAAACGTTACGAGGCTCGGAAACGACACGTCGGGAAGGAAAAGGAAACAGCGCGCAAAGGAGACGACAGAAGCGAGGGTTAAAGTGTGTGACACAGCAGGTAAGCCGGACTCTCCTGACGCCGTGTTGTTTATAAAGGGAGTGTGTGTGTGTGTGTGTGTGTGTCAGCAGAGCCACCTTCCTGCCTCACCACAGCGGATGTGTTGGCAGGCCCACCACGACTCCTCAGTGCTGTCATCCTTAGTTACTGTACACAGTATTAACCCCGAGAGGTGCCGTATGCTGTCGCTTCAACACGGAGCACTGAACTCCATTTCAAAACCTACTAATTAAGAGCAATGCAACACATAAAAGACACAATTTGACCTGTGACGTTGTAAACCTGATGTTTTCAGTGTAAGATGAATACACTCTTAAATTCGGCATGCAAATGACCAATCACACAGCACCTTATCGAACAGAAAATCCACTTTTGAAGCGGTTGTGCACGACAATATTACCCGATCTGACAGTATTGTGTTCAGCACGCAAGAAGGTGAAAGTAAACTTTAATCTCATCTGTACAAGTTGAATGCTTATCTAGAAAAATAAAGTTTAAGCGTGTGCGTGTTAAATTTGACAGTAGACTGCGGAGTCGCGTAAAGGTCCTTGATGGTTCACGTAAACAACATTACCTTAAATCTGAAGATTATAAAGTTGAATTTGGTGTGTCGTTCTCTCTACGGCGCCACCGAGGCGTGCATGTTGCTAGCTAGCTATTAATAACGAGTTAACCAGATGACAAGTCCTCTCTGAGCTAGTTAAGTCGCTGGTTATCGGGAGACAGACACAGGTGTAACACTACAGACGTAAGTAAGTTGTGTGTTATCTTGAAACGGAGAGAACAGTAATGACTGCTAACGTTAGCAGCTGCATTTAGCTTTCCTGGTGTGTTGCGTTCAGGTAGCATCACGTTAACATCAAGGGCCGGACTATTTACTGATATTTTACACTATTCCGAGTTCATTTTTCAACAAGATAACATTTATTATTGAGGCGTTAAAGTAAAACATATTTTTTAATACAGGCTGACATTTCCAACAATACGTTGTTTTTTTTTTTCATTTTTGTGCACACTTGTTATGAGGCAGGACTCAGTGGTCAGTCACAGTTTCATCAGATATTAGACTGACCCCTGGTGAAGCTAACTATCGTCACATAAACGCCCAGCAACACGTGTGATGTTCAGCTTTCACATAAAACAGATGCGGTGGCAAGTCCAGAAAGCGGAACTGTTTCTGGAAAACGAAAACGAAAAGCTAATTTTAGACCGTGAGACATTATGACTGCAGGTTAAATGATGGTGTCTGTATGCAGCTTAATAAGAGCAATTTGTAACATGCTGCAAGTTTCTCCACAAGCTTTTATTTTTCTCCTTTCAAATCTTCAAATTTCCAAATTGAAGTTCTGAAATCACAGTCTCAAATGGAGCCGTGGTTGAGTTTTCTAAGTGTATGAGCAGTGATGAAAGCGAGGGAGTTTTAGAAAACGAATTAAAGGAAATGTGAGAATATTGTGGAAAGAAATAGAGTGACAGTACCTCAAACTACTTTTTGTAGCTTAGGAAATGTATTTTGTTGAGACAAATGCAGAGACAGGAAATGTAGTTTTATGTCAAATTTAGGAACTGAAATTTGTGCCAAGAGTTTAAAATATTGTACACACTGATTATTGGCTGTTCCAGACCCTGAATCGAAATTAAGAAGACAATATAATATAACAGGATTTTCCTGCTGTAAGTTAAACTGTTCTGTACGGACATTATTAAATGTAAACTTTAATGTTAACCCTACTGAACATACAATCTTGTGTTTCTCCCCTGTTGTCTCATCAGTAACCATGGTGGGGGAGCGCCGCAATGGGAACCTGCTGGTCCAGCTCGGCCCAAAGCTGCAGGCTTATCCAGAGGAACTGATCCGCCAGCGCCGCAACCATGATGGCCAGACAGAGTACTTGATCCGCTGGTGCCTTGTCACCATTGATGATGGCTCCAGCTCAGGGGGCGGAGCCAGTGAGGCAGGAGGGACAGGTGGTGGCAGCTCTGGGGTAGGCGGGTCCAGTGGCTCCACATCTGGAGAGAGCAAACCGGAGAACATCCTAATGTGGATGTCAACTGAGGATGTATATGCAAACTGCCCCACGCTGCTGGGGAAGAGAAAAACAGACACACAACGTCCCCTGCAGCAGCAGGAGAAGCAGCTGGATGGCGAGTCATCAGGTGGAGGTCAGAGGAGTGGCAGCGAGTTTCCTTCGGACGTCACCTTTGATGAGGTGGAGCTGTCAGACATGAAGGAAGATGTGAAGAACCTGGTGTGTCGAGCCAGGAAACAGATGGCCAAAAAGAGTGACTTCTCCATCAGCATCACGCACACCATTCATGTGCTAAGCGCCTACGCCAGCATCGGCTCGCTGGTTGGTGTTTTTAAGGAGACAGGTGCCCTCAACCTGCTGATGGAGCTGCTGTGCAACAAGGAGACACAGACTCGACGCAGCGCTGGGAAGATGTTGCGAGCGCTTGCCTCTCATGATGCAGGTAACCACAAACTTTCAATTACAACACCACCAGGTGATTCTGCTCACTGATAAGCTGACAGTCTGTTTAAATCATCACTTAAACACAACGCTGTTTCACAGTTTAATTTCTTTACTGTTAGCAGTTGATTTAATTTTTCAACATTTTGGAAAAAATTAGTTAGAAGAGAAAATTGAGTGCTGGCTTAATGTTTAAAGTGGCATCCCACAAAGTGTCTTGTTCTCACAAGGAACAGTCCCCCATTAAAAACTTACGTACAATTTTATGTATGTTGATTCGTGAGCTCTAGAGATTCTGGTTGGTGGATTTTGTTCTCACCTTCTCGATTTCTCCACTAGAGGTAGCGCTAATATTTACCTTAATGGAATAAAAATTAGATTTTCCTTGATGTACGGCAAAACTATAATATTTGTCAGCGAAAAAAGATTTATCTAAAAATGAACGAATGTTTGAGAACAGGACCCTGAAACTGAAGTAAGGTCATCCAGAGCATGAAATAAAGTCAAAATGCAAAATTTGATCACATTTTTGCAATATTGTCTTGTTGACATTCGCATGTAGCTTCACCATTTCCTAAATCTTTCTGCTGATCCACATTAATTACACAGTACCTGAGGTTAGCTGGTGACTAGCTTTGGCGTAGTCTGAATGGCATTTGTTGAAGATGTTCATATTGAAATGGAGATGACATCTGGTTTTTATTGTGCAGCCTTGGTAAAGAGAAGAGGTGTCACTCTGTTGAAGTTGTTGATCTACAGAAACATTGGTCATTCAGTCCTGTCAGTGGTGTTAGAGAGTAGAGCTTCACTACCTCACAGATGATCTTTGATTATCCTCAAACACAAACAAACAACCGAATGAATAACATTGATTACTACCAAGTGATATGAGATTAAGTCCAAAGTGTTGAAACAAGCTGCAAATATACACACAACAAGTGAAAAGAGAAGGTCTCCAATTTTTTTTTGTGACTGTGTGCTAGCTTCAGGGGGAAGGAAATTCAGCTGATCAGCCTGTACAAACTATGGACATCCAACCCTAAACTGTTGCAAGCATTCCTCCTGCTTGCTGTGAAAACATGTCGGGTTTAGAAACATCAGCAAGACTCATCTGTTAATGTAATCTTCAGTATTCACTATAACACTGCGCGGGAATATGCTCTTATTCCCGCTCTCCCGCTGGACTTCTGACCATTACCACCCGCTCAACAAGAGTGTGTCACCCACTCCCACCCGCACCTTCAACGTGTGTGTCCAATCCCACCAACACCTGCACAAATTCTGACCATTCACGCTTAAACGTTAAGAATAACAAACACTTTGTTCAATCAAAGGAATGATAATATCCATGTGTTCACTTAAATTAAGAACCACTCATGACAGATACCTTTTTTCCATCCATCAAAACAAAGCTTCCTTCCTGAATGGAGAGAAAGTAAGGACAACACAGCAAGAAAAAGCAACACTCCCATCCTCACCGCTTGACCTTTGTGTGTCTTTTGTGGCTTCAGTTGTGTCTGATCTTGAAGCCTCACCTCTCAAATCCGTTCTGATTGAAAGTGTCCATAGCAACATTCTCTCTGCAGCATCTTGCTGTATGTCTGCAGCTGGATTCACTTCACTCCTGTGATGCAGCAAAAGTTGTCTTCAGACCTCAGTGCAGTAAATCTGTGTTTGGAATACAACTGAACCTGGACAGGCTATGTGTGTGTGTGTCAGAGGGAGGGGTCTTTTGATCCCCCTCAGCATCTCAACAATGCATAACATCTGCACAGAGGTTTGAGCTCAAATGACTCCACAATGTAGTAAAACCCTCATATTGTGTCTTCCCCATAGTCAACAATGAAGGGATGGATTTCATCTCATAGCGTCCAGTAATGTGACACCCTGATCCTCTTAAGTAAATGTATCCGATAACTTTTGTGCAGTCAAAGTGAAATGTTTATACCTGCAGTGGAGAGGAAGTTTGAAGTATTAATAGTGTTCTAAAGTACACTTAATGCATTACAACCTCTACACAAGATGTTGGGTTTTGTTCAAGTCCAGCCACTTTACATGCAGTGTAGATGAATCAACAAGGGATGTCCTGATCCAACCTTAAAGGTCGGGATCAGGGCCGATCAAATCTTTTTATAGTTTATTAATAGATTTTATTTTTGCAAATCTTTGATGCAGCAACAGAAGGAATTACACCATCTTCATGTTTAATAATAAAAATAGTTGGATGCATATAATTAAGTATTGTCAAGTTGTTTAACTTGTTCAACTAGAAAGACGTTTCCCACGACGACTAGTTACAAACCTGGATCCAGATTTTGGGCAAAATGAACTTGCTCTTTACTTCTCTAGTGTTGCTTCCACAGTCCATAAGTGTCTGTGTTAGTTGACCTCACTGACAGAGACAGAACGCATGAATGAATATTTAAGATGCTGCTAACTAGGGCAACAGGTTGAGCTGCTGACTCAGATGTAATTTGCTAGATGAGAAAGCGGTTTAACCAATCAGGAGCTGCATTGTAGGATTATGATGGAGGAGGTATCTATATTTTATGTGTTCGTTTATTTGGCATAAGTTGATTACAATAATAGATTTAATCACATTTGTCTATTGAAAATGTTTTAAATTATATTTTAGTCTTAAACGTTGAAGTTTTTATTGAGAAAACACAGATTTAAAATGAAACTTTACTGTATTTCGCTTCATGTTTGTACTGTTTATACACGTTAATACGTTAATAATAGAGTACTAAACCATTGATGTTTTCCATAAAACATAATTCAGCCTAGTCAGGTGGAAGACTGTAACTTGTTTCTACATGGTAAATGGACTTAAGCTTGTCTGGCGCTTTTCTAGTCTTTGACTACTCAAAGCACTTTTTACACCGCAGTTCACACCTACCCCTTAACACCCGTTCTGACACTAATGCAGAAGCTACTCTGTAAAGTGAAGTCCATCAATGAACTAATACATTTACACAACTTTAATGTGTGTAAATGTACAGTACTAGTCAAATGTTTGGACACACCTGATTTTCTCATATACATTTTGATCTTAAGGCTTATGCTTAAATGTTGAAGATGTGTTTCTTATAGAAATAGTGAAGTTGATGTATGTATGCATTTCTTTCCAAAACAAATTGAAATTGTTTTTATTGTTTCAATGTCTAATATTATTCTAAAATGTACAAAGTAATAAAACAAGAAAAGAAAAATCCTTCTATTAGTAGGCATGCCCTAAATAAAGCTCATAGTAGCTATATTATAGTAATACAGTATAATATACTGTATTATTGATAAAACTGTTACTGTTGTCTGTCCAGACTTTTCTCTGGTAGTGTATATGTACAAGTTTTACAAATTGAGTCCTCTAATTTGAGCTCCACTCAGGCTGTGCAACAGAATTTGGTTGTTTACACCTGTAATATCACAATAAACATTCTATTGTTCTATTCTAAAAGTTCAGACTTTGAGTTAGAGAATGGTCCATCATGTTGCCTTATAATGTAGACTGATTCTTTCAACCCGACTTATGTTCTTCCTTCATGAGTTTCACTCCTCTCAACCAGCTGTGGATTAAACAAAGTTTCCTTTTCTTTTCTTTTTTTTTACTTTGTCACATGTGGAGAAATCCTGAGCGAGTAGCTGAGAGTTTTACTCATGAGTCATCTGGGCTGGGTGAGAGAACAAACGCTCAAACTTCATCATGATACGTATTCAAACACACCCTATAAAGCCTGATAACCACAAATTGGAGAAGAACACTCACTCTAATTCATTTTTCTAGAGGTCATGAAGGCATTAGAGTTTGTGTTTTTTTTTTTGCTGAATTAGGTTGTCAGGTCAGGAAACCCCGAATTCAGAACAAGATAGTTTAAACCATTTTAAACTTGGGCAAAATCTGCAGAGGCAGATAAAGGCAGCATGATTGACTGCAACCTGTTTAGACTGCATAAAGCTAATTTGTACTAGTATTTGTTCATGGGGAGTTCTGAATAGTTTGGGACATTACATTTCACATTTATACAACATCTTTAGAAAATCTGCACCGTAAAGATCCCTGTGAAACGAGGAAACATCCAATTTCAGGTTTCACCTCGCGAATGGTATCTAGCCCCCAGATTATTTTGATTGTGATTTATCTCATTATTATTATTATTATTATTTAAAAAATATTTACTTTTGTGCCTTTATTTGAGAGATAGGACAGTGGATAGAGTCGGAAATCAGGGAGACAGAGAGTGGGGAATGACGTGCGGGAAACGACCACTAACCACTGCGCCACCAGCGCCCCATCTCATTATTTTCTTTAACAACACCGGGAAATCAGTGACAGAGACCAACATTCTCACCTCAGAACAGTTAGCATGCGAGCGGAGCAGTGCAGCAGAACCGTCACGGCGGCAACAGTTAGCACCCTGACAGTGGGTTTAAAAAAAACAACCTGTAAAGCACCATTTAGCTACAAAAAACATAACAACAGGCTTAGTACTTACTTGATGAATACTGGCCCACAACTCATTAAGTTCTGGATTTTATTGATGTCCCTGCATTGTATCCTCTCTCTGTCTCTCGTTATGTTATGTATTCTGTACAGGTTTAAAAAAAACTAAAAACTGTCTTGCCTTTTTTTTGTTGGCAAAAGGCTTAAGAAGAGGTGATTCTGGTGATAACTGTTGCTGCTGTGACGGTGCTTTGCTCCAGCACCAGAAGCTGTCGACTGTCTGCAGCGCTGTACGCATGCACACTGTTCAAAAGCGTCAATGTTTGTGTCTGTCACTGATTATCCTGGCGTTGTTCTTAAAGACTTTATAAGCAATTTTTTTTTTTTTGATCCAGCAGATGTCGCCCTTGAGCACCAGAACAACTCGCATTGTTGTGTTAGCATGCTAATGCTAGCGATCTTTATTATGCTCGTATCTTCACACTGCATATAAATTTACCCGAAATGAGCGCGATCTAGAAACACAGTTAAGCAGTGAGTACAGTATGTTATTCTTCTTTTCTCTAGCCAGCCGACTGGCCGTCCTGGCAATGTAAACAAACTGAAGATAGTACTCTGAAAACATCACAGACAGCGGGACTCGGGTGTTACACACATTGTAGACAGTCATGACTCACAGAGTTATTTTCAGAGGATATACTTGATTTCTGCTACATTTAAGTGTGAAAAATCACATATAAAGCCTTTAAGAAAATAATAAAATAAAGAATAGAAAATAATCTTGAAGGCCAGATATTATTGCTGCTGATTCACAAAACAATTTACTAAAAAAAGAGATGGGGCGATAATACCGCATACTGCGCTATTGAGCCACCCTGGATCACCGCGGTGGGAATTCCTTCACTGCGACAGCCATAACCAGGCCCATGAGCTCCATCAGCGCTGAGGCAAAACTGGACCAACAGAAAGTCTGTCAGATTCTGACAGAGGCAAGGACGGTCTCTTTTTTCTTTTTTATACTAGGAAACGACATCATTATCCAGAGCGGAGGAGGCTTTGTTTACTTGGTTTCCTAGAAACAAAGAGGCAATAAACAGGTTTGTTCATCAGGCTAAAGAGTTTCCATCAGACTGAACTGTTAATCCTTCAGAGTGTGTTTCATTCATTCAGCTTTCAGAAGCTTTGACTCTGTAGGTGCAAAGCCCAGCAGTCTCACAGAGGGACACCTGAAACCATGAGGCAGAACTGGACAGACACTCCAGAGACTGTTTTCTACAACAGTCAACACTAAAACATTGAACTTGTTTAGAACTTGAGTTTTCTTATAAACAAAAGTTTAGGTTTCTTACCAGAACTCACATTTGTCACAGATCTCAGAGACATTTAGACATTACGTTCCTCAGTGCGTGCTATCCAAAGTACAGATAAGAGATGATCCGCGTCTGATTTGAGAATGCACAGCAACAAGTAGAGCTGCAGCCTCTGCTTAGTGCTGCTGCAGTATTTTGGCAATACACACTCTCTGGATTAAATATGGCTGAATGACGATGTAAAATGTGTCCTCCCGAATAAGACTCTGAACTTCTTCTGGAGGCCATTATCTCTGTTTACACCGAAGTTTCTAAGCATGTGTGTATAAAAGAAAAGAATGGCATAGAAAGGTATTCTTGATATTCAGCTATGACAACATTGCCGCGTTATTCTCCCCAACACTCTTCTGTGGACTCGTCCTGAGTTGCATGTAACAGATTTAACACAATCCCACAGTGGACGGAGAATTTATTGTAAAAGCAGCCAAAACCTGCTTTACTGAGGCTTTGTTCGGACTCCAGACTGTCTAGATTTGCTTTTAAAACAGATCTCTAAGATGTAGAGATATCACCAACCTTTTTGCCGGTTGTAGTAGTAGCAGTAAGAAAAGCCCATGCTTATGCTGGAACTAGCAATGAAGGTGCCATTGAGTGTGTTCATGGTTACTTGTAATGTATCTGAAGTTCCCTTGTGGCAGCATAAGAACAGATCCAGCTTCTTGCCCCTTAAAAACTCACACTGATATTTCCCAATGGAGGGCAGATGATTCAAAAGACACTTTGAAATCTGAGTTCAGTGTCCAGAGCATCCCTACTGAGACCCGTTTGAAGAAATCTCATTAGAATGACCACCTTCTAATGCGGCTTGGATCTGTTTTCTGATGTTTGTTAGTGCACAGAGTTTTTACAAACAGTCTGGATACAGTCCAGATTTGTGCTGCCAGTCTTAATTAGACTCAGAGGCTGTTTGGTTGTGCTCAGTTATTTGACTAGAGTCAGCTGTCACATGAAGGAAGTTCACAGTGCTGCTTCATTGTCGTTCAAATGCTTCCCACGCTGAGAACAACCACCATGACTCAACAGTTTGTTATCACATCTCCAGGCCCACAGGGGGCGCCTAACTTCAGCAGGGTTAACAAGATCTCAGATTGCAGAATACATGAGTACTGATTTCTCTGAAACTAAGTCATAAAGAGTGTATTTGTGAGTGAATTCCTTTCCAGTATCTCTCTGTATGTTTCTGAATGTTGTGAAGGGGAGGTTTTTGATTAATGAAGAGTTAAACAACCTCCACAAGCATGCGTCTGTTGGATAATGGTGAGTGTCTTTTAGAGCTGGGAATCTTTAGGTGTCTCACGATTCGATTCGATTTCCATTCTTGGGGTCACGATTCTACTGAGAATATATTTTTGATTCATTGATCCATGGATTCAAAGTCTATTTTTTAATTAGTACATACTTCAGGATCTACTCCAGTCATCTGTGAGACTGGCTGAATTTCTTGCTGCTCCATTTGGCATGCTACTGAGTTAAAGAGCTAGCCTTAGCACTTGGCAGGGAATGGCTGATATCTATTTAAAATCTCAGAGAAAAAGAATCTCGATTTTTACATAACTCGATTTTTTTGCCCACCTCTAGGGTCTTTGCTGAAGTAGTTTTAGTTGTTGTGACTTTCTGTAAGACAACCATTCATAAAAAGAATAATCATTTTTTAACTTCAAACCAAGAGACAAATCCTGACATGTGATCTCAATCCACACGAGAGCTACCCATGCAGCTTCATTCTGGACCAGTTGCACATTTTGATATCTTTATTGATATCATCAATAAAGATATCTTACCTTAAACATATGCTCAAAGCTTGATTAATAAACCAGTAGTGATGGGAAGTTTGGGTCTTTCGACTCCCAAACGGCTCTTAATTTAGGATCTTTTGTAGCCTCATATTTTAGTTTAACTTTGCAAAAATTAACGGTTTGTGTGTTGAAAACCCTTTTTGCATGCATTTATTCTGTTAAAAAAGCAAACTCTTTTATCAAACTTTTTAATTGCACAAATACAAAAATGTAAATACAAAATAAATACAAAAAACTGCTAACAAATCCACAGCACAGAACCAGAATTCTTTAATCAAACATTATGAATGTCCTCAGTGCATGTTGGCCTTGCGAAAAATTAGATGCCTCAGCTTGGATGGGCTGATGCGATTCCTTCTTTCTGTAAGTATCTGCCCAGTGTTTGAGAAGATTCTCTCGGCAGGAACAGATGTTGCCACAATACACAGTCTCCCCTCCTTCACCAGGCGTGGGAAGACTGAGGCCTTGGCCTGCCACCATCCTCAAGATAGGATCTTACCTCCATTACAGCATCAGCTGTAGGATTTCTCCTAGCAGCATCTCCTGTAGCTCTTTCATCGAGGTTTAGACATTTTTGGTCTATGGCTGAACAAAGAGCTACAACCATTTCCTTTACTTTCTGCACGGTTACTGGCCATGCTGGCCAATCAAAACAAAGTTCTGCCATGAGCAGAGCTGGGGCTAACCCACTGTGTGAGCTAAGCAGTGAAAGGAAAAACTGGGAGCCGGCTCTCACTCGATGAGAGTTGGCTCTTCTGATTCACTACAAAGCATCGGCTCTCCGAGCCGCATCTTTTGAGCATGACACATAACTATAAACCAGTGTTGAAGTCATTCAGGGCTGCAGCTTGTATATGAATAAATGTAATTGTTCACAACAATCAATTCTATACCTGTTTGATCAGCACAGGATACACACACAGAAAAATTGTTGCTTTATTATGTGCAATAACATTGTTCAATATTACGATAACTTCTGATAAAATAACATCATTTGAAGACTATGTTTGCTATAGCTCCCGGTGTTTTTGCTGTTCTAAAAGTTTTACTCTATACCTTCATTTGAAACATTGTCCCTCCTGAATCCAAAAGAAATGCAAAAGGAGTTTGTTTTTCATCAGTATTGGCACCATGTAATCTGAGTGTAGCTAAGAGCTAGCTTGAGCATGGCCATTATACCCAGGCCTCAATACAACAGGTCAAATGTACGCATGCTGATTGATAAAGAAAAATTGTTTAAATAAAACAATTATACATATTTATAGCGATAAATTCAGACCTTCACCATGTATTCATTGTGAATGCTCGTACTGAGATAACAATGGAATTGCGATTAATCGCGCAGTCCTAATTACAGATTGAATATCTGTGGAGTGTTGATGCTGACATTGTGTCCTCCTGTCTGTCTGTGATGTGTTTGTCTGCAGGAAGTCGAGCCTACGTATTGCTGTCGCTCAGTCAACAGGATGGCATCGAGCAGCACATGGACTTTGATAACCGCTACACTCTGCTGGAGCTGTTTGCTGAAACCACGTCGTCAGAGGAACACGGTATCTCCTTCGAAGGGATTCACCTGCCTCAGGTGAACACATGGCACTGTCTTTATGACCTCATTCTGAACTGAAACCTCGTCTTAAAGGGTTATTTCACCCCTAATCTCAACTAGCTGAAGCAGTTTGCTGTTCATCAAAATCTTTTTTTTTTTTTTTTAAACCAAGCCGAACACAAACCCCAGATGATCGATTTGACACAACCAGAGCTACATAGAGAAAGTGCAGGCGCTCAGGGTCACATTTTTTCCTCTCTAGTCAGTGTTCTTGACGCACAAGAACTTTATCAATCAATCAATCAAACCTTATTTACATACCACCTTTCAAACAAATTAAATTGCAGTTCAAAGTGCTTTAAAAGAGTGCAGAAATGTTATTGACGAAAAAGTAGTTTATAAAATCATTGAGCTGTTATTTTAAAACTTTTTATCAATGCTAATTTAATTAAACCCCAATCCCTAAAAAGCTGAGACGTGTGAAATGTAAATAAAAAAAAAATATGATGATTTGCAAAATATTGAAACTCAATATTTGATTGAAAATAGCACAAAGACTACATGTCAAATGTTGAAAACTGAAAAATTTCAACATCATTTTTTTTGGAAAATGATGAATTTGATGTTAACAATGTTTGAAAAATAAATAAAGACACTTTCCTTTAATAACACTTTCTGTAACAACTTTTAAAGGGATACTTCACCCATTTGCATTAAAATTTGCCAGTGTGACGTCTTGTCAGTGTGATATCACTGATCTAAGTCTATTGGCTCGTTGTGGCAAGCCCAGCAGCTCATGTTGCAGGTCCGTTAACTTCTGTGGCACGCCCACGATATGCCGTAGCCTGCGGTAGCACAGTAGTGCTAAGGTGCTAATGTTTATGTTACCCTCGGACGGAGCCAAAGTGGCTGCATTCCCAATATGGTAAAAGGGGCGGGACATTTCCGAGAACCGTGCTGAGCGACTGACCAATTAGGGCAGAGCCGACAGACCGACCAATCAGATCAGACTTGGCACACGTGGGGACTCTGAACGTGGGCACTTCAGAGCCTTAGAGAGAGAGTCAGAAGCGAGCCGGTGCATGGAGCGGCAGTACATGAAAACAGACACTTTTTTCAAACTTTAGTTATTGTGAACATACTTTAGTAGGTACATAGATTAAATATATGAACCCCAAAAAGGGCATAATATGTGCTCTTAAAGCGTTGTATCATTAGAAAACTGCTAGTATTTTTGAATGGTCGTGCATCCCACTCTCATTATCCCCTGAGATGGAAAATCTTTTTAGTATTGCAGTATATTAGTATTTTTAAGTCTGAAAAGGAGCTTCCAGTGACGCAAAAATCGTAATTTTGCGTCATTGGAAGATGTTTCGGTTAGCGGGGTGAAACTACAACGCTAGTTCCTCATATTTTTGACCACTGAAGCTACAGACCAATCACAGATCAGTGGGTCGGAATTCACTCCCAGAATCGGAACTTAACGTCCGCCATATTGCTTGGAAGCTATGCAAACAGGCTCTATGGAGAAAGCTGATAATGGTTGTATGTTTGCATGGATTTATTTGGGGATTCCTTGGCAAAACAACTTAATATCTTTACTACTTTAGTGTTGGTCTCATTCTTCTGTCAGTATTAACCAAAATAAGCCACTTAAGAGATTTAAATTATTACCTGTATGTTTCCATAGTAACTGCAGTTAAAGAAACATGTTAAACATCTAAGCCGAGCTTGAAATCCACTGGATGGAAACGTTACAGAGTATTCAGCTCAGTTCTCATGTAGACAACACAGGGTCAGGATGAAGCAGGAAGCAGATGGAGGTTTTTTTCTTTTCTTGTGGTAATAAGTGTGTTTGAGTGTCATCATTATAGCCACATACAGAGTGTGTATGTGTTTGGAGCTACAAGCTGCTAACACAGGTTGTTTGTTGATATCTGTTAATGCTTAGATTCCAGGGAAGCTGCTGTTCTCTCTGGTGAAGCGTTACCTGTGCGTCACATCTCTGATGGACAAACTCAACACGGCAGGGGTGGAGTCTAACTCTGACAGACAAGATGCAAGCCCCTCCCCTGCCTCCTCCTCAAGCACAGCCCACCAGACAGAGCACCTCCGTGTACAGCGAGAGTTTGACTTCACCATGGCCATGGCAAACCTGATCTCAGAGCTGGTACGCGTCATGGGCTGGGACCGAAACCGACAGCCTCTCGATGGCTCCATCCATCGCTCTGGAGGAGGCGGGATCTCTGGGGAGGAGCAGGGAGAGGAGGCTCGACCTATCCTTAGATCCATCTTCCAGCCTCGTTTCTGCGCCTCACCTGTTGTTCTCACCAGCAGCTCTGCTGTAGCCGCTCCTGCTGCCTTGCAACATAAGAAGAAGCCAGGAAACGGATATAAAACACGCTCTGAATTCGCCAGCCGTTCAGCCTATGTTGAGTACGTTCAGGACAACCTGAAGAGTGGCATGATGGTGCGCATGCTGGAGGACTACGAGGAAGCAAGCTGTGGAGATGAAGGAGAGTTTCGCTACAGCAATGATGGCTCGCCACCTGTTCAGGTGAGGGACAGAGCTATGATACAATCTTTTAAAATAGATGTTGTCATGGGAAAAGCAGTGGGAAAGGGTCAGTGTGCATTCAGTACACAATGTGTTAAAACCAGGGTCCCCACAGATCCTTAAAAAGCTTTCAGTATTTGCAAATTAAAAATGAGTTTTTAATTTTAAGTTTTCCGCCTCATTGTGGTCAAATGTCTTAATATGTATTTCATGTTTGGCTGTTATGTAAGGATGTGAGTTCAGTTTGTTACTGGAGTCTAGACGGTCCCCTTTTTTCAGGTGTTAAAACAGTGAGCAAAATGTGCTGCTTCCTGTTTGAGGCTGCAGCTCCTCCTGCTGTCTGAAGTGTGGTAAACAATGATGAAGTTAGGAGGGATCAGCGTGTGAATGTAGTCCTGGCTCAGCTGCTTTATTGACCTTCCTGCAGTCTTCTAGAAAGCTAAATGGTATTGACTGTTCCATCAAATATTTCTGCAGTCAAAACTTTGCTGCAGCTTCATTAACACAACCATCCAACCACAACTTTATCTGGTGTTTGTTTGTTGAGAGTCAGTGGTGACGTTGCCATGTTGCCTCAGATGTCAGTGAGACATAATAGCTGTTCTAGGAAGTTCAGTTTTAGTTACTGATCCGTCAGATTGAAGGTTTTTCACAAATATAGACACTAAACACAGATTAATGAGACACAAAATCTAAATTTGAAAAAAACAAACTCAAATTCAAGATTGTTGAGAAAAAACATTTGGACTATTTGTGGACCCTGATCTGTACCTGATTGGCCACCTTTATCTGTGTTGTGTTCAGGTGTACTGGAACTCCCTGTCCAGGACTTATTGGGTCCACTGGCACATGGTGGAGATATTGGGCAGCAGCAGCAGCAGTCAGTCTGAGAAGGAGACACAGGAGAAGGCCTCCACCCTGACAGAAACCCTCAAACTTACTACAGGTAAGATCTGATCTGTCTGTCTGCCTACCTGCATTTCTGTCTATGTTACATCAGTTGTCATCATTTTGTCTCTCTGTGATCTCTCAGTGAGTCAGACATTCTTCTCAAAGCCCCCTGGGGGTCTGTACTCCTTGCCATACCTGTCTGAGGGTCTCCAGATGGAGTCGCTGGCTCTGAGCCGGGCTGAGTGGTGGGAGATCCTCTTCTTTATAAAGAAACTGGAACCAAAGCAGCAGCAGGAGGTCAACAGCATCCTGCTGCAGAGCCTTGACGACCAGGTGAGGATGCGGAAACCAAGACATGCCATAAGCAGCAGAATCAAAGCCAGCCGCTGATATGTTGATAAAAGTCTCCTCCTTTTATCATTTGAACATCACTTTTGACCCTTCCCATGAGCCTTCACATAATTTTTTCCTTAGACAACACTTAATTCTTAGCGTAGGTTATCCATTGCAAGTCTTGAAACCATTAACTTGGAATAAATTTAAAAAAAATTAACGTTCATTTTCTGTAAAATAAATTTCCAGCACATGTATTTTTTAAGCTTAGAAAGATGGCAAGATATTGACCTGAGACTCAAAAAGGAGCTCCAAATTTTTTTTAAACAATTCCGTGGTAGAAGTCCTTCACACCTTCGCCCATCACTTCAGAGCTTCTGAATGTTTTTCAAAGTCTTCAAAAGAGATGGATGTTTATCTAAGCTAAGATACTCTTAAAAAGGTTTTCAAAATTCTTAAATCTGAAACTCCAATCATTTTTTTATTCGGTCATAGTTTAGAAATGTCAGTTATCTTGTCAACTTAACTTAACTTAATTATATCATAAGAAATGATCATGATATACAGATGGATAATGTCTGTCTGTCTGTTGTCTCTGTGTCCTGTCTGTCCTCCAGGAGGCGGAGCTAGACGACTGGTCTCTGATTGGCCTGAGTGTTCACGGAGATGTGGCTAAGAAGCTGCTCCACTACCTAAAGCAGAAGCTACCGTCATCATGTCTGAGCGACTTGCTGTGCTCTCACACCTTCTGTAAGCACTACCTGCGACGAGGAGGAGGGATCCTGGAGGACGAGGAGCTGCTGGGTGAGGAAACAGACCGCTCAGTGTTTGTGAGGTAGTCTGACTGACCATGACTGTGACTCTGCTTCGTTTTCCAGCTGAAAGCTCTCTGGGCTCATCCGGCCTGGGAGGAGTTGGAGGACAGAACTCCTCCTCTTCATCGTCAGCCTCTGTCTCCTCTTCCTCAGCGATGGGCTCCGTCTCTAAGAAAGCAAAGAAGGAGATTCCTGCTGATTCAGGCTGCGGCAGCCCCGAGGCAGAGAGCGAGCTGCCTTCAGAGGATGACAGTAGATACCCCGAAGATCTGGAGGACAAAATGAAAGGTGGGGAACGGCTCTGAGGGTTCTGAAAAGGGCGCTGTAGCTACTGTCCGTCGGATAAAATGAAACTTAGTAAAGTTTCACTAACATTTAATTCTAGGCCTGGTCATGTCTTCTAAGATGGTCTTTGTTAGGACAAGACTTTGGTTGAATCCAGCCAACCTTAACTACCAATTTAAAAAAAAAGATATAAAACTAAACAAAAAAAGTTTGAAAATTGGAAAATGAAGAGGGCCCTACACCAAAAACAAGAGTATGCTGACTCCCTCGAAGCCCAACAGTGTTTCATATAAAAAGATACAATCCTCCTTTAAAGATCCAGCCAAGGCAAGAATTGATTGCCCTGAAGAAGATAGATTTAAAAAAAAAAAAGGCTCTTTAAAAACCCCCAGACTGGCAGAGGTCCTTCTCCATGATATCAATTTGTGGCGTTGGTGACATTGTTCTATATTTCTGCAAGATAAAAGTGAATCAATCATTTCAGTGACAACGATTTTGTGGAGGACAGCTCAGCTGCTGTTTTGGTGTAGACTGTCTGGGTGACTATGAATCTCCCCATAGAGACAATAGAACCAAGTAAAAGTAACTGAAGATTAGGGAACTGTCAGGTCCTGTGTCTTTTTCTGTGGCCCATGATGCTGTCCATGGTGCTGAAACGGTGATCAGAAAAGTTCCCCAGAGGACAGAGTTGATCAGGAGGAATGCTGATTCACGACTTAAACTAATTCACCGTTTTGGTTAAAGTGTATTCATGACCTTCTTTGTCACTTTGAATTGAATACACTGGAACATTTACACGCTGTCAAACTGGTTGAAATAGAAACAATCTACATTTAGACGAAACTCCTGCTCCTGACTGGGCTTAACATTCATACCTGCTATGAAGTGCAGCTGGTGTAACAATAATGTCAGAATTAGGGGAGAAGTTAGAACCAACTTCAGGAACACTGCAGGAATACTAGTCTGCAGGAGTTATACTGTGTCAGAAATATCCTGCTACATCTACATGTGTTTCTGGATGTCCTTTCCTCTCTTCAGTGTTTAATAACCCCCGAGTCCAGGGGAAGAAGACGATGCTGGAGAAGCTTGGGGAGGTGGTGGATATCCTGAAGAAAGGGGGGTCGGGCTCAGACCAGGCCCAGCAGCTGGCAGCCGTTCTCTTTATCACCAGGCTGCTGGAGGAGAAGGGGGGCCAGGAGAAGAACTCCATGAGGAGCGACTCTGCCCAGACTGTACGGTGAGAAACCACTGCACAGCGCTTCAGGGCAGTAAAAGGAGCCATAGGTAGTTCAATAAAGTATGGGAGAACATTTGGAGAACCCTAGTGTGATGTGTTTAAATTCATATAGAGCCGTGGTAAGTACAGTGTTTGCAGGGAATAGTCTGAGCGGGAGGGTGGATCTGGAAGTGACTAGTTTCCAGCAAATATACACACCCCTTCTGTGGGTATGTCAAGTGGCCTTGGATTGAACTACTTTCCAGGAAATACTCAAAGTTTATTGGTAGTTGTGTGTACGTTCACAGGGCCTGGGGGTAGTTCAGGAAGCATGGGGGTGTTGAGCAGACAGGTGGCCTCAAGGGTTGTTTATGGTAGTTAGGAGAGTGAGGGTTGTGTGAAACTACTACCTAAACTTTTTCCAGGCCCTCGAGTTTTGATGTTTTATTTTTTCTCAGTAAACAATGAAAATATTCCCCCTTCAGAGACCGAGTTTTGTGTAGCATACAAAGTCTTTTTCCTTTTATATCCATAAGTGTCCAGTTTAATTCATTTTGTGCCCAATGGAGGATTTGTATCTTCCAGTAAATACTGATTTGTATTTCTGGAGATTTGTATCTGTGACATAAAGAAGCAGACAACACTTAAACATTAGACTAAGAATGTGACCTTTTTTTTTTGCTTTGCTTCTGTCAGGGACAAGGTGCTGAAGCTGCTGGTGGAGCTGCTGTCCTCATCCTCTAAAGACTTGGTGATAAGTACGCTAAGACTCACTCACCTCATTATGCTCAAATATGAGTGGAGGGTGTCTTTCGCTTCTGAGGGAGGGGTCAAGGCTGTCCTGTCCTGCATGCAGGAGTTCTCCACAGTCACACAAGTCCAGCAGCTGGCGCTCGCTGTAAGTAACAACCCGCTCATCCTCTTAAATCTTCAGAAATCCATTTTGTGCTTTCAGTACTTCACTCAGTGCAGTGCTGCAACAGCACAATACACACAATTTCAGTTTTTTAATTTAACTTAAGCAATTGCAAATTCGAGATTGCACCAAGGAGTTTTGCCCTACATGACTGAAAGCTGACTCTTACTTTGTGGAGTTTTTTTTTACTCATATGCTTTATATAAATATCAAAATTTGGCTCCTTGGGAATTGTCTGTTCTTTCTGCAGTTAAAATAAAATACTGTCAGAATGACTTTAAAGATTCAGCTATCACATAAAAGTGTACTCACCGCAGCATCCGTTTTATGAGCCTGTGTTGTTTTCGTTGTTTGTCAGACTCTGAAGGTGATCACTGGAGCCAGTAAACACGACCTCCGCAGCGTCGGCAGCAGCCTCCCTCTCTCTGAGTCTGGCACTCAGATGATGTTGGAGATCTTTGCCAGTATCGGCTCGGCCACGCCTGAAGGCTCCAAAGGCCTTCTGGGAGCCATCCCTGCCGCGATTGATCTCATGCTCAAGACTAAAGGGTGAGTTACTGCTGAAGGTTCAGGTTTTACCTCCTCCGACACTCTGATCCTGATCATTGATCCTCTGTGCAGCTGCATGCTGTCGGTTCGTAACGGCCTGCTGGTCATCATCATGCTCATCTCGAACCACAAAAGCCTGGCGGAGCAGCTGGTGGCTTCTGACGTCACAGCAGTCCTCAATAAGTGTCTGACTCTGTCCAGAGCCGAGACCATGCTGGCCATCATTGCCCTCAACCACATCTCCATGGTGCACAAGCTGGACAGCAAAGGTAACATGAGCACTCTGACAGTAGGGCTGTGTGATAACATGATCTTGATTGTGGATCAAGATAAGTTTTTATGTTTTGTCACTGTGTGAAGCTCATCGGGTATTTTTGGTTGTTCCTGTTATTTTGGAGCTGGAAATCTGTAGCATGCGAGTTAAAACATTTTAAATAATATTTTCTAAATAAACATAATGTAGCAGAATGTACACCCATGTATTCTTGACTGCACCCATACATTGTTAAAATACAATGTTGTGAGATGTTTTTTTTTTTTTTTTAAGAAAGTACTGCACCTCTTTAACTCAAGTTATAATTTGAAGTCTACTTTGACTCAAGTCACGAAGTTGTGCACTTTGTCCAACACTGGCTAACACTGATGTTAACCTATGACCCACTGTGGACAGGGCGGCAGCAGCAGAATGTATTTGAGTCACTTACATTCAGGATGATTTCCTCGCTCTAAATGTGGTCCAAGATTTTCTCAACAGTGGAACCTTTTGTATTCCTCCATGTACTGATACTTCTGTCAGCATCACAGATAAGTTTTTAACTCCAAGGCAACAACAGCAAAGCTACCCGGGCCTTAAAGAAAGGGCTACATTTCTCTAAAGTCTTAATGAAGAGCAGAAGGAAAGAATCAGTACAGACATATGAAGAACATCCAACAAGCCACACTTCAGTCTTCACCCAAAAACCTGTAAAAAGTTGACCGTAATAAACTAGAAACTTGTCTCCTGGTTGTTAACTGCAGTGTGTTTGTGTCTGTGTTCAGAGTGTCGGGAACAGCTGGACTTTAAGGACACGGAGCTGCAGATGTTGGTGGTCAGTCTGAAGGAGCTAACGGCCACAAAAGAAGTGATCCAGACACTTGAGCAGCTGCTGTGTGATGACGCGTCGCAGCTACTGTGTGACGATGCCTCAAAGCTGGAGGAGAAACGCAGCCAGGTACACTCAAAGGCTCCTTTCAGATTGCATTTCTGCAACCGCTCCGCAACAAGCCCCACCTTCCTTACGACTTTGTACTTCCACATTGTTTACCCAACGGTGTAATATTGATGTCCCAGTCTGTGATTTCAAATTGCATTACAGCGTTGCAGCAGCATGACATACAATCACACATGGCCCTGTTTTCCCCCGCTGGCTCTGCATCTTTCACTGACCCCGCCTAGCCCCTGTGTCTGTTATTACCTCTGACGCCACAGAGGTGGGACGACTTGGCTCCACCATAATGCCTCTGTGACATTTATAATGAAGGCCAGGAGTGTAAATATGCCTTGAACTAGCAATATAAAAAAAATGATACACACATACACTAGGATTTATAATTACATACAGATGTTTGACAGAGCTGTCAAGAGAATCTCAACCAATGAGACTAGCAAGCTGCAGCAGGACACATCCACATCTGGGCATTGGGTTTTTGTTTTAAAGATGAGAATAGAGACATTCCTACTGTTAATGCAGAAACGGTTGAGAGGGTGTTCGGGGCAAAAAAAGACAAGTGAAAAGGAGCAAACAAGATCTGCACACAAAGTCTTAGGAGGAGGATGTGTGCTCGAAATGTCACTTGTCAATAAATCCTTTAAACGGGAGCTCCTTGGTGTGCGGCTCTTGTTTGCTTCTTTTTCTCTATCCAGATTCCAAAACCTTGTAGGGACAGCCTTTTGGCAACAAAATCTTTAGATATGCTGTGACTAAACAAACCCTACAAAACAAAACAAAAAGTCCTCCACACATGGCTCCCCTGCTGTGGTGAAAAAAACAGATCGCAGGATGAAGATAACAAGAAATTTATGTTCTATTTTCTTGGGTAACTTAATTACTACACTGCGGACGTAAGTGGTGTGTGTATGCCCGTAATTAAGATGATTATGTTTTTATGTTTAGGTGACTCACAGCCGAGAAACTTACCAGGATTTGGTCCGTCTGATGGAGCAGCACCGAGCTGACCGGGCCGTCCAGGTGTCCATCCTCAGGTATTGGCCTATCACAGCCCTGTAACCCTTGACACTAGTGATGCTGCTGCTGTTGATCTTGTCTGATTGGCTCTGTGTTCATGCAGGATCCTAAATAAGTTCTTGGACAACTACGAGGAAGACGTGCTGCCTTGGCACGAGAGCATCGAGCCCTGCTTGTCCTCCATGACGGCCTTCATCAGCGAAAGAGAGGTCAGTACAGTCTAGGACTAGATGGAACAAACCCAACTGGTTATGTGCTTTAACCTCCTGTGATTGGTTGTTCAGGTGGTCCAGCATTTTATCCGCTTCCTGTACCGACTGGCGTCTCTGAACAAAGACTACGCAGTAGTGATGTGTCGTCTGGGGACGAAAGAAGCTCTGGTGAAAGCTCTGGACAAACACAGCACCAACCTGCTGCTGGTCACCGAGCTGCGAGACCTCATCACAGACTGTGAGAAGTACGCCAGCCTCTACAAGAAGATGACCACCAGTGTCCTCGCAGGATGTATCCAGGTAGGCAGAAGGCAAGGAGGGGTGGTCAAGGACCCGTAACAGACACATAAAGACAATTTAGCTTTTTTTTTTTTAGTATTTCTTGCTCTATTATCAATTTAAAAAATGTAAATAATTAAACAGCAATGAAATGCAAGAAATGTGTCTTGGTGTCTTGTTGCAAAAACAATGACAACAGAAATAGAACAAAAAAGTCAAACTTTAAGAAACAGCACTACTCCTTCTGTCAAAGAACTTGAAAAGATTTAACATATAAAAAAACAATGTGGAAAGAAAATGTGTACAAAGATACAACAGAGGAGTCGTTCTGTTGTCCAGGAATGTTTAAGATGATGTAGAGTGCAAATATCTTAAAGAATAAAAAAAACTGTTACAGGCGATACTTGAATCCTGTGTACATATAATATAGATTGTTGTGATTGGCCTAAAACTAAATTAGGCCGCATGGATGTCTGTCTGAACGGGAGGGAATCGGAAAGAATGGGAAAGCAAATAGAGCATGATCAGATAAATGTGGCTGTTAGGCTTTGTAAATACAAATGACAATAGATTCATGTTCTCTGTACATAATATTAAGAAAATTGAATAATTGTAACCCTCGCTGATCCTAGCTATATGTGATTTTTTTTTTTAAATCAGTAAATTAACTCTTTACTAACCCTGTTCCCATTTCATTGAATTTTCTGAATGAAATGAAACAGCCTCTCTGTCGGTCAAGAAGACTATCTCACCTTGTCTACCTCCTGTTTCCTGTTAGATGGTATTGGGTCAGATCGAGGAGCATCGTCGAAGCCATCAACCAATCAATATCCCCTTCTTTGATGTGTTCCTCAGGAATCTCTGCCAAGGTACGATTGAACCAAACATTATGTCTTTATTTTTTTCTGATTGTGCAAAGTAGTGGTGTCTTAAATGTAAAGATGTTGATGTAAAGTCAGTTAATTCAAATACATAAATGTTCTGTTCTTTGAGTGCATGAAGAGAGGTTTAAGATGTGTTACTGGTGCTGTGTTCAGGTTCCAGTGTAGAGCTAAAAGAGGATAAGTGCTGGGAGAAGGTGGAAGTTTCGTCGAATCACCATCGAGCGAACAAACTGACCGATAAGAACCCCAAAACCTACTGGGAGTCCAACGGCTGCACAGGCTCTCACTTCATCAACATCTATATGCACAAAGGAGTCGTCATCAGGTACACACTACTGATGCTACCTATCTTTCAATGGGGAAACACAACCTCCACGTACATCAGCATTCTGAATCAAATTAAACCAACGTGCAGCACCTTTGACTTTGACTCTGTAGATTTGGCTGCTGCAGGACAGACTCCTCCCCCTCCACTCAAAGCAGCCGTAGTTAGCGCACCTATACTTTGTCCCGTGAGAGTGGATCGCTGCCTTTTTGTCCTTCGCCAATCATATCCCTGATTTGTGCAATTTAGACAATGTAATATCCTTGACTCTCTGAAAGATTAACATAACTTCTGCACCTTTACAAGAAGCCAACAGGACTTGAGAAATGTCATCATCTGCCCACATATTACTTTGAATAGACCACTGCTGCTCTCTCTTCCTGATTTTTTGAAACTTCAAAACTTTTATTTCTATATATTATATTATATTTAATTTCTATAATACTTACACTGACAGTACTGCCTAACATATTTTACAATGTTCAAAGTGAAAGTACGTGATCAAAGCTGACATTCTCAGTGTGCATCCTTTTGTAACTGTGGAGATCTCTCGCTTCATTAAATCATTCAGATTCTTTCTTAAAGCCTTTAAAAAAAAAATGTTTTTAATAACTCTGCCGAAGAGTCAAACGAGAACTACAGTCCACAGTCCAGGACTTACGACCAACATTGCTAACAAATGAAGATTGTCATCTGTGTGTTTTCAGACAACTGGCCATTCTTGTGGCAAGTGAGGACTCAAGCTACATGCCGGCCCGGATCCTGGTTCTGGGAGGAGATGAGCCCACCAGCATAAATACTGAACTAAACACGGTGAGACTTGACTTCACTAAAACAAAGGCAGAGTCAGCAGTTTGTGTATCCACGCACCATCGGACCAAGTCTTTTCTTTTTATTAAAGATTATGTTATTTATTGTATCTTTTTGTTTGGTATTCACTGCATATTTGTTCTGTGTGCAGGTGAATGTGACTCCTTCAGCCAGTCGGGTGGTTCTCCTGGAGAACATGACCAGGTTCTGGTCAATCATCCAGATCCGGGTCAAGAGATGTCAGCAGGTCAGACTTTGAGATCAGTCCTTTTTCTGGCTGGCTTCATCAAACCCCACCACTCTATCTACTGACAACTCCCCTTCACCCACTGATCCCGCCTCTCTTCTCTCTGACAGGGTGGCATTGACACTCGGGTTCACGGTTTTGAGGTTCTGGGTCCAAAGCCCACGTTCTGGCCGGTGTTCAAGGAGCAGCTGTGCTGTAGGACCTACCTGTTCTACAGCACCAAGGCCCACACCTGGTGTCAGGAGGTGATGGAGGACAAGACACAGCTGCTGCAGCTCTTCAACAAGTAAGAAACAAATGTTACTGTTAATAATCAGTTCAACCAGAAAAAACTGTATAAAGTGTAATGTCGTAATATGATACAAAGGTTAATACTACAGTTATACTGTTAATACTACTGCTGATACTGCTGCTCTACAACAGTGTTTTATACTCTGAGTACTCGCTATAATTACTGCTATGTATTAATACACAACTACTATTTGTGTGTGTGTGTTTACAGACTGAACAGCGCTCTGAGACATGAGCAGATGTTTGCAGATCGCTTCCTGCCGGACGCTGAGGCAGCCGAAGCTCTTGGTCGAACTTGCTGGGAGGCTCTTATCACCCCAATAGTCCATAGCATCACACTATCAGGTACACACACACACACTTGTCATTCCACTCTTACTGTACGTATTTTCACACACAAACTCTTAGCGTAAGTGTGTTTCTGCAAATGTGAACACTAAGGGACTAATTCTTCAGCACCACTTCATCAGAATATTTTTCCTGCCTCCCCATTGTAAAATTTCTGCGTGAAAGTGGGGTGTGTGACCGCAACAGAAGAAGTTCTTGGAAACTCACAGCAGGCTAGTTATGACATTTATATCACCCAATCCATGTTGATTGTCCTGTACGTAACTATTGTTCTTGACACTCCTTTTTTTTTTTGTCTGTAAGTCCACCGCTTGTTCATTGGTACTGTGAATACGTTCAAAAATAAGTAGCATTGGGGCTCTGGTGGTGCAGTGATAAGTATGGAGGCTTTAGTTCTTTAAGCAGGCGGCCCAGGTTCAAATCCAGCCTGTGGCTCCTTTCCCGCATGTCATTCCCCACTCTCTCTCCTTGATTTCAGACTCTATCCACTGTCCTTTCTCTCCATTAAAGGCACAAAAACCCCAAAAATAAATCTTTAAAAACAAAGAAAGTAGCATCCATATAAAGGTGAAAATTGTCAATTTCTTTGACATTGTGTCCCGCTTCCTGAGCTTCACCCTACAAGAAAAGTCTTCAAGTCTCAAATATGAAAGAGCAACTCATGAAGATTTTAGGGACAAGCCTGGCTGAATTTTCTTAAGAAAATGGTAGACACACACACACACACACACACACACACACACACACACACACACACACACACACACACACAGACCCACCCACCCACCCACCCAAACTCAATCAAAGTCCCTCTCCCTGCTCACTTTGTGTTTTCCCAGAATCCGCGACGTCCAGCCCTCTTTCCTGGCTCCTCAGCGAGTATCTGGATAACGCAGAGTCAGCCCGCCGCTGTAAGAGCAGGGCGGCCATCTTTAACTCCAGAGTGAGACGCCTCACACACCTGCTGGTCCATGTAGACACGAGTCAGGTGGACGACGAAGAGCTCAAACCCCCCGTTAAATCAAGTGAGTGTCATTTTCATGCTTTATTTTTTGTAGTTTAGTCCATCATTTCTCTCAGCGATAAGTTTATATCTGTTAAGTAACGTTAATTTACACCAGTGAAACGGAGAAGATCTTTTACAGAATTTACTGAAATGACTAGATAGCTAGATTGAAGTTAGTATTAAGTGTTAAATTCTTCCTTTTAAACTCTTTGTTGGGATCAATAAATTCTCGCCTGATCATTGATGTTGAAGGATCAGCAACATTTCTTCTGTTTGTATTTTCCTGTCAGCTTTTATAAAAGTAAAAATAGACGTTATATAAAGTAGAAGAATGAGGCTGAACAGATCCTCACACGTTTGTTACAGTCGAGGTTAAAAATAGATTCAAAAAGACTTCCAGAGAAACTGAGGTGAGAAATCTCTTTAACATCTTTGACATTTTATCCGTGAGTTAAATTCGTGCTTCGGGTAGAAGAAGAGTCGTGGTGTCAGTTCAGCGCCTTCACCAGATGGTTTCTGTCTGTGCATGTTTTGGTTCCAAATTCGGTCACCATGGCGATAAGTCAGTGCCTGTCTCAGGTGAACAACAGCGGAAGACACTTTCATATAAAGCTAATGAGGTTTTAATTAAAGGACCTTCTGTTTTAAATCCTTTAAGGATCAAAGTCACTGTATCTTACCGTATACTTAGAAACAGTTCTATCTTTCTGGAGAGCCTGTTCTGACAGATCGATCATGTAGTCTGAACTTGACTTTAGCTGAATCTGGTTCTCGCTGTCTGTACTCGTGTGAGATAATGTGTTGGCTTGTTTATTCAATGACAACAATGACAAAATGGAAACTCAAATATTTTGCATGTTATCCAATAATGTAGTTTTGATATAAAGAAAAGATGAATAACATCACAGCTCTAATCCATGTACAGAAGTCCTGCTCTGCTTCCTCACAGAGCAACCTGGTGAACAGAAAGAAACAGATATATTAGCTGCACGTCAGTAGTCTTAGAAACGTTCCTCGACCTAAACCGAAAGAAAGGCTGAAAGGATAAAATAAAGTATTTATAGATTGTAGGTCAAATCTTTTGTCATCGTCTACATACAAAAGACTTGGAACAGTTTTATTTTTTTCAATGCTGTTGTCAACCTAACCTTAAAAATGATGTTCAGTAAAAATGTGTCCAGACAGTTGAGGGCAATGACAAATGTAACAATGTTCCATGTTTGAATCAATCAGTAAATTCTGTGATAAAATGTAGAGACAGTTCTTATCAAATAGATGCATCAATGAAGAATGTTGGGATTTAATGCTAAAGTGTATGAAGTGGTCCTCCATGTTTAAAGAGTGTTTTTTGTTTCAGAAGGTCTCAACCGAAGCAAAGAGCTGAAGAGTAAGTAACAGCTGAGTACAGAGGCCATTTTGTTTGTTTACACTCTGCTCTGTGACATTTCATGAGTCCAAATGAGGACAGGAAGTAATCATGTTGCCCCCTGCTGTTTCACACCCCCAAATGTGTCTAAAACAGACTAGTCTGCTTATTGATTCCATCTGAAGACTAGAAACTCCTCACAAATACATTATATGGCTGCATGAACAGAGACGACATCATCTCATAAAACATTGATTTATTGTAGTTTTACTGAACAAGCAGGAGGAAAAGCATTTTTTGAAAACTTTTTTTTCAGTGGGAGATGAAAATTCTAGTAATTATTTTAAGTGCAGGGAAATTTTATTATTGTATTTAGTATTTGGAAATAATACAAAGTCATGAAAGACCAAGAAAAAAAGCATATATTTACAATAATTTAATTATTTGGTGTACGACACCCAAAAATAATTTATACTTACTTACAAAAATACAACTTAAAAGGCAGGGTTGGTAATTTTCTCCAGATACACTTTTTAAGATTTTGGTTGAAATTGTCTTTAGGTCCTGACAGACATTAATAATTAATGTGCTATGAAAAGGGAACGAAGAAAATCTGTCATCCGTATCAGTTGTAAGCCTGTAAACACTTCGACCAATGTCTGCCGCGAGGTCCCAATCTGATGAACCAATCACGCCTCCCTGCTCGTTCTCTACCCCTTGCGTGCACTAGTCCACAATCAAAGCGTGTCACGGATGACAGTCAGTTTATACTGTGAGTTCTTCGTTGGCCGTTGTGGGTTTAAAATAGTCTTTTTTATATATTTAGAGGGGAGGGGTGTAGAAGGAGCACTATATCATGCTAGTTTTAAAAAAATACCAACCCTGCCTTTAACAAAAGGGATGTAACTGTTAAAGACATTGAGAAGTATGTTTGATTTGAACTCATCCAGCACGGGGCGTTAGCTGACACTTCCTCCTCCTCATCTGAACAAAGTTTAACATTCAGCTTCCTCCAAACAAATGTGGATTCATAAGGACGCGTTTACACTCCCATCTTTTTCTTTCAGTTTGGACTGCTCTTAATTTGACTGCAGACTTCCTGTTCCCATTTTAGTCATGACACTGATGTGGTTTCTTTCCAGATGGTAAAGAAGAACAGAAGCACTGCTTTATCTTTTACGTGTTTGGCTGCAGTTTTCATTTCTGTTTCATTTTTGGATTCAGTTTATGAGAAATGGGCTTCATTCTGAGATTCAACATTTTTCGATTGTGTCTTCCAGACGGTAAAGAGGGTAAAAACAAAGACAACACTGCGGCCTCTTCTTCCTCCTCCTCCTCCTCAGCTAAACCCAAAGTGAAGAACAACAGCAGCATTGCAGGCATTGCCCTCTGTTGGCAAGGGGTGGTACAGCGCCAGGTAAGACCCTATCGCCATGAACAATGATGATGTTATCTGTGATCTGTCATTTTTGTCTTTTGGCTTCAAATGTTTCCTTAAATGGCTTAAAGCATGCTCTTGCTATAAGTGATGGTCAGTTCTACATTACCGTGTTTCTAGATGGTCATACATGTGGCTCAGAACTCTCTTAAACATGACCCTTCCCCCCTCAGGTAAAGAAGTTTCTTGAGTCGAGCTGCAGTCTGCCAGACTTTGTGGAGCGGTACCGGACTCTGTACCTGCGGCTGAGGAACGCCATGGAAGAGCTGTTTGGACAGCAGACTGCCTTCGTCCTGGCCCTTCGACATGGCTTCTCTGCTGCGCTGCTGCAGCTCTCAATCCTCAAGGCCATGCACGTGAGTACTCGCAGGCTTACATGTGTGCTAATCATCATTTGATTACTCTCATTCTAAGCAGGTCTAACTCAGATCTCCATCTGCAGAAATATTCTATAACAGAAGGTTCCACGGAACCTTTTTTTTAAAGAACTGAATTTAACTCAGGAAAAAAACCTGTCATTGATCTGGAATGAACCAGATGTACTGATTCTACCCTTCACCACACAAATGAAGTCTGGTTTTAGAGTTAAACCTCTCTGCCCTCTGCTGACTAGTTTGATTAACTTAGGCTAATCCCTAAATATATTTAAATACAGTGAGCATATTCTTGGAAATGAAGGCTGAAAATTGTAATGTGTGCAAATCACCAAATATTAACAATGAAAAAACCTTGTAATGTTCACAATGTGCACGAATATGCAGTTTTCTTCTTCTTCTGTGATCATTTGTCTGACAAAACAAAGTTTAGAGTGCTTTAATGGGCTTCAGGGACTTGTATTGAGCACTTTTTTTATTGTGTTGCTACTTTTTGTCAACAAAACACAGTAATGGAAAACGTCCTCTGAAGATCAATGATAACTTATTAGAACTTATAGTTTAAAATGTTTCACAGTCCTTCCTCGTGTTTTTAGTTGAAACGTTTAAACTCAAGCTTTTAAACATGTATCATATGTTGTTATGTTATGCAGGTGAGTGAGCGCTTCGCTCAGTACATCGACCAGATGATCCAGGCCAGTGGAGCGGCGTGCGGCAGTGTGCAGACGCTGGAGCGGCTGCAGCAGTTTCTGGAGCCCATGCTCTTCCTGTCGGGCCTGGAGCTCGCCAACACCTTTGAGCACTTTTACAGGTCTGAATGTTACGACCCCAACTCAGCTGCAAAAAGTGACAACATGTTCTAAAAACATTAAGACAGTATGCAGGAAGGAGCCCTAACCAGTGTCTCTCTCTCTCTCTCTCCAGGTACTACCTGGGCGACAGGCTGCTGGCTCAGGGGAACGTGTGGTTGGAGAGTGCTGTGATCGATCAGATCGGCAGCTGCTTCCCGAGTCGCTTCCCTCAGCAGATGATGAAGAACCTGAGCGAGTCTTCAGAGCTTCAGCAGGAATTTCACCTGTATCGCTTACAGCAGCTGGACCGTTGCCTGCAGGAGCACGATCAGGTCAACAAAACCCCACTAAACCTTCTGGAGCGTCATTTAGTGGGAATTTGATGTTTGATTCTACTTAATGTGGAAACGTTTGATTGCTAGACTCTCTACATCTCCTTTCAAGTTAATTTATCAAAAATAAACTGTATAAGGGGAGGTCTTCAAACTTCCAAGGAAACACACATTTCATTGATAAAAGAAATGATGTGCATCATGTGTAGCTAGGGGACAATAAGAAAATGACTTAATGATATCTAGAGCTAAAAGGCTTCAAAGTCCTGCAGGAATTATCAGTTAAGATGTTGCGCTTAATACAGATTGTTCTTTTGTGTTGTTGCTGCAGATGATGGAGGAGGAGTGGGCCGAGACAGAGGAGGAGGCGGAGGTCCATGTTTTGGTTCTGTCTCCTCGCTGCTGGGCTGTCTCGTCTCTCTGCTTTCTGGATCAACCTGCGAAACATTATCCAGCTGAACTTTGCTCCTACCTGAACCAGTTTACACAGTTCTACACACACAGTAAGTATCACTTAACTCTGTTACAAACCTGGCTTAAATCAGGTTTAAACTAGTCTCTTTTTTTATAAACAAGGCTTTACTCTGTCTTAGAGTAGTCATAAATCAGTTTAAACACCCTTAAACTATGCCTATCATTTTCAGAAGTAGTTTAAAATCTTTTATTTGACCAGACTTAACCCAGTGTTTCACTTCTCTTATTGTAGCTGTTATCCAGACTAACATTCTGCTTATACAAATCTTTCTCTGTAATGTACGTCTGTATGTTTGTATGTCTAATTTTCACATCTCTTTGTGTCTCTTTGTTTATGCGTGTCAGGTCAGTCCATGTACGGTTTGAGTCACTCAAAGCCTCGACGGCTGCAGTGGACATGGCTCGGTCATGCTGAGCTACAGTTCGGCTGCTGGACGCTGCACGTCTCCACGCTCCAGATGTTCATCCTGCTGCAGTTCAACAGTCATGAGGTAACACAAACACTCGATAGACACTTTTATATGGAGTCCTTCAGCAGTGCTATGAGCTGGCTGTGCCCACTGTCTAATGACAGGGGTTGTGTTAGCAACGGACCTCCGTTAGCCCTGCAGCTAGCTCCAGCCATCCTGGGGCTACGCAGACAGCAGCCGCTCAGCTCTCCTGTCCAGGCCCGACTGGCTTCAAATCTCACATCTCGGCTACTAAAATTTTTAATGAATAAGTCCGGTTATGTGGCTGCGATGGTGTTGATAGCAACCAATCCTAAGTGCGGCCAAGCCAGCTTTGGTCTCTGCCTCCAAGTCGTCAAGTCTTTTCTCCGTGTGAGCAGAACTCCACCTCGAGCGAGGAGAGAGATAAAGAGAGAGAGCAGCTGCAGTGATATTCTTTGTATCACCTGTGTTTTATTTCACCCCTGTGCAGCTATCTGTTGATGTTGCTGAATTTGTTCACAAATAGTTTTATAGTTTGCATGGCAGTTAACATCTGCGCCAGTGAAACAATGTAATTTTCTTTTAGGTACATTTAGCTTTGTTTTCTGAACAGTTACCTGGAAAGAAAATGTAACCAACTGTGTCTGTGCAGGAGGTTCAAGTGGAGGCTTTGCTGCAGGCAACTTGCTTGTCTGCTGCCGTCCTGCTGCACGCTCTGCTGCCGCTCATCAGCGAGGGAGGACCACTGATCTGCAGCCACCCCAACGAGCCCAGCCAAGGTTAGGCATGTAACACACAGACAGACACAAAACTCCTGAGATTAGGTCACCCGGAGGGACTTCAGGCTATGTGTGAACGCAAACAGCCGCAATTTTCGCACAGGTCTTTACCCGGAGTTTCTCCGGCCAGACCCCGAGTATTTTATCTGAGTGAACTGATGTCTGAACGCAGCAGCATATACTCCAGAGAATTTATCTCGAGCCAATGGAAAGAGAATGACGTTTATACACAGTGACTGGCTAAAGTGTCTGCACGCGACCACTACGATCTCCGTGCACGTAATTAAACAGCTGCATTATGTTTTCTGTTCATCAGTTTGTTGTTCTCCTCTCTTTTGTGGATGTTGTCATTCCATTGGATTACACATAGCATTGATATAAAGGCAAAAAATCTCATTATAGTGTTGTGTAGCGGACTCTGTTGTTTCGGCCGCGACTTCCGCGTTGTTTATTTACGTCATATCTTCCCGTCATAAATCCCCCCCCCCCCCCTCTGACAGGGAAAGTCCCCCGCTGTGAGGAGCATATGTGAACGGCTAGTTCGGGAGAATCTCCGGAGCGTTCCTCCTGTAATTATCTAGAAATTATCCGGAGTGCATATGTGAAAACGGCTTATGATTCACCCCTCCCTCCCTCTGTCTGCTCTCAGGTGTGTTGCAGTTAAACCAGGAGGTGGCCTCTCGCAGTCTGGAGAGCGTCCCTGCATCGGTCCAGCTGCTGCCTAGACAGACGTACGTGAACGTGGACGAGGATGCTGCAGGTATGCTGGAGAGGAAGAGGAATTATATCTACTGCCTGATCGTTCACATCATGAAGCAGGAGAAGGAGATGCACATCGACAACCTCGTCTTTAAGGTCAGAGGTCAAAGCTTAGCCAGATTCAAGCCCCTCCCACACTCACTCTGCAGATAATTTTGCATGATACATTTTGAATAGGAAATTATATAAAATGCTTAGATTACCCAATGTGAGCTCTGATTGTGTTAATTAATGAAGTAAATAGTTTCACAGTTTAACAAAACAAACAGAACTTCAAGAGACTCAAACTTAACTGCCAACTGTCACAACAATATTAACAAATGTTTTCTTTCCATGAGAAAAAAACAACAAACTAATTAAGGGAGAGCAACATTTTCACAAATATATATATCTCTCTTTATCTTTCTTCCAGTCGATCCTCTTTCTGAGGAAGCAGTTTTATTAAATAACAGTATATCCAGAAAAAAAAAAATCCAGATCTACAATCAGAAATCAGAAAATAAAACCACAATGTTCAAATTTTCTTCAGGATCAAAGTTATTAAAGTGATTACAGCTCATGAAGCACTGAGACACTTACATTACATGGAAACGAGTGAAGATTTAAAACAGGGCTGAAGTTGTAGCTTGCAGCTATAGTCTGTATAAAGTATGGGCGTAGTCAAAGTGATGTCACCCATTTGTTTTTAAAGAGTGGTTATGAAGCCCAATAGTGGTGGTCGCCATATTGGAAATGCTATCTTCATCAAACTTCCAATCAATGGAGAAAGAGGTAAAGCTGAGATGGGTCTTAAGCCTTCTGGCAAACAGCTACTGACACCTGTCAGTCAACTTAACCCTCCCCTCATTTATTAGTGAATAACTCTTTGGCTCGATAAAATCAAAACAGATGAGTTGTAAAAAAATAAAAAATCCCCCCGCCCCCCCCCGTTCAGTGTGAATTTGTAAATAAATTAGCAATTGTTTTTAACAGGCTGTAAACTTGTATTTTTTGCTATAAAAACCATCGTTTTGACCCCGCCACCCTCCAGGTTCTGGACTCCTGTCAGAAAAAGGAAGCATCTCGTTCACCGGGTTCGGGCCGTATCAGCTGCAGCACCAGCGACGTGTTCTCCTGCATCATGCACGTCATCAGCAAGGGCTGCATACGCCGCAACGAGGACAACCCGCACATTGTGGAGTTCCTGCCGGAGGACCCATCCACACCCCAGAAAGGCCAGGCCCAGTTCTCCTTTAGCCGAGCCGAGATCAGGAAGGACGGTGTGGACAGCAAGGCTGACATCAGGTGTGAGCGAGACCTCTGACCTTTCACACGATCGACTCTGTTTACTTTCTCTAATCTCATTAAACTCTTCAGACAAAAGCATCTTGTTTATGTGAAACAAGTTCTCCTGTTCGTCTTTCATTCATATTTTTGTTAGAGCAGCAGCGTCTTCATCGTCACCTCACGTTAATCCTGTTGCGTGTTGCTGTATGAATCCTCTCCCCTGTTGTCATTTTGTTTCTAAAGGACTGTGCCGCTGTTTTCCCTTTTGTGTTTTAATCCTGTAATACAAACTAGTGTTTGACAGCTGCACTTGTTTTCAAGTTTCTCTTTGACTGCTCAGACTCAGACCACATAAAACGAAAACAACTCAGTTGAGTCGTATGAAAACACGCTGACATCCTGTGACTCCTCATAAACAGTCAAATGTAAAATGTTTAATTTTCTAAAAAAAGACAATAAAGAAAAAATTCAAACTCTAAAACCCTGCTTCTTGCCTTTTGCCTTATTTAGTAATGAGCAATATAAATCAATGATTTGTGTTAATTACCCAAAATCATTAGATACTTTTTTGATTACAGTTTTGATACAATTTCTATTCATCTTTCTGCACACACAAGATAGAACTGTCTTTAAAATAAACTCACTGTTTACAAATAAACAGCTGATCCTAATATGACGACTAGATTTAAAAATAAAAACTGATTTTCACTTTATGTAGTGTGTTAAAAAAGCATTTTACAAAAAGCATTAAAACAAAGAGCTTGAATTAATTTGAATTGAAATTAATTAAAAGCTTCAAGCTTCAAGTCCATTAAAACAAATCTGGTAGGACTTCACCTGAGCAGTTAGTTTTCTTGCACCACTCCCCTCGGCATGATGCTGAGATCTCCACTCTGCAAAAAAAACAATGACTTGTGTGTGTTTGCTTTTTTCCAGCCTGATGTCAGCACCGCGGCAATTTGAGGACGGCGTTCTAGACGCAGTTCTCTTCTCGATGGGTCGGACGATGACGCAGGAGGAAGTTCGTCAGTTGATGCAGAGGACCGTCCAGCAGGTCTTTCAACAAAGTTTGTTTTTTAAAGCAGTGAATAACTTTGAACCTGTTCAGTGTGATCATGGGTGAAGATTTGACAGCAGTGAGGTGTGAAGGTTTATCCCAGGTATCTTCAAGACCTCCTGAAAGATGAGAGATAAATGTAGCGGCTGCAATGATATTATTTATTAGACCGCAGAGTGATTTCAAACGACTTTGAAAAGACTCAGGACAAAACCAAGGAGACTTAAATAGACTTTGAACAACCTCATAATTATTGCTCCTCTGTCCCCCTTCAGGTATCAGCTACTCTGAGTCTAGACCTGGACTGTGCCGAGCACCTGCTGGTTCACTGTAAGTGGAACATGGACCTGCTGGTGCAGCGATACACCGACGACTCGGACACCCTTGTCATGGCCGCCGGGCTAAAGTGCCGTAACCCTCAGCCCCCTCCAAGCCCGGCCTCTACCTGCCCGGTCTGCTTGGGCCCTTGTACTGCAGCAATGGAGCAAGTCCCCTCGCTGAGCTGCATGCACTACTGCTGCCGGGTCAGTCTCTCTCATTGTGACAGATTCAGGATCACATATACTCTCTTGTTCAGTATCTCATGTCTCACTTTGTGTTGTACAGTCATGTTGGCAGGAGTACCTGACAGCGAGGATCGAACAAAACCTGGTCATGAACTGTAACTGTCCAATCACAGACTGCCAGGCTCAGCCCACCTCAGTTTTCTTCCTAAACATCCTCACAGACAAGGACACCATTTCCAAGGTAATGCAGCATCCTCCTCATTATCTGACAAGCTCAGAGTGTAAAAAAAGCAGAGGTGTGTTTTTTTTTTCTTAGGACTTTTCTCTTCAGGCAGAGCTTCATGAGGTCCCTGAGAAATCTTTACTTTTTCTTTTATTTGTGTAACTTTTCTAATCATATTATTAAATTGTCTGAGCATGATTGATCTCTGCTGTTATATGTCTTTTAATGAATGTCTTTTTATTTTGCATTATGTGGGTTTAACACCTCCTCCTCCTCCTCCTCCTTCTTCTCTGGTGCAGTATGAGAATGGCTTGCTCAGAGGCTATGTGGAGTGCTGTTCCAACCTGACGTGGTGCACCAACCCTCAGGGCTGTGATCAGATCCTCTGTAAGGAGAACATGGGGAGCATGGGGACCTGCTCCAAGTGCTGCTGGTCCTCCTGCTTCAGCTGCAACTTCCCTGAGGTCGGCGCTCCCCACATGCATACACACACACACACACAAATACACACATTACAAAAACGTTGCAGGGTGACATATGCGACAGCAAACTTGTACTTTAAGGCTTACAATCAACAAATATAGAAAAGTAAAATCAACTGATGTTCATACAAAGTATTTTCTCAATCAACTTGTCACAATGTTGACAAATTAACTTAATCTGGATTATTTTTACGTCGGTTGTGAGTGAACTGGTTTCTGAAACTACAGTTAAGGAAACGCACTGACATTACAATCGATAGCAGTGTTACTTTTCCTGATGGTCAGGCTGTTCACAATCAATCTTCTTAAAAACTTCAAATAGAAGAAGAAAGAAACAGTCTAGTTTTTGTCACGAGTGATCTTCTCCATATATCAGGTTTCTAACTAGACACTGGTAGTTATGTTTGTTGATGTCCTCCTCCAGGCCCACTATCCAGCCAGCTGCAGCCACATGTCTCAATGGATGGATGATGGAGGATATTACGAGGGGATGAGCATGGAGGCTCAGAGCAAACACCTCGCCAAGCTGATCTCCAAACGCTGCCCGAGCTGCCAGGCTCAGATTGAGAAGAATGAAGGCTGCCTGCAGTACGTACACTCAGGATACCTGCTGATGATGAAAAACTCTGATGATGAGGATGGTGATGTTGACAAGTGTTGGTTTATTCCTCTTTCCCCAGTATGACCTGTGCCAAGTGTAACCACGGTTTTTGCTGGCGGTGTCTGAAACCTTGGAAACCAACACACAAAGATTACTACAACTGCTCCGCCATGGTAGGTTCAACACACTGTCGCATGATCCCAGTTAAACATGAATCAGTCCGGCACTCCTGTGTCGTGATAGTTATGCATATTAAGGTTAATCTTAACTTTGGCACACCAGGGTTCTATTAATTTATTAATTTTTACCCGTGGTTTATTTGATCTGTAATCTTCTGGTTATTCATGCAGGTGAGTAAAGCAGCACGGCAGGAAAAGAAGTTCCAGGATTACAATGAGAGATGCACATTCCATAACCAGGCTAAGGTAAGACACCTGTCCACTACACATCTGGAGGACTTTTACTTTGAAACAGTTGTAGGGCTTTTATTCTGAAACTATAGAGGACAAGAAAGACTTTTGGGATAAAGCATCTTGAGTACTTTTGTTTGAAGCTGCGATAGTTAGAAGCAGGTTTAAAACAAATACTTGCATTAACTTGTAATGCTTAAAAAGCAGTATGTATGTAAAGTTGACATGTTTCCCTATTAGTGGTATGAGGTGTTAATGTGTTGGAATAATAAGGATGTAACAGAAATACATTCTGTCTCTGATTAAACCTCATTTTATCTGATGTAACCTCAGTTAACACCACATGCTTATAGAGTAGCAAGCACACAGCCATTCAGGACTTCCTGCCAATATGTTCTTTTGTTAGTTGTCATTGTTTGCAGTTGACCACCAACTTAAGAGGCGAGAATTGAGTTTCTGAGTAAAACTGCCAAAAGATAGTAAGCTGCACTTTAATACAAGCATCTGTTTAAACAGATTAAAATACTAAATTATTGTTGTAGATGATCGTGATGAGTTCTGTGACTACGTCACGGCTGAATGCATTCTGCCCCTTGTGCTCTTCACATGGAGTGTTTCCCTGTGTACAGCCAGTGTTTGCTGAAATGCTTCTCCATTTAATGCAGGATCAGTAAATAGGGATTCATCTGATATCAACCTTTTACAGTAACCATAGATCAGATTAGTGTAAGAAACATGAGTCAGTCTGGGTTTCTTTTGCAGGATTTTGCCATCAACCTGGAAAACAAAGTGTCGTCCATCAATGAAGCTCTACAGATGAAGTCTTTGACTTTCGTCATTGATGCCTGCAAAGTCCTCGCTCAGGCTCGTAAGGTAATCATCATCCTTTATCATCTTAATCAAAGACCAGGATCCTGCTGACTGATCTGTGCTGTTTGGATTGTATGTGTTTACTGTTCCCTGCTCTCTGTCTACAGGTGCTGGCCTACTCCTGTGTCTACAGTTACTACAACCAGGAGACGGAGAAGATGGACGTCATGGAACAGCAGACTGACGCTCTGGACCTGCACACTAACGCCCTGCAGATCCTGCTGGGTGAGAATCATATTATCATCGGTATTAAAAGAGTTTCTGATGTTTGAACTGAACTGTTAACCTGTGTGGTCTTTGTTTTCAGAGGAGACTCTGCTGCAGTGCACTGATCTGGCCTCATGTGTCCGGCTACTGAAACCAGAACACCTCAACACCGGACTGGAACTGATCCGACGCATCCAGGAGCGCCTGCTTGCCATCCTGCAGCACTCCACCCAGGTAACTAGTCTGAAGATTTCTGAAAGCAGTGTATGAATGAATATCTTAATTTACATGACCAATCCCACTTGGAATTATTCAGACACATTAGCTGAAAATCAGTCAAATGTTCCAGGATGTCATTTCGCCAACATCACAACAGCACCATTAACATGAACCATCCCCCAAATAACAACACTCCAAGAGGTAGGATACAACCAATACCAACACAGCCCCCCCAACACAAGGCGCAATACACCAATACAAATATAAACAAGACAAAATAGATGAATGAACTCAATCTTAGTTCATCACTTCTAAACAGTTTAGATACAATCCAGTTCATAAACCAATACATTACATGATGAATGGAGTCTAAGACATCTATCAGGTATAAGTTATTTTTATCCTCTTTTGCCACGCTCTAAAGAGATATTCAGACAAAGCAAAAACATGATCAGAGAGATATTCCATTAAAGGATCGTTCTCCATGTTGTGACTTTGATCTGGAATCAGTCATTGAAGTGACAGTTTTCTGAATGTCTGACTTATCCAGGACTTCAGGGTGGGTTATCAGTCCAAGAGCAGCCAGGATCCAGAATCCACTCAGGCCTCCAACCTGTCCAACAATACCGATGCCAACAAAGTGTGAGTACGACAACAGATAAGTCGTATTTCCAGGAAGAAAACTGTCATTCTGCTTTTGTATATTTAAATTTCTAAGTACGTTTGGATATTAAACAAAAAAGATTTATCCCACAAAAAAAAATGAAATAAAGTGATATTTCATTGAATCTAAAAATAAAAACAATACTCACTTTGAGACTGTTTTCTACTATGTTCTCAGGTCAAAGTCAGACCGAGCGTCAGACTCTGGAGACTCAGATAACAACAATAACACTGGGGAGGGGGGTGGGGAGGAGGCAGAGGACGAGGACGATGAGTATGACGAAGAGTACGTACCAGAGTGGCACGAGGACTACGACGAGGACGACATCGACGAGGACGACTTCTTCTCCGACGACGACGAGTCTGAGAACCTGGAGAGGGACTTCAGCCCCTTTGACTGAGGCAAAAACAGACCTCCCCCACCCCCCACAGCCCCGCCCTGCCCCTTCACCTGAGAACGTCAGGAAGGACAGGAGACGATTAGAGGGGCGTCCTCCTTCACCTGAACCCGAAACACCACAGAACACAGCTGCACTTGCTTTTTCCCTATTCTTGTATTTTACCTTCTGTGTCATGTGATCATAAAATCAAAGTCTGGAGAAGATGAGGATATTGTGAAGGGGAAAACGTTTTGGGTTCTATTTTTTCAGTTCTAAGAAATAAAGATTAGACATCCTGGACTAAATTCTCATCGTAGTCTTTAAACGATGGGAACATTTTTGTATTTCAAATTCAGTTTGAAAGTCATGTCAATAACTATTTTTTTTTTTTTTTTACTAACAAGTCTTGTTGTAACAAGTTGAGAACTGGTTTTAAATCAGTTAAGTTAAAAGGGTTTGAATCTGAAAGCAGTTCAGAACAAATTTGATTCTTGGTTAGAACCTTGTATCTGTGCAAACCCAGTCTGATCTGCACACTGAGACCAACTGATCCCAGTCTAACTTTTTTTAAGTTCTGAAATGTGTGAAACATTTTTTAAAGACAGCCCACATCCACTCTAAAGAAGTCTGAAAATACTAACACAGAGTCTGAAACAAGGTGAGAACTGGTCTACACACATTCAAAAGCCTGTCTTTTATAAGTAAGAGGCGTTTAAAACCACTTAGAACCTAGACTTAACCCAAATGAAAGGGTATAAAATGTCCAAAAAAGTCCAAAAGTCCAAAAAAGTGTCAGATCATTTCAAACCAGGCTTAAACAATCATGCAATGCCAATATAAGATTCTTTAAAACACAGTGTGAAACCTACTTCACATTAGATTTAAGCATTCCTGTAATGAAGTCTGAAACCTGTCAATTAAGATTCAAAAGTAAAAGAATAGAAATATAAAGTACATACATTTATAAATCTAAATTTTCTTTGAACGACTTTGATTCTATGACTCTGATCTAATGTCAGAACTTTTTGTTTTCCTCTTCTTCTCTACTCAACCACCTGTGCTCTGCCTTGTTCTGAATCCAGCTGGTTTCGGTTTCTCTTCTATCCGACAGCGATGAAGGACCTTTTCCAGAGTCAATCTCTTAGTTTGTGATCTTTACAGAACAAATCTGACTTTTCTGTTTCCTGCTGCTGCTTTTTGGAGTTCCAGATACGAGTTGAAACGAGGAAAAAGGGATTAGTAACCAAGTGACTGTTAGTTCACATCTTGTTTATCCTGTTAGCCATTAAGAATATCTATTAGTCTCATCACACGTTCTGCCTTGATTTATGTTGACGATGGAGGCTGCCTTTATTTGAGACTAAAGAAAAATAGAAATCATTCAAATGCATAACTTCCTCTGTATTATGTTTTTTTTTTTTTTTTTTTTTTTTTTTACACACATGTCTAGAGTTGTATGTTTCTATGCATCTGAAGAGAGATTCTGAAGTTTCAGCCTGAGCAGAGCGTCTGTAAGGAGCTGTGAAGTCTGAAGTATCACTGCAATAACTGATTGATTATTGGCTCACTGTCGCATTATTTACTGAGCAAAGACTTCCTCATCCGCCCTGTTTTCAGTTTTTTAAAAAGGACGTCGTTATGGGTCATATTGTTGGGTTTGTTGTAGGGAAGTCTGCGCTCTGCAGGAGTCGAGGGATATCTGATATCCCAGCTCCGTGTTTTGCTGTAATTTTGAGAGATCCTATATTCATAATGTTGATGTTCTATAATGTTCTTTCTTGTTTCTTTGCTGGAGTTAAGCGACTTCAGCAGGCAAACTAAATAAAGCTTTTTTTCTGCTATGCTGCAGAATGACTTTGATTTCACGCTGAAATAAAACACTCTACTTTAACCCCTTAACTGTCCTTCAATTTTCTTTTCAAACCTGATAAATTCCCCATTGAATATTACCAGAGTGTAGACATGAGGGGCGGCAGTAGCTCAGTTTGCGGGGACTTGGGGGTCGCTGAATGTCCCAGTATGGATTGAAATATGGAAGTTGCTCTGCTGGCAGTGTGTAGCAGCCCCACTCTGACATCTCTCCTTTAAAGCATGTCCACAGGTCTTGTTTGTGCATGTGTGTATTTCAGGCCTATGTGTGAGAAGCATAAACTAGAATTTCCTTCAGGGATTAACAAAGTAAGTAAAAAAACGCGTATACATAATAAAACAATGAAAGGCAATTTGGTAAACTTACATGGAAGAATAAAAAAGCATAATGTGATATGTTATTGTGAGACGGAAGGCTGCAGTTTCTCCCTCCATGCAGAAGGGGCGCTAAAGAGACCAGCGGTCGTCATTAGAGTGAAGTGAAGAAGAACACAGCTAGGCTACACATTGGTTGTGTTTGTTCAGGCAGACGTCAGCTTGGAATTGTTTAACTTTCAGCAAATGCATATAAATATAGCTAAGACAACATTTATGTCGGTTCGCCTTTCTTTTTGAATGTCTCATTCTGATAGAGATAAACTCTCGAGTTAACAGGGAGTGTTTATTCGGTTAGATTCCTGAACTAAGTGCTAGCTTACCCGGCTAGCTCCCTGCCTGCTTCAGCTCTGTTTCAGTGCGGATATGGGACGAGGAGCGGGAAGGGGCCGACCTCCTGTTGGTCCGCCCGGCGAAGACGGACCTCCGCCTGACATGGGTCCGCCAGGTTGGGGTCCCCCGCCACCGGAAGGCTGGGGTCCCCCGCCGCCGCCTGGAGGATGGCCTCCGCCGCCAGGTGAATGGGGACCACCGCCGGCCGGTGGTTGGGGGCCAACACCGCCAGGTGGATGGGGCCCCCCGCCCCCTGGAGGGTGGGGGCCTCATCCACCTGAAGAATGGGACCCGAGAGGCCCTCCTCCTCACGGCTGGGGGCCAAGAGGACCACCACCGCCGGGCTGGGGGCCCCATCCCGATGACTGGCTGCCACCTCCAGACTGGAGACCCCCTCACCCCGACGATTGGAGACCCCCTCACCCCGACGATTGGAGACGTCCTCATCCGGACGACTGGAGGCCCCCCCACCCCGAAGACTGGAGGCCCCCCCATCCCGACGACTGGAGGCCCCCCCATCCCGACGACTGGAGACCTCCCCATCCCGAAGACTGGAGACCTCCTCCCGATGGCTGGCGACCCCCTGGGTGGGGTCCGGAAGGTCCCCCCTGAGCCATGGGGACCCGAGCCTCTTCCACCAGGACCTGTACCACCAGGACCTGTACCACCTATCCCTCCTCCTGTTGGGATCCCTCCTCCTGTTGGGATCCCTCCACCGGACCCCGCAGCCTTTGGACCGATGCCCGTACCTCCTGTCCCCCCTCCAGCCATTCCTCCCATTGGGTTTCCAGCATACCCTCCTCCAGGCTGGACTGGAGAGGTGAGCAGCTTCATCCAGCAGTTTTCAATTTCTAATGGACCGGCCCAATCGCTCTCCTGTGATTAATTATTGATTGGAGATATACAAAGTATTTGTGTCTTGTTATTGTTTCTCCTGCTATTTAAACATAATTAAACATATTTAAACATTCTCCTCATTGTTTGATAACTGAACGTTTTCCATCCCTGTGTCTAGCCTGTTGTGGAAGAACCACTGCCAAACCCACCTCCAGATCAGCCTGAGTGGGTAAGTTCAGACCAGGTTCCTGTTAACAAGGACACAGACTTATTCATACCAGTAATCGGTTTCTTCTCAAACCAGTTTTAAAGAGTAAACAAAACCCAATAAAGAATAAGAAGTGTGGAAGAAACTCATTTAAAAATGCACCTTTGTGTCTTCGTTCCAGCTTGAACTCATACCAACACTTATCAACCTAATCAACTGAAGTGTTTTTCATTTTCTCAGTGACATGTTGAATACTTTAGGTGTTGTCTACAGATGTCTGGATCTGTAGTTCCAGCTGTCCAAAACCAAATGAATGCAGCTAAACATCACATCTTAAAGTTGAAAATACTGTAGTCATCATCAGTTGGATGACATCAAAACTCTAAATCTCTTGTTGTGTTTTGGGCACTTCTCATTTCTGACTTCTGTTTTTCAGATCAAAGCGTTGATTTCCGCTCCGGGCTCCGAGTCGACTCCGGGGGACACTAAAAAGTCCACAGAGGAGCCCCCTGTCTCAGCTGCAGTGGCTGAACCTGCTTCTGCCATTGCCCCTAAGCCTAAACCTAAAAAACCCAAACAACCCAAACCTAAGCCTGACACAAGCAAGACCAGTAAGGCCCTTGGCTTGCTGGGAAAACGTATATTTGAAAAGTAAGTTCTTAGGGATGGTGCCTTCAAACAATACTAGGGGACGCAGGCAAGAGAAACTCTAGGTGAAGTCCAAGTGAAAAATGTGGCCATTAGATATTTTCAGGACTGCATTATGTGTAAACAGCTTGTGGCTTGTTGTAAACGCGTATAAATGTTTGTACAGATTATGATGTCACTTCCTTCTGTGTGTTGTACAAGTTGGGAACAGATTGTGACGGTCTCTGTGTTTGTTTCCTCAGGCCTCCTCCAGGCAGGTCCACAGGGATTATATCATTCATCGGGGTAAGCGCTTCAACACATTTCCACACATGAAATTATCAAGTCGCACTTTGTTGATTGTTTCTGTGTGCCGAAGCTGCTCTGCACATCAACTCTTGTGTGTTAATCCATAAAGCCAAAAAAAAAAGCACTGGATGTGATAGTTACTCACGTAAATAAAAGCACATGGCTTGAATAAGGACGCAGTACTTTCAGCAGCAACTCTGAAAGTCTTTTTTTTTTTTTCTCATAAACTGAAGTTTTTGCATCTCCATAAAAAATCTGTGAATTAGGGAGAGCATCATTATTAGCCACTACTTGCCTTGACGATAAATGTCGGCCCATCAGCAAATAATGTGGCATGTATGGATGTTAAATTCACCAAATCTCATAGCTCAGTTTAAAAACAGACACAAATGATGAAGAAATAAGTATAAAACATCAGAGTCCATATTTGGCTTAATTGATATTTTAAACGTCAGTATCAGGCCTGATTTTTACAGTCTGTGTATTTCATCTTAGAATTATTTTAGTTATCAGGCAAGGTCTTTGAAATCTCACTGGAGTTTAAAAGCCACAGTAAGGGGTGGTTTAGTCTAATGGTTAATCAGCTTTTAGGTTAAATTGTTGAAGTAGCAGTCTGAGGTCTGTGTGCAACCAGTCAGCTACACTCAGTGCTGATACTGTTGGCCTGGTGGTTCTGGAGTACAAAACCTCAAAGCAGGAACTTTTTTGGGTGTAGGAGTGAAATGTAGTCTCTGCTTGTCTTAATGCTGTCTCACATAACATGATGTCTGAAAGCTTCCTGTATGGTCAAGGTTAAATCAGTTTTAAGATGTTCTGCTGTCTCTGATCCTCAGCCGACCTTCGGCTACATCGAGAGAGAAGATCTAGAGAAGTTCACTTTCAGCTTTGCCGCCTTCTTTGGAAACCCCAAAGCCATGACGCCCGGGGTCAGAGTTCACTTCACAGCCTGCAAAGAGAAGGTAAGCAGAGACAAATATGCAATGTGTTTAATATTACAAGAAGTAACTATAATAAGTAGTGCTGAAAATAAACACAAATCAAAGAGTGCATGTTGGCTATTTCTCTGTTTCCAAATCTATCTGCTGTTCTTCATGTTTGAAACAATTCTTGTGTTTTGCTACCTGTCCCTCCTGAATCCAAAAAATCCAAAAGGAAGTTTGTTTTTTATCACTACATTGGCATCAAATAATTAAGGGGAAGCTCTTTTGACTTCATCACAAAGGTGTCAACCCAAATAATTTTTTAATCAGTAACCTACATCAAACTATATAATTTAAAAAAATGTTTTTTTCCTTACACAATCTTAACCAATTTAAAATATTCAGAACACAATTTTGTTCCAAATGATAAATGAGTGAATAAACGTGAGTGTTTGATTGTTTTAACACGAATGAGACTCCGTGTTTGCCCAAAACCATCTTCACAATGCACAGCGTGCGTGTGTGTAATCTGACACCGAGAGACACAGAGGTCTACTGCGAGTCACAAAACTTTGAGAACTCGGGACATTTTTTGTCTGACAGTGTGGTCTGTATGCTACAGGGTATGTGCACCACGCAGAACTCTGTGTTTGCAGCTCAGTTATGCAGTTGATCACTCTACTTTTCTGTTTGTTTGACTTCTTCTAACATCAGAGTGCGTATCGGCACACTGGAAATATATTTTTCAATTGACTGGAAAAGGACTTTGAAAAATCCAAAAGACATCCATGCTCTGCTGAAATATAACCAGTGCCCATAAATGTATTATTTTGTGCCTTTGGAGTGGAGGGAGCTCAAGAAAAATAAATTAAACAAAATGTTTAAGACCTGAAGACACCACACAAAATGAAGCCCTAATATTTCTGGCACCAACATTTTAAATAACACCATAAATAATGTTTTGCCTGTTGATGAGAATGTCAGATATGTTTGATTTATTTATCTTCTCTGAAACTGCATCCTTTGGTTTTTCTTATTGTGATGTTTTAAACTCACTGTATTAAATGTCTGTACATTTGTGTTTCTTGTGTCTGAGCAGAACAGTCTCATAGCCACGGATGTGAAAGTGGCTCCAGGTGGAACAGAGAACGTGGACACAGAAATCTACGAGGCGGTGGTCAGTCAGCCCATCCAGGAGCCTCAGGTCAGTTAACACTTTAAACTTGAACCCCCTCGACTTCCCTGTTTTCTTGTTGTTCACCCCGTTTGTTATGTCTGTCTGCAGCCTGGCGAGCGTCAGTACCCTGGTCAGGTTCATGTGAACATCGGACCTCTGAGGACGAACCTGACGTTTGACAGGAAGGACAGCACGGTGACGCTGCTGAAGGACGACCAGGTGCTCATCAATCTGCTGACTGACATCGTCAGCGAGAAGAGGAGAGCCACCAACATCAAACCGAAAATCCCTTCAACATTTGAACAAACAAAGGAGGAGAGGGAGGAGGTCAGAGCTGTTCCACATCCTGAAATCAAACACACACACACACACTCACACACACACACACACACACACACACACACACACACACACACAACCAAAGATTACAAACTTGCTGCTTAAATAGCAGTTTAAGGTTAAACTGAGGAATCACTAACTATAATACTATCATTCACGTCTTATCTTCCACTTACAGGCTCAGAGGATTACATACAGTACTTTAGAAGAAGACGTGTATATATAACTGATTTAATTGCTACTTTAAACATCTGAAATGAATATTGCACTTAACCTTCATGAGTCATCATTATAAGTCAGAACCTGACTTTGGTTCTCTTTTGTCTTTGAGTTAATGTTTCATTCTTTCTCTGCAGGGAGTCATCCTCAGCCTGAAGGACAGTGAAGGTGTCATAAAGTCTGAGAAACACGGTGAGCTACCTTTTGATATCAAAGAGAACTTCAGTGACGTCGAGTTTACTGCTGAGGACGTCAACGAGGAGGTCGAGTTCACCCTCATCACGGTAAGGACTTCACGATACTTTAAAGTTTCAAGGATGTTTTGTCTTTTGCATATTTTTCTAAAATTTTCTTTTATGGAGATGCGCCACTACTGACCTCTAAACCCAAAAGCAAATATTTGCAGTGAACATCTGCCACAGGCATGGCAACAAGAAGCATGAATCAAATCATTTTGCATAAAAAAGTGCGACTTGGGTAATGCTGCAAGAACTAACCAATCAGAACCCAGATTTTGTTCATGCCTCAAGACTAACCCAGATATTTGAAGCTTATCACAAAAACAGTACAGGCATCTTCGGCCCACAACACAGGCTTTAAGTTAATAAATAAAAATAAGCGTTAATTAATGAATCAGGATTATTTAAGGTCTGGAATTCATGTATTAATTGTTATTAATAGCGATTAATCAAATGTTATTTTGTATATTTAGAAGCAGCTTTGATAAGCCTCTTCATGTCTCCCTGTAGTCACAGTGATGGAAAAAAGCGACACTGCTGCATCTTTGAATGTCTCATTTCACTCAACACCTGAATGGCACTAAAACCATTGATAATAATTTGTTTTGTTTCACTTCAGCTTAAGACAGGGAAGAGGGCCATCAGGATAAGGCGGGTGAAGGAACCCCTCCTCCTGACACTGTGCTCGGCCACCGCAGCCGTTGCTGCCACCCCTGACGACGCTGGCGCACAAAACTCTGACAGCGACAGTGACAGTGACAGTGACGATGAGTCTTCCAAGCCACTGAAGTTTAAGACCACTACCAAGACGGATCTGGCCCCCAACATGAAGCTGGATACTGAGCTATACGAGGGCATCGTCAGCCAGACAATTATCGAGCCCACGGTGAGAGAGACCGGAGATAAGAGACACGTTTTAGAGTCAGAAAACACAGATCTCTGTTAGAAATTAGTTTTGATTCCGATGTCGTCTAACTCCCACTTGACTGGCTTTATTTAATCAGTTAGTAACCATTTAATGATGCATGAAAATATTTATTACCACAGCCAGTTACAGGTGGATAATAAACTCTACATCTTGAAGGTATCAACAAAAGCTTTGAAATCGCTGTATATTGAAAAAATCTTACTGTCAACGAAGTGCAATAAAATCCACCAGTATGTCTCTCTTACTGGTTCCACTACAAGCACTTTAAAAAAAAACCACTGGTTCCAGCTTTCTGTATAGCCAATGATGTTAACTTTGAGCTCACTTTGCATTAAATGTACAGCTTTCTCTAGACAATAACTTTAAGGCCTTTCAGTCACATTTCACAAAATGTGTTGACTTCTTGTTGTCTTTCATAATGTAACCTTGAAAAGTCTACATTAATGTAAATAATGTCCTGGTTTATATTTCTGATTAATAAGCATGTCAGTAGCATGTTACAATATCCACAAAAGGGTAAACTCATCATGCGGTTTGTATTCTGTAAAAATAGGCCAACTAAGGGTTATAAAACTAACCGCGTATGTAGAAATGAAGCAGAAGAAAAATCTGACTGTGTGGTTTTGAATGTACGCTAAATGTATTTTTATTTACAGTTGATTGTTTATTAAAAATGTCGAGACGGTCTGTTTGGCCGCTCTTCTGTTCTGATGCTGCCCTCTCTCTCTCTCCCTCTCTCTCTCTAGCCCACCTTGCCAGGTTACCCGGGTCAGATCCACGCCAACATCGGCCCTGTGAGGACCAACGTGACGTTTGACCACCGGGACTGCGGAGTCACGCTGCTGAAGAACGACCACGTGTTGATCAACCTGCTGGTCGACGTTGTGACCAGGAAGAGGAGAGCGGCAAACATCAAACCCAAAATCCCGTTCACCTTCAGCTACACCAAAGAGATCAGAGAGCTGGTAACGTGACATCTGATTCTCCATCAGTCATGAAAAACTCACTGTAATATTCTTAATACTCAGTGTCAGGGTTTTTTATTTTTAATGAGTTATTTGCATGTAAAAACAAGATGTACTGTTTCTTACTTTATTTATTTGTATTTATTTATTTATTTTATTCACAGGGCATCATCACTTTTCTGGGACCTGAACAAGGTATTGTAAACTCTGAGGAGCACGGGGAACTTCCTTTTGACATCTGGGAGAACTTCAGCGAGACAAAGTTCAACAGCTCGGACATACACAAGGAAGTGGAGTTCACGATGGCCGTGGTGAGTCCAACAACCCCTCCTGGACTGCAGAAGATTTAGGGAGTGAGTAAGTTTCATACCCTTGACACTGTTGGTTTTGTTCTTGCCCCCACAGGTCAAATCCGAAAAGAGAGCCATTAGGCTACTGAGGACAAAGAGGGTTGAGGACAAGATCCTGGAGGAGCAGAAAAGACGAGAGGAGGAGGAGAAGAGGAAGAAACGGGAAGAGGAGGAGAGGAGGAGACACGAGGAGGAGGAGAGAAGGAGGAGGGAGGAAGAAGCGATGGAGCGAGAGAGAGAGGCAGAAAGGAAGAAGAAGGAGGAGGTTGCAGCAGCGCTTGCTGCGGCTAAATGCAAGGTGATAAACATGAGGAAAAATGAAAGCATTTACTACACAGCTTTTAATTTGGTTTAAAACTTTGTTGAGTTTAAAACTTGGGGTCTAGTTTAGAGTTTTCAAAGTTTGATCTTTGGTTTTGTTAACGCTTTAACGCAAAGGCCTGAGTTTAATCATTTGATAGGCTGAGTTTAGGCTTAGGAATACAGAACTCTACTTTTAACTCACAGTTTTGTAGAAATATGTCCGCAAAGGTTTTCTACCAATAGTCCAGACTAATCTTCAGATTTCACAAACATGTAAAACAAGTTAAAATTTAACCGCTGTTTTTTTAATTTTTTGTTTTTTTACTTTTAACATACTGATGTGATTTCTCTCCATCATCCTATCTTCGTTTAGTGGACGCCGCTTGGTTTCAAAATAAGACATCCTGACACATTGGACGACATCAGCAAGGAGCGATTCGAAGGCACCGTCCTCAAATCCATTTCTAAAAATCCACACAAGGTGATCAAGAAGGAGCCAGAAGAGGGAAAACAGGGGAACTATGATGAGAACGGGAAAACTGTTCCCGAACAGGTACCAGTGAAATACTGCAGAAGTCTTAAATATCCAGGAGTTGTACAAGAGGGTTTTAATGAAGGTGACATAGCCATTTCATTAGAATGTATTTCTGTGCAGGTCAAGATTAAAGTTGAAAAAATGGATGAATCTGAGTCAGAGGGCAAAGGAGAGGAGAAAAAGATAAAGGAGGAGAATGAAAAGGAGAATAACGATCAGTCCAGTGACGCTGGAGGTGGAGTGAAAATCAACCCAGATATGGGTCGACTGGTCATGACCATCAACGGTCAACAGAAACAGCTTCCATTTGGGCCAGATGACATGCTGAGCACCGCCACCATGATGGATGGAGACAAGGTGAGAGGAAGAGGTGGTGTAGACACTCAAAGACATTACTAAAGATTCACCCAGATTAAGAGACCCTTTCAAATGACTCTGTTCAATCTCCCATTTCTAATTTTTCAGTTTAAGATGTACCCAAATAAGAGGCATAAAAATAATAGAATAAAATCTCCCTACCACAGAATAAATCAAACAGACAGAACCTAGTCAGACAAAACTAAACCATGTTTCATTTTTAGATGGTTCACACTCAGACACTAATTACTGGATGTTCTGACATCACTAACTGAATGCGTTTCCATGACACAGAGAGGATGAGAAGAAATGTTTGATGAAAACTATGTCTGACATTTTTTAATGAAGAGTGAGTGTAAAAAAATCTCAGGCACAAACAAGGAAGCACTGAAAGAAATAAAGAGACACATGTCACATACTGTAGGTGATGAGGAATGGTTATAGATATATGTCATGTGCAGTCCTTTCACATGATTACAATGTGAAAGTCAAAGTAACCAAGTGACAATTACAAACTAAGGTCAGAGTCTAGGCGTGGAACTTCAGGAGTGAAAAGGCTGCAGGTGTTAGACAATAGTAGCATAGCACAAAACACAAGACAAGTTTCCCCTTAAAACAGCTAATAAATCAATGACTGATGTAGTATAAATGTCCTTTATTGCAGGGATCCGTCTTATTAGCTATTTCTTTTGTCCCCGGTTCTTCGAGAGCACCTGATTAATTAAATTTTTGACCCAGTGCAGCACTCACTTCCATCTTTCCCCTTAAAACCATTGAACCATTCATTCAGTTTCTTCATATCTAATGTACGGATATCTTTAGGATTAAGAAATACTGTATCTCTTTGAAACCACTGTGATTACATTTTATACATAAATAGCTTTCAGTTATGACACCCATCTTATTTAAAAAACAAGACTTTTTTTAAAGACAACTATCTGCTCTGGTGAACAACTTGATATATATTTCATTGAGAAGCAGCAGCTAATAGAGGCTGTGCTAAAATCTGACTTATTAAAGCCCAGCACACTAAATTAACTTGTAGCTTCAGGAAGGGTTTCTTTAGTACCTGAATTTAAGTTTCTGATGCCGAACTGTGTCTGATCTGTGAAGGTACGCTTTAACATCGCCACCCATCAGGAGACCAAAGAAGAACGAGCCACCTTCGTAGAAATTCTTCCCGACTCCTTTGAAGAGTCCATCGAACAACGGCGACACGTAAGACTCTCAAATGACCATCTGTACGCCTCAATATTCTGAATCTTACAGGATTAAAAGTTTATTTTTTTAACCGAGCTGAGATCAGAGCGGCTGTAGAGCCAAGATTAAACTAAAGTGAGGCATGGATGTGAAGCAGCCCAAACTCTGTGATGTGTATTTATAGTTTGTGTGTGTTTCTAAACAGGGGATTGTGATCGAGTTTATGAAGGACTCTGGGCTCATCAAGTGCTCTCAGAACCCTCAGCTCTACTTCCACATGGCAGAGGTGATTGAGAAGAAGAGACTGGAGCTGAACGAGAAAGTCGAGTTCAGTGTCGTCCCGGTGAGTGCAGACTTTTATCCTCTTCTTTTATTCCTTTTTCATGACATCACAGTTCTAATGCTAAAGAACATTTTTCACTGTTGCTTTAAGTCAGAATGGCTCGGGGAGAGAAGTATTCAATGTTCATTTAGGATGCAAGATCAGGCGTGTACTCTGGGTATTTTGACCATTTATCAAAAGACACCCTCATGTAGATATTTATTGCCTGAAGTACCCAGAGCTTGTGTTACAAGTGATTCAGAATAACAAACACTCATTTTAGTATTTACCTTTATTTATCTTTGTCTATCACAAAATTCAAAGTACTGTATTATAGTTGCCCTCCTAATATTTCTGTCCAGTAAGACGTGTCTTTTTCATCTTTTTTCTCAAAGCATGAAACGGCGGAGGGAGGGAACCAGGCCATCAGGATAAAACGTTTCACTGAGAACGTTTTCCTTCCAGTAAGGAAATTGGGCGGTGTCGGGGCAAACAAAGGCAAGGTAAGAAGTATTGGATATATCTATATCTATATATATATCACTGTCTGATCTGTGAAGGTACGTTTTAACATCACTCAAACCTAACTATTATCTGCTGCAATCAGTGTGTAGCGTTAGATGTTTATTCTTTCAGAGGCCCATGTGATAATGCTTCTGTTGCTTGAAATGTCCATTGCTTAATGCCAGAGGGTAATATGGGACAGCTCACTGAGCAGAGAAGTCAGACAAGGTTCAGCATTTTTTTCTCTGACATTTGGTGAACAGTACTGTAAGAAGTACTCAGAATATTCGGCCCGGTAGCTATCAGACGTGTTGGATTTTGGTACCCATCCCTAACAATGAATACTCACAACTGAGAATAACAGAAAATCTGCCTACCTACCGCCTTGACACTTGATTTAAAAATCCCCAGTTTTTCTTTCCTCTATGATTTCCCATGTTAGAAGAAGATGGTGTGGGTTGGCAGTGCTCAGGAAATGAACTGGCCCCTCTCTAGCTACCAGACCAATTAGTGTCACTTAACATAAAGGTTTAAGAGTCTAATCCAAGGCTGATTCAATGCTGCCACGGTGGTTTCAGCACAGTATCACATTTACAAGTGTCTGTTATCAGTGCTGTGTTAATGTTTCAAATTATAGAGCATTTTGTCACAAGATTTTCGTAGTGATAATTTAACTTAACTAATGTGTTTGTCTCCTTTGGTAGATGACCATTAAGCTGACAAAAGCTTCAGAGGAAACCGAGTGAGTATTGATTTTTTTTTTTGTGTTTATCTTGTCAAAACACATTCAGGTGAACATTGTATCTTACTCAAGTCTGCCTTTCAGGAAAGAAAAACCAGAGGCAGACAAGATGAAGGCGGTGGTGAAAAACCTTCGAACTCAAGACAGCAAGAGTAGTATTGGCAGAAGAGATTACAATACCCCTCGACATAGATATGGTCGAAGCAGGAGCAGAAGTAGGAGCAGGAGTCCGAGTAGGAGTCGGGTCAGGAGTAGAAGCAGGAGTCCACGCAGAGACCATTTTGGACGTATCACCAAAAAGAGACGCAGCTCCAGCATTGAACGTAAAAGTAGCAGATATAGACGAAGCAGAAGCCACGAGAAGTCTAATAGACACACTAAAAGCCACACTAAGAGCCGCAGCAGGAGTAGCAGCAAAAGCAAAAGCTCCAGCAAGAGCCGCAGCAGAAGCCGCAGTCGGAGTAGGGAGAGAAGCAGGGAGAGAAGCAGGGAGAGAAGCAGGGAGAGAAGCAGGGACATGTCCAGCAAGAAAAGGAGCAAACTTAGCAAGGAACGCGAAGAAACTTACAAGAGGAGAAGAGAGTTGAGCCCTCCTCCCAGACGTGCCGTAATGGATGACGAGCTGGCAAGGAAGAAGAGGGAGCTAGAGGAGCTCAATGAGATGATAGCCTACAAGAAGGCCCTTGTTGATGTAGACCCAAGAGGCCTGGACCCTGGACAGAGGACTTGCATAGACTATGACCATGGCAGGATCTCTGTCCCACTTACTGAGTACAAACCTGTTCGATCCATCCTTAAGAAAAGACCAGAGGAACCTGAGTACCTCCATCGTCCTCCTCAACCTTATGATGATCGTTACTATGACGGGCCATATGATCCTTACTCAGATCGACGTTATGGGGACCGCTACGGTGAACCATACACTGGCCGTCCCTACTCTGATCGGCCTTATGGTGACCGTCCTTATGGAGATCGGCCCTTTGAAACTCGTCTCTATGGTGAAGCTCCCTATGGTGGCCCTCCGCCTGCAAGCTCCCGTTATACCGATCGCTACGATGTTTATGATGAACCCTATGATGATCGCTACTCTGACCCAGCTTATGCAGACCGACGACCAGATGATCTGTATCACCCAATAAAACAGAGCCATTCTCCTGAACCTCATAGTTCTTCAACTTCTCACCTTGAAAGAGGCCCTGTTGCCACCAACCAAGCAGCCCTGCCACATACTGTTGCAAATGTATCTTCCCAACCCCCTCTTAGACCTCCTTCTCCCTCTGAGCCGCCTCCTAGAAGCCCTTCTCCCAAACTGAGGACAACAACACGCCAGTCACCTCCAGCTGAGAAACCACCCCTTGATCGCTTTCTTGACATGCTTAATAAAAAGGCGGATGCAGAAAAAAAATCAGAACCGGTTTACATGAGTGATGACCTGTTGCCTCACGAGCGAGCACTTCAAGATGGAAGGGGTTTTTCTCGTATTGTGGGATTGGCTCAAGAGCAACCCACCACAAGTCTACCTTTGGAAGGAGAAAAAAGCCAACCAAGGCCTATGCGGTCTTCATATGAGAGAACAAGTGAAGAACCACAGAGCAAGGCAGAACCCTACGACAAGATCCAGAGTCTACTCCGCACAATTGGCCTAAAGCTGAGTACAGGAGATATGTCCAAACTGGCAATTCGAGCCCAAGAGACAATCTATACCCCAAAATCATCATCGACAGAGCGAGAGGCTTTATCCTCCACAGGAGAAGAACTGCGAAGATGTAGAACTGGTTCTGTTGAATCAGATCACATCCATTCTATCTCCTCAGCAAGGTCCTCCAGTTTGGAGCCACTCAGCAGACATAAAGCCTATTCAGAGTATGAAGGATTTTTGGACCAGCAGGAGTTGGGGGCATTGAAAAAGGCACAACAGATGCAGAGTCTTACCAAGACCATGGGAAGCACACCCATTGACAGTCCTCAAGTGAAACCTCCCCCAGGGCCTCCCCCACCAGTCAACTGGTCCATTAGAGTTACTTCCCCAAATCCCCCAGCACAGAGCCCCATACCGCCCAGCATGGGTACTGTAGCTCCTCCTGCTGCAGATAAACCTACTCTAGGCCCTCCGCCTGGACCGCCTCCTGGGCCTCCTCCACGGCGTCCTGGACAGCCTCCTCCAGGTCCTCCTCCTGGACCGCCTCCTGGGCCTCCTCCACGGCGTCCTGGACAACCTCCTGGACAGCCTCCTCCAGGTCCTGCTCCTGGGCCTCAACCCCATCACCCTCCAGTACAACATCCTTTCTCTACACTCTCAAGTCATAGTATCTCTTCTTACATTAGCCAGTCTCCTGCAGCTTCACTCCTTAGTTCCTCCAGTGCTTCACATCCTGTAACAACTGCCTTAGTAACCTCACCATCATCAACACCAATAACATCCAGTTCTGCAAGTGAGGAAAAATCAACGATCTCTACAACTGTGGCCAGATGCCTGAAGGTCATTGAGACAGTGAAATCTCTGGCTCTGCAGCCACCGGCGAAACCAATCAAATCAGTCCAGTTCAGTTTACCCACAGAGTCCCCATCAGCCTCCAGTCCTCAGACATCTGCAGAGACTGATGATGACATAAAGAACAAGCAGAAGGAGAAGGTATGGCAGGCAGTTGTGTTACTAGAATTTTATTACGAAAAATAAAAAAGGAAACAGGAACTGATGTACTCCAGAATAGAAATAAAGAATGATTTGAAATGACCATGGCTTCTTGTAAACACCTAGCCATCCTTGCGACAAAGTGATTTGTTAAGAATATGCCTCTTCTGTCAGTGATTGAAAACATTCACATTTTCTGATACATGCAACCTATTCAGATTCTGCTCTAGTTGTATAGAAACTTTAGAAAGAATTTAAGATCTCCCTGTTCAAGATACTTTAGACAAAGCCTTGACAAGGTAACTATCTTTGTTTTACAGCTTGATATGTATAACCAGAGGATTCTTGAGAAGAGGGATCAGCAGCACAAGGAGATGCTGGCCCGCAGGAGAGAGAAGAACAAGGATGGCACACTGATCTCCCCAGGTATAAAGCTTGTATAATAACCTGCATTAATCTAAACTAGCAACCTTTAAATTACAGTGATCGGTGTTCAGCAATTAGTAAGGTTATGTTCGTGGCCTGCTAGTTCTTCAGAGATGTGAAAGACTATTTAAAGCACTTTTAATAGTGCTAGTCCGCAACAGCGCTGTAACGGAGCTCAGCTGTCATCACGCCCTAAGACATTCCGCAACGGCATACTACTGGTGTCCCAGTCTAAATTCATATTTCCTTACAGCATTGCAGAGTGCCAGAGAGCACAACATAGTGGGAGCTCCACATACACACACCAGTCAGACATGGATACACACACAGAGTTGCGCTTCCTCGCCGGCTGCGCCGATCCAGTGTCACCCCTGTAACGCGCCTGTTATTACCTCCGAAAGCGGCAATGACAATGAGGGGGTATCACTTCTTCCCCATTACGCTGCGACGTTCAGATTGTAGGAGAACCATCACAGGTTGTAAATATTGTACCTTAAAATGGCAGTCTAAATAGGGCTTAGGTTACATTTTATAGCTGCATGTCATATTATAATCACAAGCTATAAACTAAGCTGAAGATTTGGTTCTTCAGCACAATTAGCAAGGATATGGTGAAAAACGCATAGTTCCTTTACACATCTCTTGAGATGAGGTAGAAATGTTAATAAGATAATGAAAATAAATTCCAGCTTTGTTTTATCTGATGATTAGCAAAAACCATGTAAAGACCTGAGATAAAGATGAGTCTAGGACTAAGCTAGATTTATGCCGCTCTTACTGTAGATTCTCACAAGGTAGGTAGTGATCATCAATTTGAAATCCAGAATGTTTGTGTAGAATTAGCTTTGTTTTCAGTCGCACAATCATATTGTTGCGTTATTTAGAAGTTGCAGTCAGCCACAGTGGAATCTCTTGCGAAGTAACAGAGGCGCCACACGTACGTATGCGGCAAACCTCACGTGGAGCCATAAAACTGTCTTTAAGGTTACATAAACATGTTAGAAGCATTGCTGATATACAAAGATCAGAAGTATTTCCCCCACACAAGTTAGCTGTGCCAAGTGGTTCATCTCAGCAATCAAGAAAAGAAGCCAACTGCATTTTCATCTCTGCAAAGTAACATCGTTTTCCTCTTCATATGGTAACATCTGGCATCTAACTCTTCAAGTTGCACATTCAGAAAGTTAGGTATCGTATGGAAGTTACATACACCAGTTCCCTCCCCACCCCCTAGTTTCAGTATTGGTACTTGATTAAAAACACTGTATGTTGAAATACCTAGCCCTAGTAGATGGCTAGAAATGAAGTTACAGTGATACAGCTAAAGCAGGGTTAGTTTTTGCTTGGTTCAACTTCTCACAAACCATTTCATTCTATCGAAAATTAAAGTGTTGTCACTTAGTTGGTACTGGTACCTCTAGATGCAATTCCTGCACCTGAATGTAAACGCTATGTACTCGGTAGATAGGTTGTATGTAGTACTTTATTTGTACTACTCATTTGTATTTAAGTTGGTTAGATGCTCTATCATGTCTACAAGCTATGTAGATGACTTGATGCTATTATAAAGAAGGGAAATGCATAAAAAATGCTTGCGACGCCAGGTAAATAATGTTTTCTGCAGCTTCATGCTGACTGTCTTTGATGAACACGTCTGGTCTGGGACGGAGTAGGAAATTTAAAGTTAAGTCCACCATTTGGCTTTGATAGTCAGGGTCCAACATTTTTTGTTAAAATTGCCTAGATATGATCATCTAGGGGCATATTGTTGGGAGCAAGCAAATGTTAGGGCCATACCAAAATTATTTTAGAACTTTTTGATTCTGCTAGAGAAGTTTTTCATTAACAATTTCTAGCTGTGCTTTTATGGTCCTTTTAATGATATAAGAAGATTTTGCGATCTAAGTGTATTACAATTTAAGGTGGGTTGTTTGTTGCTTAAATGTCAAATTCTCCCAATGTTAATTTTTTTATTAGCTAGAAAAAAATTTGTTTACACATCTTATATACAAGATAACACATAGTTGACTGTGATAAGTCTTTGGGCCAAGTCTAAATGAAACCACTGAGGGTAAGTCAATATTGCTGAAACGTGATTTCTTGTTAAACAAAGTGGAGTGTTGCTTTGTTCTGTGGATATCCAGAAAGGTGATGTTTTAACAGAAGATCCAGAAGACTGCAATCGATCGTGAATTAGCCTGGCACTGAAGATTTTTGCCAGAAGTTAAAATGCAGTTTTACTTTATTTTAGATGAAAACAGTGTAGTCCAGCTATGCGTCCAAATCAAGTTCCAGTCCTTCAGTGTTTTATTTCGAGTCCATTTCGTCAAGATGATATACGTTAGGGTAAGAGTCGTCAAAACAATGTTTTTGGCCTTGAGTCATAAATTGGAAAATGAGGTAAGGATGGCTTCTCTGGAGACATTCCCACAACACTGAGGTCCTTTAAGTTCCTTTTTCATCCAGGTACTTTTATTTGAAATTGTCCGTAAGGTAGCTTGTCTTTCCAATCTGTGAAAGCACATTTGAAGAGCTTTTTACCATTATTATTATATAGTTGTTCAAAACTATCAGATGTGACCTATCAGTCTTTTGCTAAGACAGTAAACGGTCAGGCTAAATACCTGCAATAAGAAAAACATACTATGCTTCTTTTTAATCTAATGGACATAAGAAACAGCTGAAACTGTTCCGTTTTCAAAGTTTAGATCAGTTATAGCATACCTGTATACCAACCATACAGCATATCAGATTACAAACTTTCTTGATGTTTTAACTGTGAAGTAATATAACTTGGTTATTTGTATTCTGGGCTGCTGTCTAGTTTGCTTTTCAGTCTGAAACTATTGTTAGCTTAGGAAGCTAACATAGATAGCTTTTTTTTTTTATAGTTGTCCTGTGTGAGTGTGATGTCAGGTTCATTCTCGTATAACACTATATTTCATGATTATTAAGTACATGGTTGCGTTAGACTGCGTATAAGCAACTCATCTATGTGTAATTTGTATACTTTTATCAGTTTAGCATTTAAAGTAAGTGTCTTAACCTCATAAACTTAACTATGTATTCTAGGCTATGAACTCCCTTTCCTTTAAGTTTGTGAAACAATCTACGTTAGCTCAGAAGGCTAATGTAGGGAACGTTTCACAGCTTTTAGGAAACTGTTTTAACGCAAGTGATTTCAAGAAATAGTTGGTAGTCTGTCATCAACGCGGTAAGTAATTCCATACCTACCATAAATATTGAAGCCAAATTTCCAATATCTAAGTGATCATATCTAACTGTCACTTTAAAGTAATGTTAAGCAATTTGCATGGGCTAAATTGACTGTTTTAGCCCTCTCAATGAATATATTGCATCAGAATATTTAAGCCTTTTCACCTTAACACCTATTAGCACACCCCTTGCGGTACTGAAGTGCAAACTAGCTTTATCCCTTAGTCTGTGAAAGTAATGTGTAAGCCAGGGACCTATATAGAAAGCTTTTGGTAGCATTTAGAGGTCTCCTACTCTTAGAAATACTCATCTTAAGAAGTTAATCAGTGGTGTTGAATGTAGTTGGTGAAAGTGGGACTCATAAGCTTCGACTATGGGTCCAGTAATTCAGCATTGCAATGTTGTTATACACCTAAGGTTCTTTGTGAGGTCAATGTGTTCTTTCATTATGTGTTTGAATGTTATATCAGTTTATGATAACAGTTTTTGGACGTTTCAACAGGGTTGAGGGCTATAACCCAGGCAGTGGTTTGGATCCATATTTTTGCATCCGTCATTCAATTAAAGTGCCATTCCGAACATGAATGCTGAACTTTGCGGTTATATCACCCAGACAATATTAGGCCACCTGTCACTCCTCTCACTTATTCGCATTTAAATCCATTGTGATCACAAAGCGAGTCGCACCTTTGCCTTTAAACGTGCTGCTCAGGTAACTTCTTTTCACATGTTGGACCTGTGAATATGACGGGATGGAAAACTAGACAACCAGCTTAGATTATTTAAATTTAAAGTGGAGATAATGAGGTCCAGTATGGAGTAAGGGAACAGAGATGGAAGAGCCAATCACAAATTCAAATTAGTATCCTTAAAAATAATCATTTGGACACAATCACTGGTCTGCTCACTACACTATAAACCTTACAAGGTTTGATCATAGTATTTGTACTTGTTTCAAGAAACAAAATGCCATTTTTACAAAACTGATTGAAATGGTTTAGATCCATTGTCATTCTTGATACATTTATTCAGTGACTTGATTCCATTGCTTTTTTTCTCTATGAAATACTGGACTTCAATTGTAGAGAATTAGAAACTTCAGGCAGAGTAGATTAACTTTTTTGAAACCGAATTTGTAGAAAGTGTTAAGTGAGTCAAAGCATTGTGATTTCATTTAGTGGAGTCATTGTAACATGATTTGAAGAAAGTAAATATGTGGGTTTCCATATCGTTTGGGAATCATGTTGGTATTTTTGTTGCATGTCATCTCCGTTTACCGCCTGCATTGACAAATGTGGTATGTACTCAATCGCAGCAGTTAGCTAGAGAGAGACGATTTTAAAGACAAGCTAAAACTCATCAAAGGGTACTTAGTTATTTTCTTTAATGTTAATAGTATTTTATCATAACGTGTTTTTATTTTAAAGTGACTCAGAAGGGTTTGAAGTGATGAAGACAGATTATACATTGCATTATTGCTAAATTTTTCTTGCCAGTGGAGGTAGGTAATCATATTGAATTCTTTATTGCATTGATCAGGCTCAGAATCTTTGGATTACTTTTTATATATAGCATGCTATTTTCTTAACTCATTCATAATTACTGGTAACTTACTCAAATTAAACTGAACAAATTCCTAATTACAAGGAAAACACTTATGACAGGTTTCTTTCTTCGGCAGGTTTTCTTTTGGTCTTACATTGATACGTGTAGGCTTAATACTACAAGTGATTAATTATAGAGCCAGATTTAGTGCTTTTTCAATAACTTTGAAATAACATAATGTAGATGGTGAGCTAGAAAGCGTCAATGAATAGGTTGCTAATGGGGGAATATAAGGCAGTTTTTTACATCACAAACAGTAAGAAATTATATGATGGAAATAAAACTGCATCAGAGGGCTTTTGTATGTGCAAAGTATTAAAGGTACTTGTACAAATGTAAAAATTGGGTTCTGGTTTCACAAAGACCGACCGTCAGGCTTAAATCTTAACTGCCATAAAATGATACAAGTTTGTGAAGTTCAGCTGGTTTTTATTAATAATGTTATATGTTATAAAGATTTTAAACACTGGATAAAGTATAGACCATCTTTTACGGCTGTAAACAAATGCAGGCCAAAGTCTAAAGACCAGTCTAAGGTTTTTGTGAATCCAGCTCTACAGTAATCTGCAGTCCTAGCTTTAGAGGTCCAATGTGAGAGATAGTTTGGGATATCCAAGTGCAAATGATTTTAAAGCCTTAGTGACTTATAAATGTATTCTTTTAAAATTTCTAGGCAAGCCCATCACCACTGAACCCAAGAATGTTTGGATATGTGGTCATTCGCTGGTGTATTGGGCAGAGTCAAGGGCCAAGTCACCGGAGGTAGGTATGCAGCTGGGCATGGACCCCAGCAAGGTGGCCATCTGGTGGAAGGGCACCCAGGGGATGACTTGGTCCCAGCTACTTCCCCAGCTGCACCAGTTGAAGGTCACTTGGCCCAACCCCGACATCCTCATCATACACTTGGGTGGTAATGATCTGAGCACTGATAGCCCCACCAACCTGCTGGCCTCTGTGAAAAAGGACTTGACCTCAATGAGGAGCATCTTTCCACAGTGCGTCCTTGTTTGGTCAAACGTCCTCCCTCGGCGGGTGTGGCGCCACTCGGCTGACAGCCACGAAGTAGATCTGGTCCGGACAACAGTGAATCGGAGGATCCAAAACGTCATCTCAGAGCTTGGTGGCACCTCACTGACCCACGACAACATTAGGTGTGGCACAAACACGGGTCTGTATCGGGCAGATGGTGTCCATCTGTCCCCTAAAGGCATTGATGTTTTTAATCTGAACCTGCAAGATCTTCTAGAGAAATGGGAAATGGAGGTGAACTCTTCTTCAGAGAAATGTTAAGAGGTGCATCATTTGTTCAGTGTTATTTTTTTTTAAATTAGTGATAGATATTACCATAAGTCACGTTAACAAAAATCTCTGCAAAAACTTTGAAGGTCTTTATTCTGTTTCAGATATCCAGTCTTGTGTGTAGTTTTAGTTTCTTAGATGGTAACTTCAGACTGTTTAACATGGCAAAAAGTAAATCTGTTTTGAAACAATAAATTCAATATCAAGGGATCTGCTGTTGTACTTCATTTTTTCCCCATTGTCTTTATGAACAGGATGTAAGAACTCGACATATTAGATGTATGTACACAACGCTTAATGGTAATAAACAAATGTAGATTCGTAATGCTATACAACAGAATTTCAGGACATCTGTAACTGTACATGGACAGCTGTATCAACTGCAGATTTGTCAGTCATCAACTTTTTAATATTATAATTTTTTCTTGCATTTGTGTTAATTGGAAAAATAAATTAAAGCTTCATAAACCTTCACCTACTCCCACAAGATGTTGCACCAATATGCTGCTGTTACAGGAAACAGGATTTTAAAATTGCTCAGAAATTACATATCACTCGCATACTGCACGAAGGATTATAATAAAGTACTATATAATGCTTGAGTTAATATTTAAGGGGAAAACAGAACTGTTGTAAATCTAAGTTGCAAGTACCAGGTTGCTGATTGAAGAAAAACATACCCAGCAAGTACAAATAAATAAAACCTGTTTAATGCAAGAGCAAATATTGTAGTTTATTTGATGTCTCAAACATTGGGATAATTGCATCTTCACCCATCACCAGAGGCAGGCACTTTACTCTTCACTGGCTTTTCAAATCTGTGTTGTACCTGTTGGAGCCGACCAGGTGAGTTTTTGTTTTCTCTGCAGGTTCCAGCCCAGGTGAGGCCCAGGATGAGTCCAGGACTCAGCAGATGAACTGAATGCTTCCATCAGAAACCTCTACTCAGTCTGCGCTGCAGAAGAATCTCAGACTTATCCACAAAATGTATAGAAACTTTATATTGTCTTTAACATTTCAGACCACACCACCACAGAAAACAGCACTTTATAAAGGTGCTAATCATTCACATAAAAAGATCCACAGATGTATATTTTCTTCAAAGTGTTGCAGTTTGTTCCTCACTTACTTAACTACATATCAAATCATTTTAGCTATCTGAATAACAACTGTCAGATGTGTCAGTTAAACTACTTTACATATGAATATTCTATATAAGCACAAAACCAATGAAGAAAAAGCAGGTTTTAACACAGGACAAGATATTAAATAAAATGAGCACACAAAGCAGTGATAAACCGTAAATTTGCCGCTCTAGGGCTGTGAAGGTTAGTTGCAGTTTCTGCCACTGATGGTGGTTCTAGCCTTGGGTGTTCTACACCTTATAGGTTGATGACCCACTTGACCAAAACAGTTTAGTGTTTCTGGGTTGTGACACCACAGATTTCCATTCATAATTAGATAAAATGGCCAAGTGAACCTGGATTTTGATATAAAACATCTGACAAAAGTTTAAAAAAAATCAGTTTTCTCCTTCACCACATATCCCGTCGCCATATGAAGGGAAAAACTGAGGAATAAGAAGTGATAAGCTTCTATTGTAGTTCAGGTGAATATTAATGTACTAGAAATTAGTCCATTATGACTCAGGCTAATTTACAGAAAACATCAAACAATCGTGAAAATGTCAGTCACCTAACAGCTCAACAAAGTTACTGTATAACATTCAATTGTTTGTGACATTAAATGAGATATGCACCTCATAATCAAGTATGACAAAAGTGACAAATCTTCACTTTCAAGAAGGTGGAGCTCGGTAATGTTTGTGAGACAATCAAATATTTAAAGGAGGCTTAAGATTGACTTTCTTTCAACTGATTGTGTTCTGCCACTTCGCAGTGATATTCAACAACTATTAGAAAGGCAGAAGTGTTGAGCCTGTCACTAGCATCTAGATAAATGGAGAATTCACTACAAACTAATTTCCAGTGTTGGACTGTGTATGAATATTGTGGTCTCTTTAAATGGAGATGGCATCCAAACACTATTTGATTAATCATAATGACATTAAGTGCCAATAAAGACAGATCTATTTACCTTCCTGCAATTTACACCCCTATGGGCAAGTTTACTGATATTCTGTTCAGAAACTAATTAGTAATTTATTCATCCTGTATTTTTTGTGTACTGATGAGGGTATGTGTTCATTTTGTGTACAAATCAGTGTGTTTAAATATCAAAGGAAAAGTCCACACACACTTCCACATTTTCTATACATTTTAAATGATGAGACTCTTAAGTATAGCTTTCAGCTTTTATTTACTGAAACAAAACATGTACCTGTAAGTGCAGTGTAATTCAAATTTTCCCACATCAAAATTGCCCACTTAAAGGAAAAAAATGATTCTGCATACTTATTGACTAAAGTGTATATATTTTGATGTCCTCTATGAGGAAGTTGTATTAGTTATTTGTAATAATTGTAATTAATGACTGCAACATCAGATGTAGTTTAAAAAAAGCAAGCAGCCTTCAGTTCAAGAGCATTTTTTAAATACTGTACTTATGTACGGTTGTGAGGGTATTTTCCATTTCCCAAGTATATTTGTAATTTTTGTGCCACTTCTATTCCACATTTCCTCAATTATCTGATGTGTTAGTTACTTCTTGTAACTTAAATCTTAAACAAAAATGATGATCTTTAAAATGTACAATTTTAAAAATAAAAGGTTGCAATTGTAAAGTAACACATCAATCCATTCTGCTAACTTTCTGAAAACTTCCATCTCTGGAAAAATGGAGGGATTTTAAGTACTAGATTATTGGTAATTGACAGGTGGCTAAAAGGTTCAATCAACGTACTCTTGGCAATGCTTTGATGCATTGTGAAAATACATGGGGATGTCAAAACCTTTGTACTGTCTGATGTATTGATATTTGTTTGTTTTTTAATTAAAGAAAATCACTTAAGCAATAAAAAAAAAGCATGAATGGTTCTTGAATGAATTTTTCTGTTTTCATTTATTTCAAACATATTTTGTGCCAATTAATAAAATACATTAGAGTTCAATCAAATGTTTGTATTCTGAATGAGCCTCAGCATCAACTTTGAAATTGTTTAATCTTTAGATGTTACACTTCACTTATGTTTCATCAAATATATTTGATAATTTATTTCACCACATTTACTCCAGGTAGATTTTCTTGGGCTTTAACTCATTAGGTGCCTTCCCTGGTGTCCTAGATCTATTTAACATACAGCATGTGAGGGAGAAATGTACCTGATTATATCAGCACAGCTGTGAATAGATCATAGGAGGCCAAAGTAAAGTACAGCGTGAGGATATTCAAACATTGACATGAAATTCATTCAAGGGTATCATTGTTTTTATACAACTGTATAGTATCATGAGATGGGGTTAAAAGGGCACAAGAGTAGCCTAGTTACTAAAATAATTTGATATTTGGGGTTGGGCTCAAAAGTCGTCATACTGTATTACTACTGTAGGGGGCAGCATCTGTGTATTTCGTTCAGTAGAAGAAGAAGTTATCATTGTGTGCATGGAGAGACAGACTCCAGAGCCGAGTTTTTAGAAAATACCTTCATAATTTGACCGAGCATTAAGGAGAAGCGTCCCTAAATTTGCATTAAATAAAGACTGCAAATGTCAGCTGTTTAACCGCGGAGAGCAAAAGCGTTTTTGCGGGAAATGTACCGCGGTCGACCGCCACCGAGAGGGGGCTACAGGCCGCCGCCGTCCAGGCCTTACCAGGCACCAGGTTACAGAGACGACAGGGGCCGGCCCAGGGCTCCGTACCATCCTGGATACCCAGACCATGGTCACCAAGAATCCTACCGTCGCTCTCCGCCCCGCAGGAGGTACCCTTCCCCCCCATCAGGAAGTCACCCAAGCGGAGAGTACTGGGCCGGTGGTCCACCGAGAGACGTGAGTCCATCAGCCTTAAAATGTGGATAAGGTTAAAGTGAAAGAAAATATTTCCCCCAAAACTCTGATTATTCAGCGTGACTTTCTCTTGATGACGTGAACACTGTCCGACAGATTTAGTAACATCCATTAGTTAAACCAAACTACTTTCAAAATAGTGCTGATTTTCTGCAGCCTTCCTGGTCCATTGTGTGTAACACTTCAGTTGTTATGAGGCCTACATTTTAGCTTCAATTCTTACATTTTCCTGACCAGCACATACTATAAACCACCAATGACTTAAATCCATAAATGTCCAAGTTTAACTTCTTGGTCTTTTCTCAAAAACACAACGTGCAGCTGAAAGTAAACTTACCCTTTTCGTTTGTGTTCACTTGAATGTTGATGTACAAATATCTGATATAACATCTTTATGTTTGCAGTACAAGTCAACTAAATTAATGGCAGATTCAATTCTTTAAATGATGGAGTAGTTATCTAGCTGACTTTAAAAAAACAGGAACATGATTACCTCAACACTGGTGCGTTATTTTTGTAAACGGAGACTTTTTATTGAAGAACCTGAATGTGTTTCCTGTATAACATGTCTATATGTGGCCCAGAACACCACCTCCAAAATGTGTTGAGAATTGTGCAACTTACGACGTGATTTAAGGTTGAAAGTGATACCAGTTAACAAGATGAAAAGTACATTTAGTCAACTCACTGTGTGATCATCACAAAGCTCCCAGAATCCAGATAAAGGACAGCAGAATGAATTGTCCATATTTGTATTCAGAGTTTCAGTCCATGAATCAATTACTCAATTGACAGAAGGTCATCTGAATTGTTTTTTTTAGGGAAAAGTGGTAGAATTGCAAATACTTTGTGGTTATAGCTTCTCAGTTCTTGTCATATTTGATTGTTAACTAAACCCATTCAAATGTAAAAGCAACTGGCGTTTTATGTATGTTCTTGTGGTATTTAAAGTTGATTATAAAGGACACAGGTGGAGGGACAGAAAGTCCCACCTGGTGGGTATCTAGGGCACTAAGATGTCTGTACAGGACAGCAGCCACAGGGATGATAATACTGTTTAATGAAGCAGCAAGACTACCTGACATAAAAGTGTGATCAATAAGTGTGAAAGACTTCTACAGCAGGTATCTTTGTGTGCATGTGTTGCAGAGGTCTCCATCACCACGTGGATCTGTTCCCCTTGATCACAACTTGCTCATCACTGTTGGCAATGAGCTAACAGGACCTTCTGGCTCTGCCCCCCCACGCCACCATGAAAGGTACTGGTTATTTAGTGTAAATGTAAAAACAGTATTTTTTTGCAACTGGTGCTGGGGAAAAAAGCTTTGTCACGTGAATGCGCTGAGGTATTTAAGAACATTTAAGGATATAATTAGTTATACAGTATATGTTCAGTAAGAGTCCTGTTTTTGTGCAGAGACTACCCCCCTCGTCCCGCGTATGAGCGAAGCAGAAGCCGAGGCCGTAGCCGACCTGGCAGCCGAGAGCGGAGTCCGGACCGAAGCCGGGCCAAGAGTCGAGGACGTAGCAAGAGTCGGGCGAGGAGCAAGAGCCGTCCTCGCAGCCACAGTCGGAGTCTGGATAGGAGCAGGGCCAAGAGTCGAGGTCGGAGCAAAAGCCGCAGTCCAGATCGGAGCCGGGCCAAGAGCCGGGGCAGGAGCAAAAGTCGCCCCCGCAGCCGGTCTCGAACTAGGTCCAGGTCTAGGTCACGAGGTCGGAGCCCGGGGCGGGGCTACAGCAAGGCAGCGAGCCGGGGTCGCAGTAAGAGCAGGCAAAGGAGCCGCAGTGTGAGCAGCAGCTCGAGCTCCATCAGCAACGATGACAGCGACAAGAAATCCAGAATAGAATTCAAAGAGCTAGAGACAGCTCGGCGCAGGAAGGAGCTGGAGGAGATGCTGGGTCAACCCACCAAATCTATCCTGAAGAAACGCAACGACTCAGAGGACTCGCCTTCACTGCGGGTAAATCCTCTAACAAAACACCTGCATTACCATCACATTTAAATAACATTTCTGACAGAGATGCAGATGTGTGCCAGTTAGTAATTCTGATCAGGAATATCTAGCTTTGTTTCATTTTGATGAACAAAACCTGAATCTGTTTTAAATGTAAAAAAGCTGGATAATGGAATAAAGGCTAACTTTAGTGGAATGTTTTATATATATATATATATATATATATATATATATATATAAGTTGTTGTAGGACAGGTGACATTTTTGCATCTTCAATTTGTAATAAAAACACAAATAAATCTTGTGTGTGTCATTAGGTGTAAAATATCTCCCTAATATCAGCCAAAAATAACAATCTGTTGTTGAAAATTAGGATTAAACAATAATTTAATTTGCTCTGTTCTAGATAAAGTGATTAGTTTAATTGATATAAAATGCAGCAGATTCTCAATAATAGTCACTAATTTAAGGTTATCCCACTCGAGTCATGATGTCATCACAGCTGTACGAGGTGTGCATGGAGGCATCACTCTGCTCTGTCTTTGTGTTCCAGAGCTTGGACTCTCCCCGAGGTGAGAGCTCGAGCTTGTCTCGGGTGGCTGAGCAGCTGCTGCAGGCTGTTAAAGGCATGGAGCCTCACATGGTCGCCACCATGTTGTCAGAGCTGCGCTCAGACCCACACATGGCTCACCGGGCTGGCCTGGATGCTGAGATCAAGGAAATCCTGAACCTGCTTGGGGGGCAGGCAGAAGGGGGCAACGCTCCGGAGAAGAATGAAGATGACATCGAAGACGAGGAGAAGTTCCTGTATGGAGACGCTGAGGAGCAAAAACCACCTCCCTCATCTGAGCCACTCAGGCACCACGGGCTGGATCTGTACGGAGACGTGACAGAAGATGCACTGTATGGAGACTACCCTCCACAGATGGCTGTCAGCAGTCAGATGTATGGCCTCCCACAAGGGGCCTCCCCTCACCTTTCAGTCCCCCCCACAATGGGGGAGGTGGACATGAGGTACGCAAGCCGGCCCACCATCAGCCCAGAACAGAACATCAAGATCCAGGTATCGAATCCTGCCTACCCGCCGGGGACAGAGCCTCTTGAGGAGGGTGAGCGCCAGGCGGTTGAGGAGTATGAGAAGATCCAGGACCTGCTGAAGACCATCGGCCTGGACCTTGGTGTGACTGAGATTAGCAAGATGGCTGCGAGGACCAAAGAGCGTCTCCATGGTAACAAGCCCCCTCCAAAGACACCAACACGCAGACGGTACTCTTCTGACAGCTCTGATGACAGTCGGCAAAGCCGGGGCCGCAGGAGGAGGAGCCATAGCGGCAGCTCCAGCAGCAGTAGTAGCAGCAGGAGTCACAGCCGTGGCAGGGGAGCAAGCTGGAGCAGCAATAACAGCAACAGGAAGAGCTCTGCTCCACCCAAATCACACAAAGACAGAGACATGAAGGAGATGAAGGCTGGGCGGAGCGAGGCAGCTCTGCCCCAGCCTCCACTTAAGCTGCCACCACAACAGCTAACACAAACGACTGATCCCAACGCAGTTCCCTCTCACCCTGGGGTGCCCATACCCACATACCCCCCCTCACAGGTCCACAGCATGATACCCCCAAACTACCCCCCCGCCAGGGTATGGCCAGTATGGAAACTATCATCCCTACATGCACCAGCAGTGGCCACCCATGTACCCACCCCCTATGACAATGCCTCCCCAGACTGGCTCCGAGGAGTTCCCCCCCACGCTGCCGTACAATCAGCAATACAACAAGCCAACCCCCAGAGCCAGGGGCCAAAGGTCAGTTTATTCAAGGTGATCCTTTATTAAAGGAATATTCCACCTTTTAGAACCTGTTAGTGATGTAGAAACAGCAGCAGGAAACCACAAGTTCAGCTGGGGGTCCATTTGAGCAGTCACATTTACCAATGTGTGAAAGATATTTACAATGACATATGTGTTTATTACCAGTTAGTTGTATCTCAAATCTATTAGTTTAGGGTTGTTAGTGATTGACAAATCCAGACCCAGGTAAACCTCAGAGCATAAGACGTAATAGGTGACAAACAGCTTGTGTTTAGGTTTGAAACTGTTAATGAAACAAGAAAGGAATAGCGTTTAGTGATTCAATAATGAAAACTATAAATCACTCTTGAAACATATCATGTAAGTTAAAATGTCAGGATCAACTCAAAAGTAAGCAGTTGTTACTAGATGTTTGTTTTCATGTAGTTGTTGCAAAACGACGTGTAACTGGTGTTGGTTGTTGTGTTGGCAGGACTGGGAAAGAGCTCTGTTCAGGACGTGGCGAAGGGAAGCTGTAAAGTAAGCAGCCATGACAGGACAGTTTCAGAGGAGCAGAACAACGAGAGCCAGAAACAGAAGGTTTGATCCTCATTGATAACATTGAGCCATGGATGAAAGTGACAACCTGGTTCAGCTTCAGGCAGATAGGCGTATTTACCATCAGCTGAGAGGATTTTTTTTGTCTGTATTCAGGTTCTGGAGGAGAGAGAGAAGCTGAAACAGGAGAGGGAGACCAGGATGAAGAAAAAAGAATATCTGATGAAGGAGCTGGAGAGACTCAGAAAGCAACAAGGTGAGCTCACACAGAGGCGTAAACATAGACATGTTGTTCACCTGCCCAATGATCTCCAGATGTTAGTCATTCACATGTCAGTGCTGTTATATGCTGTTAAAAGCACTAAAACAGAAGTATTACAGGCAAAACATTAGACTTGACATGAAGACTGTTAAGGTGATCAAAAGAGCGTTTAGTTAAGATGACAAATTACTGGGTACCCCGTTATCGATGTAGACATGTTTTCATATTCCCAGGTGAGCTCCTCAGAAAGAAACGCCGGGAGAAGGACGGGCACAAAGACCCCCTGCTGCAGGAGATCAGCCGCCTGCAAGAGGAGGTCATGACTCAGATCTCAAACCTGCGCAAAGAGCATGAGACTGCCGAGAAGAAACGCAGCGAAATCGACAAGGTAGCACTAATCTTAGGCCTGAACCCGTCTGACCGACCACGCAAGACGGTCAAGCAACCCGAGGAACCTGAGGAACCGGAGGTCCAGCCACCAAAGCTGCCCCCACCAGAGAAGAAGAAACGGTTGGCTGATAAGAGTCCAGAGAGAAGACAGACAGCCAACAGTTCCACCATAAAGGTACAAAGATCTGCAGAGGAGGTAAAACAGAAATTAGTTCAGAAAGAATTTCTGTTCACAATCATAGCTAGGGCTCACTACTCTGTGTTTACTTGTACGTAAATATCTCCTCAATTATCAGCATGTTGATTTATGTACGCGTTCAACATAAAGGATTATGTTTAGTTAGCTTATTTCACAGTTATCAGTCAAAGGGATGGATAGGATTTATGATGCAAACAGAAAAAATGTAAAGCTAAGTCTTAAAGAATTGGTATTAATTTACCTGTTGAGAACCGTGTGTCTGCTTTATGTTGATGCTACTTTTATACATCATTTTACTTTGCGTTCAAGTTTGTTGCTTATTTGACGTCATTCTGCCTCACTGCTAAGCCGCAGTTGAAACATGTTGCAGCAACAATGCTCAAAACAACACCGACAGTGAAGCTTTAGCACTTCCTCTTTTATCGTTCAATGTTTCCCTTTGTACAAAGGGACAGAAACTAACACTTTATAGTTTTACAGTTTGTGGCGACTTTTTGTGTGAACCTCCAAGTTGGCAGCTTTCAAGTAAAGCAAGCTAATGGGGTAATAACGTTTGGTGAATTAATCAGCCTTCTCACATTAAAGGCCTCTTAGGAAATGGAGGGAATGTGTTATTTAAAAGACTAAAAGGCTTTTAATTTGAAACAGCTGTGTCGGCAGTGTTTTACTCTGCTGAGCTTTTCAAAAAACTCCCCCTCGGTTTTCTTTTACTACACCCACCATACTATTTTAAACAAATTAAGTTTTTTTCATCCTACAGAGGAATCTGCAGTCAGTATTATTTTTAGACCTGACAAGACTTAATAATCTTAAACCTTGAACATAAATATACTCAGTAATACAATGTGGCGGAAAGTCTTTACAACTAAAGTAAAAAAAAAAACCAGAAAGGTAAAGGGAGAACAGGATACGGTATTCAACATTTTGACCAATTTTATTATGTTTTTTATTTGTTGTGACTTCAGAACTGAGCTTAAACTTTAGAATGTGAATCAAATGTTACACTCGGTATAAAAGCGATGGTCGGAATTTTGCAAAATACAACTTGCGTCTTCGAGGCTGAAATTCAACGAAGGTAAGAAACTTTTATCCTTTCAAATATTGTGGAGCTGAGATGTTTGTTTTTTTCCTGTGTGAATCCTGACTGTGTTGGCTTGTTTCAGCCATATTGACATTCCACCATCTTTGTTTCTTGGCAGACCTCAGTGGAACCACCGTTGGCGCCAAGAAGACCATCCTTGGACAAGACACCTGTCAGCGCACCGCCTCCGCCTCCAACCCCGCCGCCAGATCCATTTGATTACTATGATGCTGGAAACCACTGGTGCAAAAACTGTAACGTCACCTCTGGTTCCATGTTTGATTTTTTCACGCACTTGCACAACAAAACGCATCGCAAGGTTTGTCATAGTTTTCATTTTTCATACATTTTCACAAAATGTCTTTGTCCTCATGTCAGATGTACAATATCGTATCTTCATTTTGATTGTTCTTTTTCTTTTCTTTTTTGCTCTGAAATGAGGTTGGTTTGATATTCTCGCACGAACAGTGCTTATATGTAGGTTCTTTTAACATTTAAATATCATGTTCTTTTTACAGACTCTGGATCCATATGACCGGCCGTGGGCTCCCACACCTACTAAAATCGCAAAGAACACTTCATCAGTAGAGAAGCTTACTAAACCAGCCAAAGGTATTTTGTGTTTTACTGTCATCATTTTCCTTCAAAGTCATCATCACTTTTTTTTTCCCCCCAATGACCCGCTGAATTTTGTAAGCCGTCTTCTGATTCCAGGTGGAGCTCAATATGGATCTCTGCTGCACTTTTTCTATCTCCTTAATGAAAACATTTTAACGAAGTGACAGACTCATCGATACCACAGAGGAGACTCCCGTCCACACATCTCTGATGTCAATTCATTTGTTTTTCATGTCTCAACTTAACACATTGGAAAAGTGTTGATGTGTCAGGCTACTCATGACCTCCACTTCCTGTAGGAACCCTGGTATTACTGAGCAGTATGCACTTTTCAGTATACATCATCTGTTTTCAAATATTTTTATAATGAGATGTTCCTTCTCTAACCACTTCCTGTTCTGATAGGTACTTGCAGTCGAGACATCCACCAGGTAAACATGATTGACAGTTAATTTATCACCACTAGAGGGTTGAAATTGTGTCGCTTGTGTTTTGCTGCAGGCTCGGAGTTCTTGCTACCTGTCAGAGGATTCTTCTGCCTCTTGTGCAAAGAGTTTTATGGAGACGCCATCTGTGCAGAAGAGCATGTCACCACACATACCCACAATGAAAACTACAAGGTATAACAGTTAAAGCAGAAAATCGCCAGATTTGAATAAACATGCATAGTAGAAAAATCACACCAGATAACTCCAGGATGCTATTTGCGAACAGATTAAATTGTGGATTGGAAAGGATTTCCTCTCTAACGTTTTTGGCTTCTTAGTTGTACATTTTATGTCTGAAAAGACAAATGACATTTAAAAAGAGTCCAGGTTATCCAAAGGCGACACTGGAAGAAGACGTTGTCCCTTTAGGTACAAACCATTGGTTTCAGACAACTAAATGACTGCAGAGTTAGTGGAGTGAATTTTTCAGGCAACTCCTTTAACTAGTGTCATATTTACTTTGTCAAGCTTCCTGTCAGACAAATAAGCTTAATAAAAAGTCTTTGGGTAAAAAAATGCATTAAAAAAATACATCCCTTGGTCACTACAAATTAGGCGGTTTAACAAATGTGATCTGTAATAGTTGGGTTTTTTTTAAGGTAGATATCATGAAAGCATTATTTACCTTTTTCAGCAACTCACCACAGAAAGTGATTTTGAATATTTAGAAACCTCATGAAAAAATATTAAAGGTTATTACTGTCCAAAGCACCCATTCTAGTAGTTAAAACATTTGGGCAAAAAAGTTTTGAAAGTTGTTAAACTGTAGGAACAATTTGCTGGCCCTCCAAAAAATACATCATACATATTTAGATGTATATCACTAGCAATGCAAAAAAGGAAGAACTGTTATTTTCTTACAATAACATTGTGTGGAAGTGTAAATGGAAAGTGAAACAAAAAATTGTGCAGCCACTTGACATACCAAAGTAGTATCCAAAGATTTTCATTTGAATATTGCGCTTAGGTACTTGTGAGAATATTGTGAGCTTATAAATGAAGTGCATAACTCATTGAGTTAGTATGTACATTATTTCAGTTGTTCTTCCTTAATAGATGTTGTGGTTACAAGAATGAAAGTGTTTTTGATGCATTTTCATCTTTGTCTTTATTTTCTGTTTTGCCTCCTCCATCAGAAACAAATGTATGAGAATCCATTGTATGAACAGAGGAGGAACCTTGATCGACAGGCAGGGCTGACCTTAGAGACAAGTGGAAAGAAACGCAAACATGAGGACAGTGAGAAGGGCAACAATGACAAAGAGGAAAAGTCCAAACACAAAAAGGAGAAAAAGGAAAAGGACAGAAAGAAGGAAACAGATGACACTCTTCAGAAGGAGGAGAAACTTCAAGTAAAAAAGGAAGAACAGGAGGGAAAAACAAAGCCAGGCAAGAAAGAGCAGGATTTTAAAGATCCAAAAAGCTCAGATGGGGAGAGGCCTATCTACAGCAAAAAAGATGCAAGTGAAAAGTATAAATTCATCAAAAAGGATGATAAATACCGCTACAACAGAGAAGAAGAGGAGGCTGGTAAATACAGCAAAAGAGAAGAAGACCGATACAAATATGGTAGAGAAGAAGAATTCCGTTATCGATATCGCAAGGATGAGGATGACAAATATGACCATCCAAAATATGGGCCGAGAGACGACGAGAGTCGGTATAAATATGGTAAATCTTCAGATTTCAGATCCAAGAATGACAGAGAGGAAGGTAAACCTAAAGCGGAAAGGGAAGCTTTTAGAAAACTTGAACCAGAGAAACCAGCAGCAAAACCAGAGGTTAGCAAGGCTGAACCTCCAACAAAGCCCTATGACCTGCCCAAAGTCTTCTGTGGACCCAGCCCTGCCATGAGGGCAAAGCTTCGCAAGCAGAGTCTGGAAGCAGGCAAACCAGCTACCCCCGCTCCAACCACTTCATTCGGAAGGTTCACATGGAAAAAGAAGGAGAATGTTCTGGCAAAGGAGGCACAGAAAGCAGCTGCAGAGTTCGTCAAGGATGACGAAGATGCTTCAATGCAGGAACCTGCATCGGTGGAAGATTCTTTTGCTAAATCTATGGCTGTTGCTAAGGAGATTGCCCAGAAGCTTAGTGGTCATCAGACAATGCCTTCTCCCTGGGTGTCAAACACTGGCAACAGAGGAAGAATAAGGCCAAACCTGCCTGCACCAGCAGCAATAATGCGGAAAGCAGCAATGATGGGTAAACCTGCCCCTCTTAATACCTTCCTCTCCATCAGACCCCAAAACACAACTTTACAAGGGCCTTCTCCTAAAGACTTACCAACATTAAATGAACTTGCAAATACTGTTAGTTTACCATACATACCAACGCATGCAACATCAAGGGCTGAACCTCAGGTAGTTGGTGTAAAAGCTCTTTCCCAAGCATCAGGACCTGAGCCTTTTAAGCCTAAAACTGATCCACCAGTCTTTGGACCTGTCCCATTTCAAGCCAATCCTGCACCACCTGTTTCTAAATCTGCAATACCTGAGGTCAAACCCCCACAACCCATTTCAAAACCTCCACCATTCGAGGTGCAGCCTGCACCCCCAGTTTCTAAACCTGCTCAAATTGACACAAAGCTTGTGCCATCAGATTATAAACCTTTGCCATTTCAGGCTACCACTGCATCATCATCTGTAACCACCTCTGCCCCTTCTGCGTTTAAACCTTCACAGCCAACAATGATAAAAATCGTGTCTGATGTGGCAGCTCCTGGTGTACCAGAGAGTGAGCAAACACGTACTGTGTTTGTTAAGCCTCCACCTTTTATGAAAATTAGTGAAGGAGCTCAAAAGTCTGAGAAACTTAAGAGTACCCTGGCTGCTGCCAAGGCCAAGGACTTATTTGACATATTCTATAGTAGTGTTGGTAAATCAAACTCCTCAACTGTCACCAAAACAGCAACAGACACAAAAGCTGATGGGAGTAGTACCAATAAAAGTGAGCTTTCTACCCTCCAAGTACTAAAAACTCAACCACAGCATCAGTTAGTTAGTCTGTCCCAACCCCCAGCTGTTGTCTGTACTGCTCCACAACCTGACTCAAACAAATCCAGTCCCCAAACCCAGCCAGAAATGTACAAGAATCCACCAGGCCCCCTAATCCAGACAGAAACAAAAAAGAATCCACCAGGTCCCCAAATCCAGCCAGAAACAGACAAGAATCCACCAGGCCCCCTAATCCAGACAGAAACAAAAAATAATCCACCAGGTCCCCAAATCCAGCCAGAAACAGACAAGAATCCACCAGCTCCCCTAATCCAGCCAGAAACAGACAAGAATCCACCAGGTCCCAAATTCCAGACAGAAACAAACAAGAATCCACCAGGTCCTAAAATCCAGCAAATAACTGAGAAAACCCAACCAAGTCCTCCAATCCAGCCAGAAACAGACAAGAATCCACCAGGTCTCCGAACCCAGCCAGAATCAGACATCCAAATTGCATCTGTTTGGTCGTTGCAGCCTACCCTAGCTCCAAAACCTGATGGTGGTCCTTGTGAAACAACTTCACAATCCAACCAACCTATACTGAATCGAACATCCTTGTCTGAGCCTCAGAATGCACCCCAAAACCAGTCCTTGATTTCTAGACCTGCTTCCCAAATCACTGCACGAACAGATGCTGAGCTAGAACAAGCATCTCCAATCCAAACCGACCCACAATCTGATCCCCTAACAAACCAGGACACCCAGCCCAAGTCTTATCCAGAGACTCATCTTGATACAGTTCCAGTTCCTGAACCCAAAGCAGGCCGAAAAACTAGAGGCAAAATAACTCCTACAAAGAAAACTGCTGCAGCCCGCCCTGTTCGACAAACCAGATCCCAAACCAGATACCAGACCCGACATCAGCAGCAGAGCCAGTCTGAGCCTGAGCATGAGCTTGCCTCAGGAGATTCTGACTCGGCTGCTTCAGACTCAAAGGGGCTTGACACATCAGATCCTGGCCCTGGTTTGCAACCTGGGGAAGCAGCAGCTGGTGAAGGTGAACCCACGATGGTGGAGATGACCCCTGAAACCTTGGGCCTCCCCTCTGACATGACCTCTCTGGACTTTGAATATGACTTTAATTTTGAATAGGAACTCACCAAACATCCATTTGTCCAAGATGTACAGAAGATCAGTAATTTACTGGACATAAAGGCAGCTGGAAGTGGTGAGAATGGCACTCACACTGACAGACTTGTGACTTTTAAAACACCAACCTTCATCTGGCAAGTTTGCCATATACCTTTTTGTTGTCAGTGGTCTTTGGAGTCTAATATTTTGATGGATATCAGTTCAGTTTTACAGCACATTGTTTTAGAAACACAAACCAAAAATTCAAAGAATTGGAGTATTCAATTCATGCCTCTGCCTTCACAGTCTGACATAAGAAATGATGCGTCTGTTGTAGACATCCCTTATGAAACTTTACTGGAAACAGACAATTTAACCCAATGCAATTGATTGAAAAAAAAATGCACTCGTTAACAATGAACATAGAGGTAATACTTCTTAGGTTGTGTTGCTAGTCAGTGTTCCTGTCTTTCCTGTCACAATGAACGCAAAGAAAAATGTAATTGAGTTCAATTGTCTACTTTTTGGACAACAGTGGAGCTTTTTGAAAGTTACAAGCTCGGTTATGTGCCCAAATGGTCTGGATCTAATTGTCACGGTTCAGTGGCTTCCAATCTGTGTTGAAAGGAGAAGTGTAAAGTGCAAGACCTATGACTTATGGCACCATTCTTTCAATACAATGACGCAAGTTAAAAAGTTGGGCTCATAGACTATATTTAAGAAGTGGAAATAGAAAGAATTGTACTTTTCTTGCAACTGAAAGAGCTGAATTGGCTTCTCGTTTGAAACCAAGAGATGCACCTCTTTTATATGCCATATGATTAGGACCATCACCTTAGTTTCAGTGAATTGTTATTTTCAGAAAGAAAATTTGAAAATCTCATCTTCAACTCTCACTCAAGGCAGCATTACTCTGCTGTCCACCTACGTTTTGGTCATGTAGCATATATCAGACTCAACCGACAGCTTTTTGTCAGTGAAATAAATTGATCAGGCTTTGACCACATGGATATTCACCTTTCCGTCTGGACTAAGTGGAAGAAAGATGGACTTCCTCAGAAACAGTTTTGTCTTTTGTCACGTTCGTAGACTAAATCGCCTCTTCCTCCTCATGCAGGTAAAGTTATGTAATCATTTTTTTTCTTTTTTTCTATTCCAATTCAGACTCATATACGTTTATGTTCTTCCTCTTTGAATTATTACAATGTGTTTCTGATGCAGAGTTCAGGTGGTGAAAGAAAAGTGGCAGCATGGACCAAATACAGCACAGTTAGTTTGAAAACTGCATCTTTACGTGTTCGAAGATCCAGAAGGGGATTCTTTTGAAACTACATCAGGCTTCTCCCGATGTGTTTGAAGCACTGAACTGTATCTAGTATCTCTGTGTGGGTCAAAATAGAAACAAACTGCTAGTCAGTAAAATTTTGTTGCTTCAAGTAGAGTTTTAATAAAGTTGATGAAAACAATTGGCAGTGTTGTGTTGCTTTTCTTACATCCAACATTGAAAATGGACTCATAATCCAACTATATATTCAGTTACTACCGACCAAGTCATCTGATTAAACAAAAGGATATTAATGAGTGCTGAAATGGTGCAATTAAGTACATCTCTCTGCCTTGGCCAGTTTTTTTTTTGTGAATGCAGTTCATTAACATTACAGCAAAATGGTTTTGATGAGTCCCATTCAAGTGGCAGAAATAGCTATGAAGATGCAGTCTAATGAATTTTATGTCAACTAAAATGACTCCTGTTAATCAGTTTTAGTTTCATATGCAGCTTGTTTAATAGTTGTATTTAAGCAATGTCACACTTGAACTCGCAAATGCTGTACTGAATATATGCACACTTTGATCATCTGTTTACCCATTATAGCCTGTTGGATTGAAAGCCAATTTTTCTTATCTTGCCTTACGAAGGGAGGTTAGCAATAGAGGATTTCCAGCCAAGACTTAATTTTCCGTGCGCTGCATTGTTTACAGTCCGACTGGCAGCTTAAAAAGTGAGAATGTGGTCGGTTTAGGCAGAGAAACTAAATCTAAGGCAGGATTGTTAGCTGCACTTGCATGTTGACATCTCTATCGACATTAATTAAAGTAAATCGTCCTAAAAAATGACTGCTGATGGGTTCTAGGTTTTCAAAGTACCTGATAAATATACTTATTCATTTCAGTGAAATGTTATAGTCTGAACCCATCTCTATGTTCCCACAACTCAAGTTCTCTTTCATGTGAGCTGAAAGTGTCAGTTAATCAATTGGTTATTTTTACGCAATTTTTAGTTGTTTGAACTGTAAAGTCAAACATTTTTATAGTTTGACCATTAAGCTGTCGTCTTGGAGGAATTACCAAAAATAATCATATATGAGGCAGATCTGCTTTTGTCTTAAATAAAACTAATATAATGAAGTGATGAATTGCTGCAGCTTGATGTACCAAGTAAAGCTCCAACTGGCTGTTTATTTGTCTCATAAATGTCTGACTATGGATTTTTCGGGTTTTAACAATGAATGGAAATAATCTGTGTGAGGAGTGCAGCAGTTTTTTGAATGTTTCTTTCTCCAGCCTGAACCTGAGCAGATTCACTGACACTGAAGACAAATCTTCTGCAGAAAGGTAAGACAGCCAGCTTCATACAATAATGAAAATGAGAGTTTTAATGTTTTGTCAAAAACAGTAGACTAACATTAACATTTGTTTCATATCTATTGTTCTTTTTGTTGTTGTGATGTTTCCTATATTCTTATACGTTTACAGTTAACAGATAGCATGCTATGCATACACTGTGAAAGGCGTTTAATAATGAATTTGTCTAATGAAGTGCGTTTGCATCAAGAAACGTTCTGTTTTTTGTATGAACAAATTAAATTAAATAAAAGCTGACTCAACCTGATGACAGAGTGTCTGTGTGTTTGTAATGTAGCCTAAATAAAAAGTAATTACGATGTGTATAAGAGTTAGGATACCGGTGCTTCATGTCAACCTGCTCTGAGGGATTTCACCAGAAGAGGTGTGTCAGGTCTGGGATTTTAAGTGGCAAGTGTTCCGATTGACGTAGTTAGTGAACTCTAAAGTTCAACATATTGACCTGAAGGTGGCGCCAAAGTTTTCTGTGAGCAGGGAGGCCGACAACTATACTGTGTCGAATTCATAGACTGTACATTAGAAGAGATCCGGGTCACTGTTTATACATCCTGATTTTAAATATAAGTACTAAAAGAAGAAAACGTGCTGTTACATATTCTATCATTAGATTGATTTATTTTAAATCATGAAGTAATGTAAAGGTTAGCCTTCTTATAGAGCTATATTTATTATTGTTGGTAATATGTATTGTTTGGTTTATAAGAAAGGCTATCACAATGAAACCTTCATAATGTTCATTTTGACGAATTATATTAAACCCTGTTAATTATTATTAATGGGCAACATTCAAGACTTAAAGGAAAGTAGTAAAAAGCTCAAGAAAGATCTTTATTTATTCCGAAGGGAATTCTTGTGCCAGATTGCTCCGACTGAAGCAACACACAGGAGCATCAAATAGGCCTATGTAATCAGAGAATTACTAAAAGTGTTTTACAAATTCAAACAAACTTTTCCTTAAAAGGATCATAAATTAGGCCTATAATACGTTCAGTATCTGAGTAAGTTAAGTACAACAAAAATGGTTTTATTGACGGAAATAGCTGACAGTTCAGAAACAGACCTAGGCTCATTTTATTCAAGACTGGGTCTGAACTGTTGATGTTTTTGTCAATAACATTTCCCATTTGAGATATTTTAATGAAATCTACAGACTCAAATAAAGTTTGAGAGCTTCCAATTTCTACTTAAATTCTTATCTTGAGTCAGTATGGCCTATGAAGGTCCATTATTTATGCAAAGGACATTTAGTAGGCCACTGTTGGAAGTTGTTTCAAAGAAGAAAAGTAATGAATTAAATGAATAATATCTTTGTTGTTTTATAAATAGTTTTTCAGGAATTCAAACTGCATCTCACGGTCCTCATTACATCAGTGAATGGAGTTGTTTATCAAACTGTATTGTACATATTGTATTGTTGCTATAAATCAGCTCCAGCTGTTATGCCTGCTGATTAAAAATTAATATAATAAATTATTATAATTGTGTGTGGTAAGACGGTGTTGGAATCATCAGGTGTTGAAGGTATTTTGTTGCTGGGGTAGACTCAGGTCCTGTCTCACCTCCCTTCAGCCTCACCCTCTTCACTCAACTCTCAGGTAACCAATCAGAAAAATCATTCAACGCGTCGCTAGGCAGGATTGTGCGTCCGCAACCAATCGGATTGTCGGTGTCGATAACGGGCGCAGGGAGCCGAGACAGACCGAGTGACAGCGTCTGATTCCCGGGGACGACCATCAAGGAACGTCCGTGGAAAAGGACCCTGCAACACAGCCAAGATGCCTAACAAAACCAAGAAGGAGAAGGTTAGTGGGTGTCTTCGTGGCTGCAATATGAATGAATCGTTTTAGAGTTTTGATGTAACAGGGTGGTCTTGAGGAAAACGCTTTTTTTTTGCAATGAAGACTTCAGACGTTTTATTTTATCGAGCAGCAGCTACCTATCTAATCAAGCTAACCTGCTAAGGCCCCGCTAGCAGAGGGTGGGGAAGCTGCAGGGCTTCTGGCGGCTTCATTAATTTGTGTCTTTGCCTTGGTATTGGTTGAAAGTACATCTTAGCAGTTCTGTCAAGTTGCTTAAATGTTAAATTGACAGGTTAGCTCGCCGTCAGGATGAATCCTTGCTGACACCGCTAGCTGGTGACATTAACGGGATGCTACTGCTGCAGCTCCAGGGAGGAACTGCTGCCTATTCCCCTAAATAATTTATCCTGTAGAAAACAGCCTGGGCTCGGAAATGGACTCTTGCTGACTGTGGATCATCCATGCACGTCTGCTTACATCAAACATGTAAGATGTTGTGCTAACCAGCTGAGAGCAGATCTGATGATGACCGCAGGCTGTGTTCATCATGTACTTCATGTACAGATGTTGTACTTCATGTACAGATGTTGTTCTTGTTAACACAGATTACAAACAGTCGGTATGACACTTTTTAATATTTTTAAAGTATCCACATTAATATTCACGACAAAATGCTTTGTTTTACTCCCATAGACTGTAAATATTACTCCACATCCCTGCTGATAGATTTCCAATAATCCATCACTTTTTCGATAGAAAATCCAACAATGGCCCCATGAGCTAATAGTATGGTGTTGCCATTATGATTTATCCTTTTCATGATGTATCCATGAATTAAACATTTGTTTAATGTATCAATTTTAAAAGCCAGAAAACGGTGAAAGGGTCTTGAATATGAATATGCAGTTTTAGATCAGCCTAATACAACTGAAAAATGCAAAAACTAATACACAAATAGCCCAACACAGTGGATGGCTGTTCAACTTGAGTCTGATTCTGCTCAAGGTTTCTGCCTGTTAAAGGATTTTTTTTTTTGCTTTGCCACTGTGGTCTGCCAAATCTTGCCAAGTGCTTTGCTCATGGTGGATTGTTGTGTGTCCATACTCACCCATAATGTTGTTTTCCTGACATTTTCTCATGGTAGTATTTAATGGTTGATCTAAGTAATCTGTGTCACTATCTCTGGAAAACAACTAATGCTAGTTCAGGGTTAGAAATAAAATGAAAAACAGAGCAATAAATGAAATGCAACCCATGAACAAACATGTTCTCTTTCTTAAGCCCTCATGTTATATTTAAGGTATGCCATTAACAGTGTGCTTAGTGAGTTGTTAGCTGCCCCTGTTCGATGTGTACTGATGGATGTACAGGCAACTATCACTTGATTGCTTTGATACAAAATAAATCTGAAAAACTGATTGTCTAATTTTATTTTGTGGATGTTTACTCTGGATGACATTCAGAGATAAATAAAGATTCAATGTGTCCCTAATTAGAAAGCTTTTATGTAGAGAATAACTGTCATATAAATTGATGATAACAAATGGTGGGTGGCATCATAGACCGAGGGTAGCACTGTAGCCTCACAGCAAAAAGCTTCTTGGTTTGAACTTGCAGTCCAGCTGGGGCGTTCAGTGACTCTAAAGTGCTTGTGAATGGTTGTCTGTCTGTCTGTGTAAACCATGTGATTGAGTATTGACCTGGCCATAGAATAACTGTAGGAGCAGTGCAGAGCAGTCTTAGTCTCTAAATGTTGACAGCTTTTTTTCTCCTGGGCCAGCGTGTCCTGATTCCTGACTCATTATGCACAGATGTGTGCATAATGAGTGAATAAGAACATTTCTAAAGTGTGGTATTTACCAACTTGTACTTAGGAATGGGTGAAAATATAAACACAGCTCTTTCTTATATTTTTAATTATAACTGAGCTTATTAACAAACCTCCTCATTTTGATTTCATGAAGAGTTTCTCGTCTGACCCAACAGAATAAACAGCATGTGTCATCTTCTCCCATGCACCATGTTTTCTTTTGTTTGTAGCCTAACTCCCCCACTCAGTGAACAAATAAGACATTTATCTGGTTCACTTAGTAATACAGTTACTAATCTTTTTTTCATCTTAATTCCATTTCGGTTGCTATGAAGCTCCTTTTCTTTGCTCTCCTAGCCATTACTCTCGTAAATATAAAGGGCTGCGTTGTTACCACATTTGGTTTTATTGGAGGCGTTCCTAATGCAGATATATCGATGAACATGCCTGAGCCTGCTGGGTACGAACATGTGGGATTTATCGACACTGATTACTTATTGAAGTAGAAGGAAACTCTTGCGCTTCAGCTACTCCACTAATGGAGGTCGGCGCTCTCAGAGGAGGACTTAAGACGTACAAAAAATATAATTCAGTGGATACCTTCTTCAAGACAGGAAGCAAAGAAAATACTGGAGCACACTTAGGTTTCGGCGCACTGCGTCTTCTTCAGGGTCAGAACTCTCACTTTTATATTTTTTGTACTGATTACTTATTGATGTGAGACCGCCGTCCACCTGTTTAATTGATACGGATTGTAGGAGCCATAATGTGCATTTTTTACCTCAGTTGATTATTTCTTATATTTTGCTCCTTGCATAGGTTTTATATGATTTCCTGGTAATTAACAGTGGGCATGGTTTACCTTATTTTTACCTGTGTATTGGGGGTGGCGGTAGGCGAGACAAAGAGGGTGACTGAGTTTGAAATATTTCAAGTTGACTGTCACTGTCATCTTATCTTTATCAACATCACCATCATCATCTTTTGGACTCTTCTTTTTTTTTTTGAAATACTTTTTTCCCTATTTTGTTTAATAAATGTACAAACATATCTGGACATTTTTTATATGAACGAGTCACAGGTACAGGCCCACTCAGTCTCTGTGCAGCATTTTTATATTGTACCGCAATACGGATTATTTGTTTAAATTATGCACATTATAAATGTCATCTGTAAGACAGAATTTAGAACTTTTTCTGTGCACTGTTGATAAATGTGAGTGACCCTTGGCTTCTGTTATAAGATGTAATTTCTTCTTCAACTTGAACTTTCTCCTCTCTCCTTCTGCACTTGGTGGCTGCACACAAATGTGTTCAAAATGAGCACTGACAATGTTTACATTGATCTGTAAGCCTGAAATATTTCAACATTTAAATATGGACTTAATGAAAGTTGTTTTTTCTTTCTGTTCTGTTTCTTGTGTGTGTAACAGGAAACAACCAAATCTTCCAAAAGCAGCATGAAGAACAGTAACAGCAGTAGCAGCAGCGGTGGAGGGAAGGAGGCTGCTGCTGAAAACTCAGACGAGGTGAGTCTCTAAAATATGAAACACACTGTCATCTCTGCTTCAGTAAACACACGATGGAGTCACAGCCAGCAGTAAGTTAAGGGTCACAAGTTGTTGTTGAGGCTGCAGGGCGATTGAAACACTGTTGCTGTTCTTTGCACAGCGATGGCATTCTGTTGATGTGAGCTTAGTTTATATAAACAAGGAACATGAACATATCCTTCATACGAGGAGTTCAAAAGATGATAAGGGGAAGAAAAGTTATTGGGCTGATAAAGTTGGGAGATAAAACATTTATTGATTCAGTTCACAGAAAGAAGCTTCTGGAAAGAAAAGTTGAACTGATCATTCGGATACACTCAGACTCGAGTACACACAAAAGTGTATCTGTACGACTCATTTCATACAATATGCATCCATAATGTTATAAACCGTAAATAAATAAGAGATAAACCCTTTGTTGTTAAAGATTTCCAGGCTGAGTTACTGTATCAGTGTTCCACTTAGACGCTCATTTAGGAGGTGATGATTCGGTTCAGGTGTAATTTACCCTTCTGGCTGCTGCTCAGGACACAGACCAGGTTTACAGTCAGATTTCCGTCAGCATCAGGGATTAGTCGGATCAGATTTTACATCCTGAGGAGTTCACACAATCGCTTCTGAGCATGTGTTTCATCTCATGTCCTTCTTTTATAAACTAACAAACAAACACATTCTGTCATTTTGTCGCATCACAGAGTGACAGACTGTTACAGGGATGGTGTGATCAATGATCCACAGACTGAGGGAGCTGATGTCCTCTTCTCTCAAACACTGAAGGACTCTGTAAAGAACAAGCGAAACCAAATGTAAATCTCTCCCAGGCTTGTAGTTCAAGTTATATCGAGGTTGAGTTGAACCACAAAGAACAGCCCCTTAATTAGCTTGAGACTAAACTGGGACCACTTACTGCTCATGCTCTTTACATTACATCAGTCTGGTTTGTTCAGAGCTGTAGCTACTACAGCTGTGAACAGATCTCAGATGAGTTCCTGTTGGTTAACAGCAGTTAAACAGATTTGTGGGAAGTCTGGCAGACCAGAAGAGTTCGCATGACTGGAAATAACTCCAATTGATTTTTGTTCACCCCGCTGACCCCCTAACACATGGAGGACCAATTCATATCCCCCACTGTACTATATTGAACTGCATTATAACACAAATGTACACTACTGACCTACAGGGCAAAACTGCAAAACACTATACTTCTGTGGAATACAGTACACAATTGATTGTATACTCTTTGTAAGTATAATTGAATCTATTCTGTTGTTCACATTTCTTTTTCTTCAATACAGATTTCTCTCTTCTTCTGTTTATTTTTTATTTTTTTAATAGAAAGCTGAAGTTTAAACTTCCTCATTTTGAAATCTTTGTGTGTTTCGTCTGCTTGTGTGTTTGTGTGCACAGTCCCAGCAGCAGCAGAGTGGCAGTAAGCGCCCCAGTAACAGCACGCCTCCGCCCACTCAGCTCAACAAGATCAAATACTCCGGAGGTCCTCAGCTGGTGAAGAAGGAGCGTCGCCAGAGCTCGTCCCGCTTCAGTCTGACCAAGAACAGAGAGCTGCAGAAACTACCTGCACTCAAAGGTAACCAATCACATCAAGTAGAAACTGGCATTAATGTAAATCTGACATTCATCTAGAGGTAATTAAACCTAAAAGGGGCCATGCTGACTGACATCTCCTGGAGAAACTTCAGTTACTATCCACAAATACCTCATACAACCCCTTAAAAAACAAATATCTCTTTCAGCTCATCAAAGCTGCTTTTGCATCTTCTTGGTTCAGTTCAATCTAACTCAGGTGTGTTTGTCAAGTTGTGTCATTTGTTCAGGTTGATGGATGTGAATTATACTGTGGTGCAGATTAAATAATATATTTTAAAGCTTGTTGAGTTAGCATCACCTAGCAACTCTTAGCATCCTCTTTTTTTTAAACTAATTGAGACAAGACTGTACCTATCTCTTTCTACACACTGCTATTACATTGTGTCAGTCATTTCGTATAATAGTAAAATTCAAATGTTCATGATCAGTTTGTCTTTGTGAAATCCTTTCAGTCATGTGACGTCTTGTTTGTGCTGTTGCTAAGTTTGTTTGTGTGAAGCTGAAGCAGAGCACAACTAGCAGACAGCATTGATTTATTGAAGAAAAAACGTCTAAACTGTGTTTTCCAGAAGCTGCAGCAGTGATGATTTTGAGTTTCTCATTTAATCCGTCAAATCTGGCTGCTAAAATAGTTTGTCAACACTTTGACAGGCAGGAGGCCACAGAGCGCAAGTATGTTTTTTTTTTTTATTCTGTGAAAAGACCATCACACATGCTGTCTACAGATTTTCAAACACTTATAGGGTCTGAGAAGGTTTTGAAATGTGGGAAATCTGTTTGGCTGTCCTTTCTGTTTGTGAAAGCTGGGCAGGCTGTCAGCAGATGTTCTCCTGTGAAGTAACTTGCTTACAATGAGCTGAGCTTTCCTTTCTAGTGGGGACCATGATTGTGTGAAGCCTAGTCTGCTCATGTGGTGTCGGCTCATTTCCACTTCTCCTCCTCAGACTCCCCCCTGGTTGATCGTGAAGAGCTTTTTGTCCAGAAGCTGCGTCAGTGCTGCGTGCTGTTCGACTTTGTCAGCGACCCGCTCAGCGACCTTAAATACAAAGAAGTGAAGAGAGCGGGACTCAACGAGATGGTCGAGTACATCACACACAACAGTGATGTGGTGACGGAGTGCATCTACCCTGAGGCCGTGCTGATGGTGAGATCGAACTCACTCATTTATTCAACAAAGTTGTCATGACAACTGTCTTGACAATTCTGCAATGGAATGAATATAAAACTTTTCATGAGAAAAATTGAGTGGCTACCTTCAGAAACATGCTGAGCCTGAAAACCTTCAGAAATAGTACTTAAATCACAGTGAACAAATACTCTTACAAGTAACACATCTGTATTCAAAGGGGTTCTTCTTTAAGTAAGAAAACAACTGTTAAAGGACACATTCATTAGATTAGTACGTATTGTATGACTTATTAATTATTATTGCTGTTTTCATATTTGTTTATATATTTTATATAAAAATGTAGAATCTGTATGTGAGGTTCTTAATTTTGGTCTAGGATTTGATCTTGTGTCTGTTTTAGTACATTTGTAGTCTGAGTAGTATTGACCAATCGCATATCAGACAAAAATGATCGAACAGCATGCACATCCGAAAGAGTTGATTAAGTTGACTAAGGCAGCACACCAGAAGCTGCCCCAATTCACATTTAATGGGAATTATCACCACATAACACACACCTCCACACATATATATATATACATCCTCTGAGTTCAGGTCATGTGATACAAAGCAGGAAACAATATACATTATTCATAATGAAGGTCCACAACACCTTTGACACTTCAAATACACAAGAATTTACACCAAAAAAATATATATACACAACTCCAGCAGGTAAAAGCCTGCAGTGCTTGGAGCATTACCAAAATAACTTGAATTACATGACTGGAACATCAGGAGAAACCGTCATCATGACAAGTAAAGCTAGGAGAAAACGATATAATAGAGACGGCTCGATAATATAGAAGTAATTATAAAGACAAATGAAAACATATTTAAAAAATCAGAGCAATGCGCCATACAAGTCTAGAGAAAAATGTAATATTTATCAAATGTAAAATCATGTACACATCACACCCACCCCGTGGGAGCACTCACGCTAGTCAACTGAACTGGACTTTCTGGGTGAAGCGTGCTTAGGCAGGTACGGATTGCCTGGCGTGTGTGCACCCTAAGTAAATTAGAATAACTTTAACTTGTAAAATTAAGTTATTTACCAAATAATATTGTGTGATCAGTGTTTTTAACCAATAATGTAAAAAAAGTACTCAGAAGATAGAAGATAAAAGTAAAAAAATGTGTGTGTGTGTGTGTGTGTGTGTGTGTGTGTGTGTGTGTGTGTGTGTGTGTGTGTGTGTGTGTGTGTGTGTGTGTGTGTGTGTGTGTGTGTGTGTGTGTGTGTGTGTGTTCAGTTTTCAGTAAACTTGTTTCGAACTCTTCCTCCGTCCTCCAATCCAACCGGAGCTGAGTTTGATCCTGAGGAGGACGAGCCGACCCTGGAGGCCGCCTGGCCTCACTTGCAGGTACATTGGTTTATTGTTTTTGTTTTTTTTCAATCACATGCAGCTTCACACTTCATCCAACTGTTTTTTATCATGGTTATAAGCTGCTGGAAAGCATGACTGATCTGTTAAACTGATGATCGTTTTTTCTCTGCTAATTGGACACCTGCATGTTTTTATGTAATAGTGATCTGGGGTTGTGTTTTCAAAAACAAACGTTTGTTTTTGTCTTCACAGCTTGTCTACGAATTCTTCCTTCGCTTCCTGGAGTCCCCAGACTTCCAGCCAAATGTTTCCAAAAAATACATTGACCAAAAGTTTGTTATGTCGGTAAGCTGTGACCTCTTAGGCTCATGTTGAGATGTGCTTTTGTGTAGCCTCAGATAGAACCCTAACTTTCTGTGTAATGATTTTTTTCAAAGCTGCTGGAGCTGTTTGACAGTGAGGATCCCAGAGAGAGAGACTTCCTCAAGACAATCCTCCACCGGATCTACGGCAAGTTCCTCGGCCTCCGTGCCTACATCCGCCGCCAGATCAACAACATCTTCTACAGGTCAGAACAAGATTGATGAACAGATGACACCAATCAACTAACACAGAAATTACAAAGAAGAAGTCGCGCAACATAAAAAGAGCTTTAAACGTCTTGAACTGATCTGTTACCACTATGACATCATGTATGACCTATGAATTCAGTCAACGTGTATGACCTGATACTTTTACATGGGATATATCTGTTTGGCCTTGTGTAAAGCAAAAGAAAAACTGAAACCAACCAAGGGCAGTCATGGTCATTTTCTTTACAGTCACCAATCAGAATCATGAGTTAAAAATATAAGAAAAAGGTATTCCGCAGGTATCAATGTTAGTCCCCCTGTGATTCACTGCTAACTCGTGGACCGAAATGAAGCTTCACTCTAAAAGTTCCTTCTTCTTGCTTTTGACTTGTTTTGTTTTTGACTTCTGATAGTTGAACATATCACTTGTGCACCCTGATGTATGGGTAGATATCATTGACCTTAAAGTAAACCCAGTGATCTCAATGTGTGTGACTTACTGTTGTTATTTTACAGATTTATTTACGAGACAGAACATCACAATGGCATTGCTGAGCTTCTGGAGATACTGGGCAGGTAAAAGACACTTACACTTATCACTTCATCTCCCCATTATACCTCATTCATAGAGAAGGCGAGATGGCACAGGGACATAAATATAATGTGTGAACAGGACTATAGAAGCACAACTTCTAAAGCTGAACAATGTGCCGTCTAAGTTTTTCCAGCAGCAGTAAGGATTTAAAATTTAAATGAAAACAAATGAATTGGAAACAGATATTAGAGAAACATTTAAGCATCACACTTTTAAAGTGTTCCTGCAGCCGAAGCAGAACCTGTAGTTTAACCAGAATAACTTCTTAAGGGCTTTTTGCATTTCTTGGATTGGACAGCTTGAGAGAGGTTAGAAATTATAAAAGTGAAGAGTGGTGGATGACATACACCAAATAGTGTCAGGATTGGGCAACAAACCCACGACCAGTGCGACAAGGACTGTAACCTCTGTTCATTGACAGCCTGCCCTACAAACTGGGCTAAACCTTAGACAACATCTTTAGCCCTTTTAACATGAACATGTTTCTATTGTCTCTTTGTCAGCATTATCAATGGCTTTGCTCTACCACTCAAAGAAGAACACAAGATGTTTCTGATCCGGGTTCTGCTGCCACTTCATAAAGTCAAGTCTCTGAGTGTCTACCACCCCCAGGTCAGAGAGTCAGTAAATATTGTATGTGTCTTTGTGTGTCTGTGTTTGTGTGTCTGTCTGTCTGTCTTATCTCTTGTCTGACTGTATGCGTCTCTGTCTAAGTGTCTGTCTGTCTGTCTCTCTCTCTCATTGGATCTTGCTTCCTCTCTGTCTGTCTACAGTGGTGTATGGTGCCTGGAAAAGTACCCTATACCACAAATGCTTTTGTTTTTTTAAAGCCACTCGTCCATCTCTGACATGTAAGACTACTTAATACTTGCATATTGAGTTCACCTAAAAATGGGCTTTCAGCATTACTCTGCCCCTATTGACCCTGATTTTCTTACTTAACCAACCAACCAACCAATGATAGCGACAACAAGTACTAGCCAATTAGAGATGGAGTCTGTCGGGTCTTGCCTTTGCCATCCTAGGGAAAAAAATAGCAGCAAACTACTGAATGATGGGCATCATATGGGATTATGAAGTTGGTATACGCCATGGTAGGTTAACAGAGTATTGGGCGCTGTACAATGTGAACTTTGTCTGATGAAGAGCAGGTGTGCTACTACGTGAACCTGGTGAAATACATTTCTGGAATATTGTCTTTGGTTTAAGTTTTTTTTTGCTCGACTCAGCACCTGCCTGACTTGGTTTGGATGTGTGTGTTTTTCTTGATTGATGTTCAGATTAACACAGTATACCTGCTTATACCTTGCACTAACCTATATATGGACAGGACAGTGGATAGAGTAGGAAAATCGGTGGAGAGAGTGGGAAAATGACAAGCAGGAAAGGAGCTGCTGGTTGGACTCGAACCCGGGCTTTCCACTTGGAGGACTATTGTCTCCGTACATGGGGTGCAGCCATGCCCCTTATGTCTTTCTGTCCATCTTACTGTCTGCCTGTTTGTGATGTTTCCCACCTATGAATTCAGACATCTTCAATGTTATGTAAACTCTGTCTCTACATCTCTCTCTATATGTCTATCTGCAGCTGGCATATTGTGTGGTCCAGTTCCTAGAAAAAGACAGCGGTCTGACTGAGCCGGTGAGTCTGCTGCTGACATTCCTTCTGTTTCCATGACAACACTCAAAATGGGTTGCTGCTGCTGGTGATGGGCAGTTTTCGGTTTCCATAGTAATGTATAGTAACAACTTGATGTCACCTCATGATGTTTTGATGTCTGAACCCCCACAGGTAATCATGGGTCTGCTCAAGTTCTGGCCCAAGACTCACAGTCCAAAGGAGGTGATGTTCCTGAACGAGCTGGAGGAGATCCTGGACGTCATCGAGCCATCAGAGTTCGTCAAAGTCCAGGAGCCACTCTTCAGACAGCTCTCCAAGTGTGTGTCCAGCCCTCACTTCCAGGTACCAATATCTGATCCAGAAGCTGTACCTGAATTGTAATCAGTAACATTACTACAACCAGGGCTTCAACCAAAACCCAGAACCTGAAAAAAAACAGAATGAGAAACACAACCTACCTACCACTACCATAAAATCTGGTGTATAAAACGCACTTTTAATACCTATTATAAATCGAAAAGGTGTGCTGTGCTATACACCGCTGTGACCAATTTACCAGTATGTAATGCTGACACACGCACTGTCATTACCACTGGAAGAGTGCAGCCCATCATCACACACTGCAAACAACCTGACACGATTGAAAATTCATCCCTATTCATTGTGTATTGCACGCTGTGCTGGGAAACATACTGACACAGACCAGGCTGGCTGCGCAACTTTTTAACATCTTTTTTCATTCAGTCATAATCATGCATTTAAAGAAAAGTGTGGTATATTGTTCTGTAAATAAACCTTGTGGAGTACACTTTCAATTGAAAGAGTCCTATATTAAATCTAACGAGGGACCAGTGATGGTGGTCAGTACGACTTGGGTCTGTGGGCTACTTCACAAATGTCACCGTAGGCTGAGAGCTCAACTACCGTAGTGCAGCTAGTAGGACTTCGCTGAACACAATAGAAATAGTCACGCAGGAAAACAGTTTAATCTTTTTTCTCTCTGGGAGATCTTCAAAATCAGACTGCGTACCGAACTTTTACAGTAGATCAGACAATATGAGAGCCAGGTCATCAACTACATCCTGCCCAACATTAAGAGCCAGATCTACTTCTTGTTTAATTTAGTCCAGAATTTAAAAAATGGATCTCTGTTGTTGTTTCCATTTTTGTGGTGGATAATTGATAGTTTGTGTTGTCACGGAGGCGAGCCAAGGTGGTAAAAGTCAAAGTAAAAACCAAATTGTCAGCTGTGCTCTGTGTGATAAATGCCCTGAACGTTAATCTAAAAAAAAGTAAATATGTTTTACTCTGGGGGACAAGAACTCGAACAAGAACATTTGTAATTCATGAAGATGATGATGATAATGATGATGATGATGATGATGATGATGATGCTTTGTGTGTTTTTGTGTGTGTGTGCTTTCAGGTGGCAGAGAGAGCTCTGTATTACTGGAACAATGAGTATATCATGAGCCTTATCAGTGACAATGCTGCCAAGATTCTCCCCATCATGTTCCCTGCCCTCTACAAGAACTCCAAGAGCCACTGGAACAAGTAACACAATTACTCAGACCAACACACACACACACACACACACACACACACACACACACACACACACACACACACACACACACACACACACACACACACACACACACACTTACACACGTAATGAACCCTGCAGACTATACGCTGCTGACGGAAAACCATTGCTGGTCCATAACAGGATCAATACTCCACATACAGATCAGAGTTTGCTGCTCTGACTGATGGCTGCAGGCTTAGAAACACATTCAGTGATCTAATTCATGACAGCTTGTGTGTCTGACCAATTGTATCATGCCCACGGGAATTTTATTAGTGTGACAGATTCTCCGTTGATTTTATAGTTTTATTTTTTAAAAATCAGAATGAAAATGGGTTTCTTTTTTGCAATGTTTGGAAGCAAAAAAGAAACCCATTTTCATTCTGATTTTTAAAAAATAAAACTATAAAATCAACGGAGAATCTGTCACACTAATAAAATTCCCGTCCAAACCAAGGTTAAAGCCCTATTTCAGATATAATCTCCATCAGATCAAACATGCCTCAAAAAACCTCTCACATAATATGTTCTGTTTGAATGTGTCTCTGTGTGCGTGTGTAAACAAGTGGCCAGCACTCCACGTAGGGCTGATTGCACAGCTAGCCTAAACAGTAAGGTCAGAAGCCCATTAGATTAGATGGTAATGTTGACTTTATAAAACCTTAACATGGTTTTCCTTTAAAAAACAAGGAAGTGTGGACGTAACCCTGAAGCTTGATTTATTCTTTAGTTTAGTTTATTCGCACATTGTTGAAAGAAGAGTCAAACAGGTAAATGCAAAAAATCGAAATAAATCACATGTGCAGGTTCTTCTGCATCAAATCTACACCATAGCATACACCTGCTACCTACACAGAAGCCTACTTATGTAGCCCAATGTGCGCCGCCCAAAACATTGAACTAAGCGTCAAACAAGGCAGACCACAAGCCCTGTAATTGGCCCACTGGGTAGCATATTATTTACAGCTTTTCTGGTATACGCTATTTATTAGCACCATATCCAACATTACACGCTTGGTTTCAGTCTCCATTGTTTCCTGTTTACAAACAAGCAGTGAATGTGGTGGAGCCAGATACTGGTGATATAACTAGCTTAGATATAGCACTGCCAACTAGCGTTTTTAAGGGGAGTATTGCAAAGCTACACACACCGGTGAGTATGTGTACTCACGACCGCGTAGGCCACTGTGGCGCAGCTACGGAATATATTCAACACAGAAGTTTAAACCAGGCTTTAGTCTACAGTAACAGCTGTGTCATCACAGTTATTATCCAGTCCAGGTTAAAAAAGATTGAATTTACCTTGGGAACAGGTTAATTAAGAAATTAACACCTGCTTCTCCTGGGTTGTGTTTATGATGGAAACAATATTCTTGGCTCAGAGGGTTAATCCATAGTTTTTACTTTTCCTCAGGACGATTCACGGTCTGATCTACAACGCTCTGAAGCTCTTCATGGAGATGAACCAGAAGCTGTTTGATGACTGCACACAGCAGTATAAGGCTGAGAAACAAAAGTACGACACACACATATGCAGTCGCCTACTACTGTTCAACAACAAATATCTCACTTTTGAGGGACACTTTGTGTCACTAATCACCATCAAAAGTGTCAACTTTATTTGAAAGCAAATGACGTAAAATGTTCTATCTGAATCTGTTTATGTCTGCAGAGAGAAATATAAGCTGAAGGAGAGGGAGGAGATCTGGCACAAGATAGAAGAGCTGGCCAGACAAAACCCTCAGGTACCAACCTACATCTTTATGTGTCCCCTGACACCTCAGCACACCTGCCTGCTCATCTGTCTTAATCATGTTAATAAAGTAGTTACATTTTATTATCTGTGTGAATGTGTGTTTGTCCTCTCTTTCAGAGCAATAAACTTCACCCTCTCCGCCCTGGACTACACCCACAGGACGAGGTCAGTCTTTGATGATTTAATTTGTAATGGCTTTCGCTCCATGTCTTCATACCAAAAGCGATGCAATTTTTTGATTGGCCTTATTTAACACAATTGAATTGTCTTTTTTCTAACATGTAAACACTTCAATGTGTATCTGCAGTACATGCTGTACAGTGACAGTACTACTGTGACTGTGTACTCCATGGAAACAGAGACTCCAACGGCTGAAGACATCCAACTGCTAAAAAAGACCGTGGAGAGCGAGGCCTCTCAGGTAAAGCGTGAGAGCCATAGAAACAACGACAAGTGTCCACTTAATTTGTTTATTTTGACTTCAATAATCCTATGATGGATTTCTCTTCAGGGTACGAAGGATCTGAAGAAGGACAAGGTTCTGATGAGGAGGAAGTCGGAGTTGCCGCAGGACGTCTACACCATCAAAGCTTTGGAGGCTCACAAAAGAGCCGAGGAGTACCTAACAGCCAATCAGGAGGCTCTCTGACCGGGGGAGGCGGCCCCCTCTGAGCCCAACTCAACCCCCCTCCAGTATGGTCTCTCTGGGGAGGAAGTTAAAGCTGTCATGGAGAAACTGGTCCTGGGTCAGATCAGGATGGAGCTGATGCTGTGTTGGAAAGAAAACAAAAAAAAAACTACACCTCCTCACCTCTGACCCCTGGTGGCCAATCACATGTAGGACACTGTAGAAGCTGTTTGTCCCAAGTGCTGTCTCAGTGTTTCAGTGGTCACATGGCGATGACATCATCAGCTTCATGTTGCACTAACACCTTCACCTGCAAATACCTGCTACTGTCTGTTTTCAACCAGTGCAGTTGGAACTAGCTCTTCGACCTGAGAGACAGAAGCTCCTGAATGCATCACAAAAAGGCCTTTTCCAATGTAGTGACTTAACCACCTAAGAACTACTGGATGGTCTGGGTCTGAGTCTGCTTTGTGTCCATCAGGCATCAAAATGTACCAATTCATCTCTTTTCCAGCCTCCGTCCAAATGCTGGTTTACATGTTGGATGCTTTTTTGAGTTGTTTGCTGACCGTTATGTTATGCATTCAAACAGTGATGGAAATAGAAAGCATCCTTTTAATGGCTGCAGTTTGCTTTTCGGCAGGAACTGAAGCAGCAAGACGGTTTATAGAGAAACATGCTGATGTTTAGAAATGGCATGTAAACAAGAAACATCAAGAGTAGCTGCTTCCTTCTACTAAACCATCATAAAACCAGACCTTTAAAACCTTTGAATGACACAAAGTGACACAGAGAACCCAGAAACTTCCAGGATCAGTTTCTGAGATGATCCGTTTCCTGCAGTTGGGAAAAGCTCCAACACATCATGTCTGTGCTATGACACCTAAACACAGCACCTGTGATTTCACTGCCTCGCTTGGTCCTCCTCACACAAGAGCCCCGCCCCCTCCACTTGACGTGATCACTGATCTGTCAGCATGGACCTGAGGTGGACTGCGGGCTGAAGCAGCTTCAGATGGACTGACGATGAAGATGATGTTAAAGACGGGGAGACACATGAATGTAGACGTCCAATTAAATCCAGCAGGACCAGCAGGAACCAACTGAACAAGAGCTTGACTCCAACTGCTACTTATTTCTTATTTCATTTTACTGTGCGATGATCATGATGTCATCGTGTTTAAACCAATGAGAGAAGCTGTTTGCACGAGGAAATCATGTCAGAAACTGCTTTAGTGTTATTTTGTTGTTCAAAAAACAAAACTGTTGTGAACTGAACTGAACTGAAAACTGAATGTTTCTGTGTGTAGCCATGTCTCGTCAGGTTGACACAACAAAAGGCGTAGAGGTTGTAGGAAATTATGCAAACAGTTAAAGAAGCTTTTGGTCTTAATGTTTGGGTGTGTAAGCACAACTCTCTCATAACAAAGACACAATATGATGAGTTTGAATGCTGTTACGAGATCTCTGGTCAGTTGTCCTCCCTCAGACTGAAGCTGTGACAGGTTCAGACCTGTAATTCAAGAAGATTTGATTAGACAGGCACAGAAAGTTAAAAAGTGTTATTATACTCAGAATCAGTCTAGAGACCATGTTTGAAGGTCTCGTTGTAGACTCGGATGATTACGGCCGCAACCTTAATGGTGTTTTAACATCTAAGCAAGTGACACGCCCGCTGCACACAAGTTGATGATTTTTCAGTGATATTAATGGTCTTGGTCTTGTCTCGGCCTCAGAGCACTCTGGTTGCGGGTATGTCTTTGTCTCGGTTAGTATGGTCTTGACTACAACACTAACTGAACAGTCCAGGTGCTCTGTTTTTTTTTACAGGACATAATGACCCCACGTCTGGTTTGACGGGAGAAATGGTTAAAACTTCAGATTATTTCAAAAAGCAAGCAACATGTTATGTTATGTATCTACTGTATAATCATCAATCTTTATTTGTATAGCGCCAATTCATAACAAATGTTATCTCAAGACACTTTACAAAAAGAGCAGGTAAAAGACCTTGCTCTTTTTTATGTTACGTTACAAAGACCTAACAGTAATCCACCATGAGCAAAGTTACAGTGTGAAGAGAAAAACTTACTTTAAAAAGAGGCAGAAACCTCGAGCAGAACCAGACTCATGATGAACGACCATCTGCCCAAACAGTGTTGGGCTTGGAATGTGGGAAAGTGGGATAGAGGGAGAAGCAAGAGAGTGGAATTAAGACCCATCAGCGCTGGGAAACCTACACGTTTCAGATAAGAGTTCACTATTCTGGTCACCTCACTGCTGAATTTAAGATTAAAGTATTTCAGAGTCTCTCCATCATGTTCTGCTGCCTGCAGACTCAGATTCCCATGATCCTCTGCTTTTTACAGTCATTTTACATGTAAAATGCTGCGTCACATTTTTGGTCACAATGTCATATTAGAGAATCTAAAAAAAATGTTTCAAGCCATTTACTTACATAAATTATTAAGAACATTAAGAACATGACAGCATTTTGTTTAGGAAATTAAATCAAAGTGTCAATAAAGTGCCCTCAGTAAATACAAACATTAAAGGTAGTACAAAGTGCTTTTCTTAATTTAAACATTAATATGTTTGGAGTTTCTTTATCTCAACTCCCAAGTCTAAAAACTGTCATCTAAAGGATTTAATTTTAGCCTCTAAAAAAGATGAATGTCCTAAAAGCACAAATTCTCTATTACAAATCATTCCAAAATAATGCATCCTGGGAAAAACGCACACATAATGCAACTTTTTAAATTTAAAGAAATGTAATCTACAGGTTTCTTTCATTCTTAAGTACCCACTCTTCTCTGTACTTGTTTTTAATTAACATAATTTTTTTATATTGTGACACTGACCCATCTAACCGTACTGCATCACTGAACCTATCAGTAGAACAACTGTGAAGCCGTAGCACAGATTCAGTTGTCCCTAAAGAAACATTCACAGACAGTTTAACGTAAATATTTAAAAAGATAATGTCTCTCAATTCTTAAGGTGGCTCGTGTGGAGAAGAGAGATGGAATTTCTGCGTGTGGTTTTTGTTGTACTATGACTTGGCTCTTTGCCACGCCCCCTCACACAGACCACACCCACCATAATGCTGAAGCCTTTATTCTTTAATGTGTATTTCTATGTTCTTGCTGTTTTTAACTATTTGAACATTCCCCCTCTGCAGTTTGTCTTATTGCCATCATGTGATTTGCTGTCAATTTAAGACTAGTTGCCAAGACTGGCGCCAGGCGTCAAATCGTAACAATAATGAAAGGCATAAAGCCTAGTTATATGTTTATTAGCAACATGTTCACACATGATTTCCTTAAGCGCCCACGAAGGTTCATCGAGAAGGGAGCATGTCTAAATTGTTCCTGACCGACACCAGAATCTTTAAGGAACTCGTGGTTATCAACAGAAAATGGAGTAGTTGTTACTTTTAAGATCTGGATCATTCAGCTTCTTATTTCCCACTCGAGAAGAAGGAAAAAAATCTCGTGTCAGAAAGTGAAATGTCAAAGGATACTTAGTTGTGCCCTGCAAATATGAAGAGCTGACGAGCTGAAATGACAATTTATTGTCATGTAGCTCCTCTGCATACACATCTGAGAAATGACAAGTTAAAGTTTTAAGACACTTAACAGTGCTATAATCTGGTGACTCTCAGGTAATCCTCCAGTTTTTAATCTCCTTGTATCCCAAACTCACCCCAACCCAAATCTGTTAAGCAGAATATCATATCTGTGATGCCGGGGTGTTTGAGCACAGCAGATGCTGCTTATGATCTGAACAGTTTTCAGCAGTTCTCTTTCAGATCATCTTATTCCTAGATCAAAAATGACACGTTTGATTCCTGAAAACTTAAGACGATGGAGACTTTGCAAATGCTCAGAACATGATAAATCTATTTTCCTAAACATTGTGAGGAGCTCTAATGAAGAGAGGCTGGACACAAAGGTCAAAGTATTTGATGAAAGAAAAAAAGAAACATGGCGGTGATCTCTTCACTCGAGTCTTGACACGTAAACCTGAACGCTGCTTCCTGTCATCTTGTACATATGTTGTACTTTAATTAGAGCATTACATAGTGTGAAAGTGTGATTTTGTACAGATGCCGACGTATGTACAGAACAAAATACAAAGAAATAAAGAGGACATGTTTGACAATCAGACATCTTGTGTTTTATACAAACACATTAATTCATTTACAAGTTCAACATTTCACAATTCTTTAAACAAGGTGAACATTTCAATAAAAGGCTTAAAGGTGGAATGTTGCTTTTTCCTAACTATGTTACTTTTTACACTCAACAGAAACCTCAGGGAGACAAGCGGCTGTGTTTGCAATCAATTATTACTTTTTTATCACTCATCGTTTGGCTTACAAACTGAAAGAAAACAAGGAATCCAAATATTTCCCACTTCAAAATCGTGACAGGCCGAAACCACAAACATCCAGTTCACTTTCACAGAGGAGGAAGAAAAGCAGCGTATATGTAACAAACTAACAGCGCGATCCAGTTCTTTTGATTTACATTTGTACTGATATCTAAAGATCACAGGTCAATTATCTGCTGAAGAAGTCTCCACCATGCCTCTGAAGTTCAGTCAACATCACAACATATAGAACTGTCAGATACTTCCCCTGTGAACAGACATCCTGAACTGATGAAGTCAAAGCAGCAGGACAGTGAATGACATTCAATAGAAATGAAAACAGAAGAGTATGGGATCAGAGAAGAGTCAAAACTATTTAGTTTGTAAAATCATGTCAAGATTGTTTCTTCAAACTAGTCTGCATGTCAGTCGTATGTCAGACACAAAAGATCTTAAACAAAAAATTGTGAATCTCAGTTAATTAACTGCTGACATTGAAATTACTTTTTACTCATTCGTCAATTGATAGTTTTTAAATCATATTTTTTTAAACATCCACTAACCTCTGTATCCTAACCCTAGCTGGGTTTTTATGTTTTTTGTATTAGTGTAGCTTATTAATGTTCGCCTGTCATTATGTTAGGTAATGTTTGTGAGAGTCATACATCTAAAGAGAAATACAAATATTAAACAACCTCTGCTTGTTAGCAGGTCAGTCTGGGCAGCACCTTTGATTGAGCTGAATACAAGTTAAACATAACAAAATTGACATTAGCTCTTATGCTAACGCAAGCTAACTTTAATAAGCTGATAGAAGAAAAGGAGCATTTCCTGGTCTGCTAGCTAGAAATATCTGGTTAAGTCTCAGTGTTGTTTAAAATGACTTAAGGCTTGTTTCTTTTTTGAAAATGTGAAGTCTCACTTGGTGGTACCAATTGAAAATCGAGTACTTTCAGTAAGCTAAACAATTTCTGAGCACCGGAGAGTAAAACTGAACAGAATGAAGCTGTAACCTGTTGAGTGAGAAGAAATGAGCTAACAGGCTAATGTTAGCACAGCTTGCCCTTGTTGAATTTTGATGAATACATTTGTGGTTTTCTTTTTGTTAACTGCAAGAACATTTTTTTGACATTTTCAACATTATTTCATCACCTTTTTACTGACTAGAATAAGGTTACAGCAGGAAACTTTATGTTCACAAACTTAACTGAGTTTAACTCCAATTTTTTAAAATGTATTTGAGTTTGTTGGGTACTTTTAAAAGAAATAAAATATATTTCTAGACTAAAACCTTACAAACAAGACTGTCTGACTCTGTAGCGAAAACTGAGGGATTCAATTACACAAAGGTAATAAAATCAAAATCTTAAAGTTTAATTTGTTAATGGAACTAAAATAAACAGGTTCACTTGATCATCAAAACACACAAAAATCAGACTCTCATTGGTTTTCACTGTCAATTAAAAAGTCACCTTCATCCAGTCATTCCCGTCCTTTAGTCAGCTTCAATGAAGAGCTTCTAGTGCGTTAAGGACAAGCTGTTGAAGCAGTGGTGGTGCATTCCAGGACTGAACAAACTGTTGAACTATAGTGATGGGTTCAGGGACACTGATGCTATAGAGGTGAAATGAATGCCAGCAGAGGCAGTTAAATCTGCGATGTTGCGTTCAGGGTCAAAAGAACTAGATGAAGCTGTGTTGTTGTAATCAGGGTAAGAAGAGGGGATTTGAATGGTTGTGGTGTGTTCAGGGTCCATTGATGTTATTCCTGCAGGGGAAGCCCATGGCAGCAGCGCTCTGCCGGCTCTGCAGTGTGGTCTGGACCATGTCCGTCCACTGGTCATCTGAGATCTCTCTGGCCCATGACGGCACACCCAGAGACGGCAATGCGATGGCAGCCATCGTCCTCTTCACCAGCTCCACGTGGTCTGCAGGGAGACGCAGGAAGTGATGTCAGTGGAGAGTAAGTAAACTGAAGATTACATTTTATTTTTTTCATTCTATAAATGTTAGTTTTTATGTTGATAAAAACATTTTCATATTTAATTTATAACATCAACAGAAACAATAGTTTGAGTTTCTTGCTCGGATGTATTATTAGGACAGTTTGAGCCTTATTTCTTACAGTTGTGTAACCCTAGCTGTGTCAAACTGACTTGTGACACAAATAAATAAACAAAAAGCATAAACCAAAGCAGTAATAATACCTAAGACTGAAATCACATAGCTGCAGGGACAAATGGAGGAAGAACTGACGGAAATATATCAGACATTGTAAATGCACACATTAAGGCTCATGATTTCATTCAATAACCATTAGTGCACAATGGATATGAATACCATCCATTAAATGAATTATTTTCTCACGTGGTGTGTGACAGTTTAAGTCTTCATATTCCAGCTGCAGCCCTGGAGTATACAGAGCAGTATGTGGCTTATAAAAATAATGTAAACACGTAGTTCAAAGAAGAAATCTGATTGGTCAGAAAACAAAGTTTAAGACAAGTTGATCTTTAATCTGGAACATTATCCCAAACATAACCTGCCCCAGAGCAGGTGAGGGGTTCAGTTACCATGGTGATCTATCCCCGTAAGAGGAGAACCACTGCGTAAAAATAATAGTTAACCCTGAATTTACTTTTATGACTGTAAACAGGTTGTAGATCATCAGTTGTGCCTGTCATGAATTAATCTCTCATGAAGAGGCTGCACACAAGAAAATGCCAGCCGTGGGTTTGCTGTGCTCAAAGTGGCTGCTACTGAAAAATTACTTAAGATGTAAGAAATTATGTTTTTAAAAATTATTTTTTGGATGTTTTGAATTGATTCAGAATCTTAGAAATGAATAATTGCAATTCTGACACGCATCATTTAACCCCCACACCTCTTCACCTCTACCTCCTCCCCTCACATAATCTGCTCTCCTAGCTCCAGGATGATAAGAATCAGTTGGTCAGTGGGCCATGTTTTATCATTCTTTTGTCTCTTTTCTTGAACCTAACTTGCTCCAGAGAAGGTTATGCAGTGTTGTGCATTAGAATTACGGTAACTGAATTGACCTCCTGGTAGAAGTTAATGGCCACTGTAGTCCTGAGAAGCCTTGGTTGAATGAAAAGTAACTAGATGGCCTTAGTAAACCTTGACTCTGTTATATGTCAAACACACATTTTTTCCATGATACTTCTTATATCAGTGTCCAAATTATATGAATACTCCTAAAATAATTCAGTGCAAATTCAAAATGACTGAATAATTTTGTATAAGTAATGACTGATAAATCTAATTAATGATTATAAAACTGGTTAAAAGGTAAAGAAACCCTAAGAGAGCCTAAAGAAAAGTTGGAACTCTGACCTGCATCCATGGGGATGGATGCTCGGCTCCTTTGGGCTGCCGCCCCCTCAGGGTCTTCCTCCTCATCACTTTCTGGGGGAGGGGCTTCAGGGAGGTGGAGCCCCATCACCTGCAGCAGACGGACAGGTGAGACAAAGGATACTGCCTTAAAACCTTTAAAACCTTCAGCAGGTAGACATAACAGAAGCAATCAGTAAAAGTGTTGTGGTCAGATCAAACTGTCACACCCCTTCATGTGAAAGTCTGTTTCAGGATCAGCTACTTTTACAAACAATGAGACCTTTTAAAATATGATAAAGGCACAGTCAGACATCAGGTGTGTAGCAGTTTCTCAGCCGTTGGCATGCAGAACTCACCTCTATCCTCTGCTGCACCTGCTGCAGCTGCTCTGTGTGGGGGGCGGCCTCCTCCTCCACCCTCTCCTCCCCCTCCTCCCCAAGCTGCTCACTGCTGTGAACACCATCAGGCTCCTGGTTAAGAGGTTGGTAATAATATCCTCCATTGATTACTTCCCCCTCCTCTTCCTCCTCGCCATCAAGCTCCATTTCTCCCCCTCCACCCTCCCCCTGTTCCCCCTGTTCCCCTGTGTCCCCCCCACTCCACACTGGCATCAGCGCTCCGTCAGCGGGACGCTCATCCTCCCTAAGCTCATCTTCAGTGTTCGGTAAGACTCTCTCCGGTCCCATGGCTGAGCTGCACACTTCCATCCACAGACACACTGAGAGATAGACAGGCAGGGGGAGGGGGAGACAAAAGGGGGTGGAGGGAACAATCAGATTATCAATGGAAACAATAGTGAGAGTAAATAATCATGCTGACAGAAACTTGAATCAGTCTCTTCTGCTGCTTCTCTCTCAGCAGCAGCTGGTAGTTTCATGCTGACTGTTCCAGTTAATTAACATTTACAGTCCGTCAAACCCCCGGCGTAGGACATTTTCTAACCTCTTAATTTGAGTAAATTATCATTTATATTTTCTGTAAGTAGCTGAGAAAGCATTTCCACAGGAACAGCTGAATATGGATCAGCAGATTGTTAAAAAGGCAGGAAAGCATCCTTTAAGGTCTCATCCTTTCTTATTCACATAAATCCAAATACAGAAGGATAAAACTGTCTCTATGCTCATTTGAGGTCAAATTAAAGTCAGTAAAGATAAATAAAGATCAAATTGAAAGCATCACTTTCAGTTCCTCTATCCTTGTACCTATTTATTTAAGTAGTCGTCATGATTAGTTTTGATCATGACAAGAGATGAAACACTGTTATGAGTCAATTATTATTACAGAGACATAAAACTAATGAGACACTAACTCAATATAAGTCAGGTTTCATCATGCGGTGTTGCCTTTCAATGTAAACTGATGGTATGTTTTGCTTGAACTCTGTGGCTCAGTTGGTAGAGTCGGTCATCTCTCAACTAGAAGTTTGGGGGTTTTTTGATCCCCAGCTCCTGTAGCCACATGTCTGACGCAAGACACTTCAACCCCAAGGTTGCTCCTGCTGCTTTAGCGGTGTGTGAATGTGCATGAATAGATTTATACTGATGGACTTTATATGGCAACCTCTACCATCAGTGTGTGAATGTAAAGCGCTTTGAGTAATCAGAAGACTAAACCAAGGCCATTTACCATTTTTAACTAAAAGCATTAAAACAACAAATACACCTGATTCTGATGATAACATAATAACATTAGCAGCAGCCATACAAGCTTTTGAAACCCTAAATAAATAAATCAAAAATAAGTAAATCACAAGCACAATGATCTACAGAAGAGGAAACAACCCCAGTAAGTGCTAACAAATATATCTACTACATCATCATCATCATCATCATCATCATCATAAACCACAACAACATCGACAGCTTCTCATGAGAATTATATTCAGCATCAATAACATCATCATCATCATGATCATCATCATCATCATCTTTGCCACCACATTTACTTAATTCTGTAATAATAAAACTGGTCACATTACTATACAGAAAAACTAGAGATTCAATTCGTCAGCAAAACCAACTTGATTAAAGTCTGAAAGCTAAACAACCACAGTTTGACATTTTGCAGGTGTACTCTCAGGTGTACTCTCTTCCTGGAGAAGCTTCAGCAGGTACATAATGATGATGATGGTCAAAAACATCTGGGGCAACTCAAAGCTAATGAAGCTAGCCGCTGTCTGTTTCTAATATTAACGCTAATTCTCCGGGTGCTGATTTAACCTAATTCTTCCGCTGCTGCTGTTTCGTCCATTTATATCAGAAAGTAACAGGAAACCACAGCTACGTGTTTAATTTCATACCTGTCTGTCTGTTCTTCTGCTTAGAGCTTCAGCTACCTGATATTAGCTGTTAGCCGCTGCGAGTTGCAGCTGCTGAACTTCCGGAAACGTCACGGCGCCGCAACAAAAAAAAACGACGTCATCTTCTTCTTTTTTTTCCTTTTTGTGGTGGCTGGCAACAACCGTGAAGGTGCATTGCTGCCACCTGCTGTGTTGATAGTGTGGTCATCAACGACTTCACATATAAATACTATAAATAAAAGTGGCCAGTTCCAAATAACATTTTAACTAATCGGGTTCGCTGTAGTCCGGATGTTTTAGGCCTGTGTTCCAAAATGTCTGCTACAATTGTCTGACAAGGCAACCTGTAAACACATTTTGTAAACCATAGACTGTAAATATTACTAAACTCATGACCACATGGATGTTAAATAAATATTTGAATAAAGCTTTATAAGTCAGTTATTCATGTATCTCTTCTATCGCGGCCCTGGGATGCTGAACATGTCTGTATAATTTATTACGCAGTGTCACCTGTAGGTGGGGCTAAAAGGATTTTAAAAATTGCTACTGCAGCAGGTTGCAGGTTGAAGTCTTTTGGTGCATTCCAGTTGATCTCGTAAGTGGGAAATTCCCAGTTCCCAGTCGGAAGTGTCAACTGGAACGCCCCCTGATGTCGTAATTACGACTCGGAAACTCGGAGAAAAAAAAGTAGCCCGAGTTCAGATCTGATATGGCTGCAAGCTCATCTAAAGGGATGTTTAAGATGTAACTGTTCAGTTTATTAGCAGCTTAGTCGTCTTTTTGTATAATTAAATCAATCAGACCGATGGTATCGTGCAAGTCCTATCTGTGGAGGTGTTTTGATGTTATTTTCGGTCAGAAACTATCACGTAGTGTGTTGTTATCGTCTGGTATTAGCTAACAAAACAAAAGGTTCATTTTTCTTTTCCGACTAGAAACGCTTACGTGACATTCAATTAAGCAGTGAGTACAGTATGTTATTCTTCTTTTCTCTATTCCCTCAATTAAACAACTTTTATATGCGAGGGGAGGAGCCGACTGGCCGTCCTGGCGATGTAAACAAACTGAAGATAGGACTCGGAAAACTCTGAAAACATCACAGACAGTGGGACTCGGGTGTTACACCCATTGTAGACAGTCATGACTCACAGAGTTATTTTCAGAGGATATACTTGAGTGTGAAAGTGTGAAAAGTCGCATATTAAGCCTTTACAGGATGAGATCGGTGATGAGATCAGAATTGTTGTGGTTAATAATTGTTCTACAAGCATGCAGCGTGCTTGTAGAGTTTATAAATGTGCTTGAGGTTGGAATCTTGAACTTACTGTCATTAGGCTGTGGTAATCCTATAACTGTTTAACAATCAGTTAATGTTCACACACTTAGTTTTCTGTCCAGTATCTTTTGTCATTTCAGCTCCTGCCTTTAGTTTCTCCCAGCATTGATTTTCAGCTATTTTATTGTTTAGTGATCTTGCAAGTTTTGACCCTGCTATGAACTAACCTGTGATTATTGTGGATTTCACACATGAAGACATCTTTTGAAAATGTCCCAATATTTTCTGAGTGAGCTGCATGTGTGAAAGGAAGCAGCTGAATTTTTTTACCCCTGAGTTAACCTAGATTTTTTCCTGTCAGCCCACTAGTAACATCTCTGTCTGGGTAAGCAAATTTTTGAACGGAGCAGATGATATTCGGGAAAATTCAATGCTAGCGAATTAATTTTCTTTGTCTATTAAAGCTGCTTCATACTCTTTTCTGCTGTATGCTCTTCTCTAAATAACAGAACTGTAAAGTGCAAAGCTGCTTTGAAAGTACTTTCTGAACATAACATTGTTGATTTTTTTTTTACTTTTCTGAAGGGTATAATGGTAGGTATTTGTTTTGTTGTATATCATGTATAAACAGAAAAACAAATACATATTTGAAACACTCCTGATGCCCCATGGTAAAAGTACAAGAGGAATAAGACTCATATGTAGTGAACGTTATAGTTTAACTTTGTAGTATCCAGTTATGTCACATATGGTCAAAAAGTTGAACTATGATGTAATTCTCTCTCCTACAATAAAAGAAGGGTGGGACAATGCAGTCTAATAGAATAAATCACTTCCCAATCCAACACAGATGTGCTTTTATTATTTCATCTGCTCTAGAGGAATTAATTCCAGAGAACAGAGACACATGCTTTCTGTTATCCCTATCTTCACCTCGACTGCAATAATTTCAGCCAAAATACACAGACTCAGAGTCATCGGTAAACAAGCTGGACTCTGGTGATCTCTGTGAAGTCCAGCTTCTCAGGAACATGATGAACTCTGATAATATTATGGAACCTCGAGCCCTGCGTGGCTCGCTCACCACAGGCCAAATCATACATCATCCACTCCAACCTGCAGATTGGTTCTAGATCAGGGCAGGGCTGAAGGATTAACCCTTTAAATACTGCGTTAACATGAATATACTTTAACAGTCACTCAAGAACAGTAGTGTTTGCATTATGAGATTGTTTCTCTATGTAATGTTCACAGAGGTCAAAGTGATGCCAGTAAAAGCAGTGTATACTGTGGCCACTGTGAGAGATAAATATGTCAGTTTCACTTGATTAAGAAAACAATCCTGATTTATGTTTGTTTTATCAACAATCTTATTCTAACAAGTAGGTTTGTTGTATGACAGGGAAACCTTTCATTTATGGTTGTTTCATACAAAAAAATGAACTTTTAAAAATGATCTCTTAAAAGATGTTTGCTGCATTATGGACATGTTGTTGGTCATTTCCCAGGATTCTGAATATTACGTGATAGCTCTTGTTTAATATTATCATAATCATAACCATAACCACAACAAACAAAACACATTCCAGAGCTACAAGTGAAATAGGCTGTTGATTCGTGTGTATTTTCTGGTTTAGGCTCTGGCTGCATGACAACTTCTCCTGATTTTTTAATGCAATGCAATGATCTTGAACTGTCCATAAATGGTGATGATTTTTAAGACAATAGTAGCCTATAACAATACAAGTTTGTTCCTGTGAGCATGCTTCATAAACTCTCTTGTTTGTGGAGCGCCGGTTGAAAACAAAGGGACTCCAGCCTCATGTAATTACAGACTGGGTCAAACAAGCTCAAACACGCTGCAGCGACACAACACATGCTAAACACTAACGGAGCCACTTGTGTTTGATGTTACAGAGACGTTATTAGATGCTTTTTTAACCCTGCCAGTTTAGCGTGCAGCCTTTGACACCTTCTTCTAGTTAGAATTACAACTGAGTCCTCAGCATGTGTTTATTATTTTCTTTATTTGTTCTTCATAGTTAATGATGATATAACCTTGTTTAATGTTACTGTTGAAGCAAGATAAATTTCCAGCCACCTGCTCCCCCAGAATATAAGAAGCTCATTTTGATTCAACACTAACACATTGATTTACTGGGGCTGCACGGTGGTGAAGTGGTTAGTGCTGTTGCCTCACAGCAAGAAGGTTCCTGGTTAGAATCCCTGTCGGACAGGACCTCTCTGTGTGGAGTTTGCATGTTATCCCTGTGCATGGTTCCTTCCGGGTATTCCGGCTTCCTCCCACAGTCCAAAGACATGCTAGTTAGGTCAATTGGTGACTCTAAAATTGCCTGTAAGTGTGAGTGTGGCTGGTTGTCTGTCTCTTTATTTCAGCCCTGTGATTTACTGGAAAAAAGTCCAGGATGTACCCCATCTCTCACCCAATGACAGCTGGGATCGGCTCCAGCACCCCTGCGACCCCAGACAGGAAAATCGGTAAAGATAAAGAGTAAAAGTAAATATTCAATTTCTGCCAATGGACCCAATGGTTTTATCACCTAATACATTTAACTCTGAAAGACAGTTTGTGTCACATAAAAACCAAACAAGCGAGCTAGTTTGTTTACTACAAAGTGATATCATATTTGTGATTCTCCTCTTTCTATAATGTGAGAGCTTGTACTCTCTGATTACAGCGTCAGATTTTGATCCTAATACCATCAGACACTTTAATCATTTCTTTGTAGGAGAGTGCATAATACATGTGTAGAAAAAAGTATACCAATGTTGTAATTCTTTGACCAGCAAAAGCTGTCCTTACATCCTTGTCGAGCTGCTCTCCTGCTCACAGGGCAGTTTATTTTATCAGCAGCTCACCCTGCAGCTCTGAAAGGTTGCTCAGATAAAGGAGCAGACACATTCTGATAAAAACAACAGCAGCCTTTACTGTGTCGGGTCACTCTTACATTTCACGAGTTGTAATCATTTTAAGGGGAACTTGTTTTTTTTCTAACTTAAGAATAAGAAATAGTAGACATAAAATGAGTCTCATCAACACTTATACCTGATGATGCCAATCTAGGACTAAGATTTACCTTCATATCAAAAAATGATGCATCAGATAGATCTGAATTTAAAAATATAGTAGCCTGCCAACAGACACACCTTACTTTCACAAGCTACTTGATCCATATATTGGAGGCCCTGCTTTAAGTCTCAACTTCGATCTGTTTTATGTCGTCGTCACACATGGATAATGTCACACGATCTAGTTAGGATAGATGAATGGCAAAGTTATCATTTGGGCCTTTTGCCTTTATTGTATTGGATACAAGAGAGACAGGAAATGTCTGGAGGAGGGACGACATGCAATGGGCCAACTTAAGGTCGGATTTCAACCCATGGCCAAAACAACGAGGCATTCGGGGGCCCCAATAAATAGCATAGTTAAGTGTTAGGCTAAACAAATAAAGCTCAGCGTATACTCAAGAACCTGATTCTGCCACGACCTCTATCCACTGATCACCCTGCTGGTGACATCTTTCACTGTCAGTTTGCAGGTTTCAGTTTGATTGCTGCAACCCTCCTCCCCCCCCAGTCACCTCTAATCCACCTCAACAGTGTCCTGGATCAGCTCCTCCAAAGTCCACTCCTCATCACATCATACATACTTCCACCACCACCACCACCAGCAGCAGTGTCTAGACTCCATCAGGAGGAGTTCCCTATTCTGCTGTCAGCCTCACTACCCATTTGAGTTCATGAAGACATCACAATGGAGTTTAATCGCCAAAAACAGTGAATATGTTC